TTTAGAGGGAGGGAGGGAGGGAGGGGAGAAAGAGAGGGAGAGGGGGAGAGAGAGAGAGAGAGAGAGGGAGAGAGAGAGAGAGAGAAGAGAAGAGAGAGAGATCAGCCAGTCCCCTTCATCGAGGGATAGTCAGTGGCGTGCAAGCAGAGAGGGAGGGAGCGAGGGAGGGAGCGAGGGAGGGAGCGAGGGAGCGAGGGAGCGAGGGAGCGAGGGAGCGAGGGAGCGAGGGAGCGAGGGAGCGAGGGAGGAGTGAGGGTTGCGGGGGGGGGAGGGGAGTAAAAATCCAAAAAACAGACAAAACTCTTCGCGGACAGGGTATGGCAAACTGCCAGGGCGGAAGGCGGGGGGAGAAAGGGAGGAGAAAAGAGAAGGAAAGAAGACAGGAGAGGAGAGAGAAGGAAAGAAGACAGGAGAGGAGAAGCCTCGGACAGAAGACAGGAGAGGAGAGAGAAGGAAAGAAGACAGGAGAGGAGAGAGAGAGAAGTAGGAAAGTGCGATGTTTCATCAGATGGTTTAATCAGAATCTTTAACAAACAAAAATGAAGAGGATGTAGGAGGAAGATAGTCTGCTCCGCCCCCCCACCCTCACTCCTCCCTCACTCCGATCTCTTTCGAGCGTGTCGGAATCAGCACGTTAAAACTTCAAGGGCTCCCCGCTCTCAGCGCGTAACGATTCGGGCTCGAGGAGATGCTGGTCGTCTCCCAAGCTCTCTTGTACTTCTGCTCCCCTTGGTAGCTCCATCCCCTCGACGAGTCCGCATCCCTCAGCGACAGGGAGGCGATGCTGTGCGAGCCATGTCCCCGATGCGACGGCTCCACGTGCGCGAACTGAGCCTCCTGTGCCTCCACCGACTGCCCCGCATACGTGGGCTTGAGGCCGGCGGTGGGAAGGGCTCGGACGATAGGGTGGATGGTGTCGTGATCCACCAGCACACAGCCGCAGGTCGCCGTCACGTCAGCGGAGAAGTGATCCTTGGAGGTGGAAAAGATGGTGGTAAGCCGGGCGCTCTTGCTCACTCCTACCCCAGACTGCTGCGCCTCGTGGCCCCGGAAGACGTGCTTGAACCGGTGGATGTCGAGGAAGAGGTCGATCGACTTTTCCCCGAAGCAGGTGCAGCCCCTGGCGCTGACTCCAAAGCCCGAGTCGTCCAGCTCGTCGTTCTGCTCCTGCTCGGGCAAGGACGGATCAGACCACAGCATCTCGTAGACAACCTCGTTGGTCTGCACGGATCGGAGAGGACACTCGACGTTGCGGATGAGGTCGAGGCTGGAGCCTCTCCGGCAGAGCTCTCGTGGGATCCCTCCATGGACACAGAAGATGGTATCTAGCAAGAGCAAAAGTCACCACAAGGGGCCCCGGGTACGCTCCGAGGTGAGGGACTTACCATCGATGGTCGCAGCCAGCGGGAGGGTGTCGAAGAAGTTGTTCACTGCTTCCCAGACTGCGTACCCGTCCGTGTCTCCAAAGAGGGCGATGCATTGCGAAAGGAAGCTCCCCTCCATGTAGTGCTCCATGTTGCCATTGACCTCGCGCGTCTCGTGGTTCCCCCGGATCATCCACCACTTGTTGGGATGCAGGACCTTCATGCTCATTATGTAGGACACAACTGCAATCGAGTCTCTGCCGCGGTCCACGAAGTCTCCGAGGAACAAGAAGTCTCCTGCCGTCACTTCCGGTCCCAGTGGCCAGAAGGACTTCCTGAAGAACTCCAGATCGTTCAAGTTACCATGCACGTCTCCGAGGACATAGACCGGAGAGCGGGTTTCCAAGATCCGCGGTTCCCCAGCAGTGATCCTGTGAACTTCAGTCTCAGCGCAGGCTCCCTATCAAGGCAAACATGCAGCAAACCTCGAGGCACACTGAGCGACGGCTATGATGGTCCGCTTCAGCACACCAACGTCAACGCCAAACTGCGCGGGAGTGCTCGACGTAGAGGACGCTTCCAACAAAGGCTCCGTGATTGCAAGAAGACGCAGGGCATCCTTGGATCCCATGCTCTCTGTATTCCTCGAGTTCTTCAACCCCGTGGCAACCTGCCTCCATGTCAGTTGAGCCAACTTCAAGCACCGACGGCATCACCTGCTCGAGGGTCACACCATGCACATCGTGGTGCACGGCTGTGATGTTGGCAGAGAAACGGATGTCCTTCGATTTCGCGTGATGAGACGAATGATGGTTCTTCTCAACGTCACTCTTCCTCTTATCAGTGATAAGATCCAGGACCCCGTGACTGTCCCCTTGTTGCGCAAGGCGGAGAATTTCTACCGCCAACCTCGCAACTCTGTCCATGTCACCGCTCGAAGCCGCTTCGTCCAGGTGGAGCCCGTTTAGTATCGGACTCTTGGGAGATGAGACTTGAGTCCTTGTCGGCGTCTCCAAAGAATGGTTGCTGCGATCCCGAAAGAGCGCTAAGGGTGAGGAACATGTCAGTAGATGCAAAGACCTCATCTAACACATCAACATCATCAGATTGTCAGCTGGTGTTCAGCGGCCCGCAACATCCGCATTCATTATCCCTTTGCGAACACAAGCAGCTTCGTTCACTCATGGGACTATACCGATCAACATAGATCAACATAAGCTTATTCGTCTCTAGCATACAGGAAATGAACGGTCGTGATCACTGGTATAACTGATGTCGGCTTCAAACACAGCATACAATCACAACCTTTCGGCGTGGGGTAACCACCTAGAATATGGCCATCGTCGTGGGAACCATTCAGAGATTTATGAGGTGACTCCGTGGAGTTTGACAGCTTCTTCGCACTTTCCTGGCCGCCTCGGATAACACGGGTGTGTTTGACAGCTGAATACGGGGTATTTCTGAGAGCCAGGTGCTTCTCCCATGCAAAGCTTGTCCCAGCCGTGAAGCCACAGACGCATTCGAATGGTGCACGAGATGATATAGATTCGTTCATGCTACCACCTTCCTGCGTCCAAGAAAGGGAAAGGTCAGAGCAGTTTGCTGGGAGTGGATTGCCCCAGGTTCCCAGGATCCGTCGAACAACCCCACCAGCCAAAGAGCTGCTGTCGAGCAGCTGCACTGTAGCTAAGGCGAGACCAGAGAAGGACGAGGGTCTGTTGTGAAGGTGAGAGGCCCCAACCTCTCTCACTGCTTCCTCTTCGCTCTCATACTCGCCGCCATGTGAGTTTCCCTCTTCTTGGAATGTACTACCGACACCACCGACCCCACCCTACCACAGTACCCCACCCCACCTTCCCGAAACTAACTTACAGGTACCAACTACCCCGGTGCCCGAGGTTCCCTTGCTCATACCACATACCCCCTTCGGATGGTCATTTTCGGGAGGGATATAACCGGTACTGGTAGAAAATCCATTGCGCCTCCATTTGACCGACCCCCATGGGCCTTTACCCACCATGTGTATACCCCGTTCCGGATACACCCCTGTGTTCATCGAATGTACCCGCACAGACCCCTACTTTTCCTATAAAGGTACCCCACGATTAATAAGTCCTCAATCCGCACCCCTTGGGGGAATCTACTTCTTAGGGACCCACCCCACAATATTTGTACCACCACCTTCCTCTGAACGTATTCCCCCACCCCACCCACATCCGTCCGTACCGATCGTAACCGATGCACCCCACCCTCGATAGTTACTTTTTAGACCAGATTTTCGATCATCTACCCCATCATATCCCACAAAGGTACCCACCATTGACTATGAGGTGACCACCCCTACCTCATCATGCACCTTTGCCGATGTAACCGTCCGGTACCAGGAGCAATCATGTTGACTTTATTTCACAGTTAGTTTTTTCCTACTGTTTCTTTAATAATAATTTTACTAGTATCAAGATACAATACAACTTACAAATTTAGTATAGATAATTAAGTTAATTCAACAAATTCAATACAAAGTGACAGTCAACCGTACTTTCTTCCATGGATCCTTCCCGGGCCCGCCTTCTACATCTTCTGTGTGCCCGCATCTCCTCAAATCTTCAGGAATTGCGTCGATTGGTATTGTTGCGGGGCAAAACACTTTTGCAAGGCAATCCACGTCGTTTCAGATTGTTGCCGTTCATTTCTGTTCCTGGCCAGTTCATGTGCTCGCGTGTCCCTCATCCCCTCCTTTCCTTCACACCACCCTACCTCCCACCTTACCCTGGAACCTACTACCCCTCATCCCTCTTAACACAAAGGAACAAGCATCGTTTCGCATTGTTGTGGGACCCTCGAGTTGACCCGCCCTAGCACGGTACAGCTAGATAGACTACTGGTACCAGAAATAGAACAATAGGGAAAGGGTTTAAGCGCTACTACTGTTCGGGGAAGTACGAAAACTATAATACTATTTATCAAAAATGGTACTAACACTACTGTACTTGGTTACGGGTGTGTTGTACGGGCCCACATACATGTGCTCCAAGCAAACTGTAAGCGTTTCGCATTGTTGTGCCTTCGTATTTCCTGGCTTCTATAACGTTTTGCCTTCCGACTGTTGAAACAGAACCTAACCAATTTCCCAGTTCCAATTTCAAATACTAGTACTGAGAGTCTCAGCGGCGGTCACGGTACTTTCAAATTCAGGACTGAGATGCGGGCCGCCGGGGGCACGCCACTGTGCAGCCTGAGTGCGGCCCGGCCGCCGGGCCGCACGGCGCGGCACACCGTTCGATGCACGGCACGGTTCGGGCACGGCATCATCATTGTAGTACTAACTGCTTCCCAAGTTTACTCAAAGTTAAGTTAAAAATCAGTACGAGCAGTACTAACTGCCAGCTAGCCTAGTACCGGGCAGCCGCACTGAGCAATGATCAGTGGCCCGGCGCCGGGCCTCCGGCCGCGGCGGGCCGGGCGCGCGGCTCCCGGGAGTCCGACGGAAGCGGCACAAACCTGAAATCGGCTATCAATTAGCCAGTAATTTACCCGGCGGCGGCACAATTGGCACACAAACATCATCAGGCCTGAAATCGGCTATCAATTAGCCAGTAATTTACCGGCACAATTGGCACACAAACATCATCAAACCTGAAATCGGCTATCAATTAGCCAGCAATTAACACAAACATCATCAAACCTGAAATCGGCTATCAATTAGCCAGTAATTTACCGGCACAATTGGCACACAAACATCCGATGATCATCACTGTCAATTAGCCAGCTCTGCCGGCACACGGTGGCACTGATACTATCCTAGTATGATAGGCACCCACGGCGGGTTGGCCGGCCTGGCGAGTCTGACTACGCGGCCGATCGGTCCAGCGGTCCGCCGGTCCGAGGTGACCGTTCAAGGTTGTACGGTCCAGGGCTGAGGGCCCGGGGTCCCGGGAGTCCTGCCGCGGCCCGGCGGGCCGGGGGTCGCTGAGGGGGGTCGGCTGGGGGTCGGCTGGGGGGTCGGCACGGGGGAGGAACTCCCAATAAAATGGTCTAGTACCGGTATTTTTGTATGATATTTTGGGGGTACCTTTTCAGGAGGGGGTGGGTGAGTTTGCAGGAAATCGCAATGGCAGCAAGGCGGCGACCAGGTTTAAGGATGATTAATTCAGCCTGTGCAATGATGACAATCGTGAAACCACCATAGCCTATCAGGAAATTGTAAAATCTATATCATGGTATCAATCATTTGAATTGCATCGTAGCAGTGTTTAATATTTTCCACAATACGTACTTTTTTCTACTTGCAGCCAGCAATGCTACGCAATCCCCGGAACCGTTGCATATTACCTGTTAATCCTTCATCCCATTGCCCTGATTTAGCATATACTCGCTTTCGATTGTTCTTCTGCGTACTATTGTGTGGCTCCACATCATTATCAGATCCATCCCGTGCATTGAAAGCTTCACGGTCGTGCGGTTTGCTCAGGACAATTCGCTTCTTCGAATGCTCGTATACAAAAGGCAGGTTTGGATCCACCTTTTTAGATAATTCTATGCATGCCTGATTGAATTTTCTCAGAAAATCCTTCTTGTTCAGATGGCCGATCAACGACCACAGATTCTCTACACTATCCGTGCAGAGAGTTCGTGAATTGAAGTCATAGTCTCTATCACCCAGCGCATGATTCTTATCCCTCACATACTGTTGTACTTGCAGATGAGTATCAATTGCAACTATGAAGCCTTCAAATGTTACAGATGATAGTCCCTTGACATGTTTTTGGCTGACACTGGTCCAGTCGATGCCTTCCAATAGCCATCTTCGACCCTCTTGAACGAGACGTATCCTCTCTGAAACTTTCAGCCCTCTTTCATCGAATGCTTTGTGCAGGCCAGACATAGCCTCTGCCATTCTTGCTGTCGCTTCATGTCCTTCTGCCTTTAGTAGACTGATGGCCTTGTCACTGAACATCTTCAGCATGATATCCACCGATTGTGGATCGGCGGTCCCGTCGACTTCCATCTGAGTCATCCAAGCAGGATTCTTCTTGGCGATATCACTGTAAGCTTTATGCCATATCTGGGCTTCCGTAGAAGACGATTGAGACTTCCCTGATCCAATGGAATGCCTGACATTCTTCAACAAGTGATTGATGCACGGCGAGAAAAACAACAACTTGTTCGTAATTGGAGAGAGGACGGGATTGGATAACCATTCGTCGAATTTAAAGCGGATCTTGTGTTCATCAAAGTCATTTAGTCCATCAGCTATTCTTCGCTCCATCTCCCAAGGAGTGAATGTTTCCCCCCCCTCTTCATTGTGCTTGGCCAATGAAAGAACTTCTTCATATCCGTACCGTCTGCAAAATATTTGAAACCTGCAAAACATCTCTTTCAGGGTCGCTCTGGGCCTCTTCCTCGTGTGGCATCGTAGCGTCTTCTCCTTCTGAACTTGCCATATGGCCTGGTTCTGTCGTAACTGCAAAACAAACTGTTTAATTTCTCTCATCTCAGCAACATCCATGTGTACAATTCCTTGCTGAGGTGTGATGGGCAATGACGACAAATCATCACCATCGTACTCATCTGGATGGTCCAATGTGCACTCACTCTCAATGTCGTGCTCTGAAATTGGAGGTTCGAACTTGAATATCCCCGAAATGTATGCTGAAATAGATGTACATAAATGTCTATATTCCATACTGGTTGCAGTCTTGTTAATGGCTTTCACTTCCTGAATGAATGTACTTGGCTTGTCTTGGTAGAAATAACGATATATACAGGCGAACTCCCCATCGAAAGACCACACATTGAAGTTCACGCCTCTCTTCCAAGCTTCATTGGTGACAGCTAAAAAAATATCCTTTCCATCTTTGGAACACAAACTTTTATGGGCAAAGCCGATGTAAACAGGCGCAGGAGGCATATGCTTTTGTCCATCCTGTGCAACCACACATATTGCATCTTCTGCTAGTTCGGCGATCGCCGTCTTGTAGTACAAGTCATTGTATACATTTAATTCATCTTGAATTGAACGCCGCTCGTCCTCGCTTGGTGTGGCGGTACTGATGTAGTTGTTCAGACGATCAATCAGTTGCGGCACTTGAGTTTGGATCTGACTACATCCCTCAATGACCCCGGCCATGTACAATTGATGTGGCGTAAACCTGACTTCATTAGAGACATTCCTTCTCGTATCTGCGTTGTTGCTAATCATTTTTGCAACATACTTATCACGAATTTTCTTGTAGTCCCGTTCAGTCGTTGATTTCCTTTCATTGATGTGATCCAAGTCAGTTTTCAATAAGCCTATCACATGCTCCTGAATCGATTCAGCGGTTGTTCCCTCCAAACAAAGCCGTGCCAACCGTCTCTGTCGCATCTCAAGCCGTTCACACAAATCCATTGTTTTCCCCGTGACTCCACCTAAATCTGCTTCGCAGTCTTCGAACTGTTTACAAAACCCAGCATTGATCATCGTCTTGTCCATCGCCAACACATGAATACCTTCTACAAGGTTAAAATTCATTTCACCGTAATCATGCAAAACCTCGCTGCAGATTCTTGACTTGTTTAGATCACGTGTCTTCATGTCTGCACTCTGCAGCTTATGAAGAGTAGATATGGACGGTAGAGGCAAGTTATGCAAAGCCTGATCAGAATGGAAGTTTCTCGTATACTTGTTCCCTGGCCCTGACAGTAAACGGAACGTACTCCCGTCGCAAACATTGAGAATTGTTGATGCGAAACTCAAAACCTCCGGAGAGAATCTCATGCCCCTCGAATCTTTCGCTCTGAAGCTCTGATGACACCAATCCATGACGAGGTAAGGCATGATTCTATGTGTGCTTTTGAAAGCTTGGATGTCGTTTCTGGCAAAGATTACTAACTCCGAAAGTATATCCGGCAATCCAGCAGCATGCAGATTTGAAACAGCATTTTCGAATTTACATATCGCAGATAGCTCATGCTCTGTATTCTTGTCATGTGTTTGACACAGAGAGTCGTGTTCACTCATAATCCTTCTAATCATGTCACATCGGGTGTGGCTGTCAAGGGTTCTAAAAGTTTCAAGGACTGTCTGAATGAACAGTTCGGATTGCGCCTTGGCATGTTTGTTTGGAAGACTCTCACTTGTGTCAACATGTTCATCCGACATTCTTGCATACCTGTACAATGATCGTCAGGTCACTGGCATGGAAAGAAAGCAACATCTCAGACTTACTTCACAAAGTAATCGTGTATAGTAGTTTGCAATGAATTCAAATTCTCGAAGTGAGCAGTAGACCATTCTTCCATGCGAGAAAGAAGGTTTCGATTCTTCCTGTGAATGTTGCCAATACGTGTACGAAGTCGATTCAAGTGCTCATAAATGGCCTTTGTGCCTCCATGTGATTTGCCAGATGCTTGTTGTTCGAAAACCTGCATGTAGTGCTGGAGAAAACATCTCGAAAATCCTTCTGATGTAGGCCCATAGACATCTCCGAGGACCTTTAGTTTGTTCTGGACTTCATACAAGGATACAGAACGAAGACTCCACTTGAGGTAATGGGTCGCTGAAACTAAAAGATTCTCGTCTTCACACTCCACAGATAAAGTTGCATGGCCATGGCATTGCAAGAAATCCAACAGCTTGAAAACCAAGGCATCATCCCATTGAGAGAGCAAGATCTGCTCAAGATCATTGCAATCCTTGTGTTTTTTCAACCTTGCAACACAAGTTGTGCACATAGACACACCATGCCACTTTCGAATGCTGGTCATTTCTCGTCGTCTGTGGCATGATGAGCATATTTTCTTCGCTGGAAGCCTCGGCCTGCCCATGGTGTGGGACAACATAGCTTTGCCCGCCAAAAATTTGATTTGAATTTTCTCGTGACACCCTGCCATGGCATGCAGCACCCCCTAAATCCCCCGCCATAGTGCCCCGAACGCTCTGCATGGAGGCGCGATGAGGAAAGGAGGGGGGGGTATTTAACTAAATATTTGTACCAGTTAATTCCCACACTAGGGGTTGGCCCGTCTGTCAGATCGAATATAGCAGTTCCACCCCCGTGGGGGGTCGGTCTCATGATCGGTATGAGCGGGGATGTGGATGTGCTTCTGCAAGCAGCGCGCGAGCTAGAATGTCGTCCCTGCAGGCGAAGCGCATGGCGCTGACGAGGGCGGGAGTGCCCACGAACTACGTGCCAGGTATGCAGAGGCAGCAGACGCTTGTGAGGTGCCTCGGTGCCCTCCTCCTGCTTCGATTGCAGCAAGGGAGGACCCGAGGACACACGATGTAGCTCCCGTGCTTGTTTGCACCTGCTCAGCAGCGGGGCTCTCGGTAGCTAGTTGTCTGATGTGTGTGCAGGTCTTGGTCGTGGTGCCACCGGCTTCACTACCCGATCCGATATCGGTCCTGCTCGATACTCTGCGCCTGAGCAAGATCAGGCAGCCACAGCCCAGCAGCAAAGAAACGTCGTTAGTTTCGGGCAGGCACCTGAGGTGAAGAGATGGGTTCTCCTGGTCGGCCCTGGAGACTTATGATCGTGTAGGGCTACGTTCCTGGAGCTGGTCGTGGAACTGCAGGATTCGGTGGCAAGGATGACGTAGCAGGCGAGAAGGAGGAGGATCTTGGAGATTCAAACTACAACGAATTCTATGGATACGGGGGCGCTCTTTTCAGCGACACCCCGTACGAACAGGTGATTGCTCTTCGCGCGCATTTTTCTTGTTGTTGTTTACTGCGTTTGCTCTCACCTGTGGCATGCATTGCTTCTCTTGCTCCTCGTCTTTCCTTGCTTGCCTTCGTTGCTCCCTCCTCTTCGCTTGCCGATGCTCTACTTCATCTTTCCGGGAGTTGTCGTGCTTTGCATCTCAATTCCTGGGTGCCATGCTCTTATGGATGACGGATCTGCCTGCCAGGACGATCAAGAAGCCGATGCAGTCTGGGACGCAGTGGACCAAAGGATGGATGGGTTTGTTTGCTGTGACTGCACAAGAGCTGGTATTAAGTCATCACGTACTCAGACGTAGAAAGGAGAGGAGAGAAGCTCGTGAAAAAGAAGAGCTCAGGAAATATCGTGCAAAGCTTCCAACCCTCCATTCCCAGTTTGCAGACATCAAGCGAGGTGAGCATCGATGGATAGTTCTCCTGTTTCTCAAGAGAATCTGTGCCCCTTGTCCGAATGATGTCACAAGAGCAGATAAGGGATTGAGTATTCGTATTTTGTATCGGCAAGGGACCATGTCTTTTGAAGCTCTTCGATGCTATCCATGATCGGATTGGATTGAATTGAGCTTTGAGATGTTGGTGACATGCGCGATACAAGATGTGGAGAAATTGACCGCAACAGACATGTCTGAATGGATGCAACCTGCAATATTGCCTTGGTGTAAAGTTGAAGAAGGGTCCTGATACTGGATATATCTTCAGATCTGCAATCTCTTTCTAGAGAAGACTGGGTTTCCATTCCTGATGCCAACGATATTTCACACAAGAAGAGGAGAGTCGATACCATGAAGGACAGGTTGATATTGGTCTCATTGTCAGCAAACCTTGACTATGAGGCAGATTCATGCCAGCGCCTGATTCATTGCTAGCGCAAGCACAGGCAGAGCAAGCAGGAAGCCACAATGAACTCGATACAAGACAGCAAGTACTTGGAGGGATCACTACAGTATCAGGTGACGCTGACTCATCACCTTTCTACTTTATCGGGAGTAGTCAATAACGGCGGTTTGATGGGGCAGGCACACAATCGCAGTTCACGGATTTGAACAAAGTCGGAGAGGGTCGTAATACATACCTGCAATTGAAGTTGGACAGGTGACGTCTGACTGAAAGCAATATTCTCCTGATATCCATGCGAAGAGTTTCGGACTCTGTGTCGGGACAGACTGTTGTTGATCCCAAGGGATACTTGACGGATCTCAATTCTCAGATCCGCAATCAGGTTCACCATGTTTTGAAATCTCGATGTTTACTGATTTCGTATAGGCTGCGGACGTAGCTGACATCAAGCAAGCAAGGCTTCTGCTCAAGTCTGCCATCACATCCAATCCAAAGCATGCTCCAGCTTGGATCGCAGCTTCTCGATTGGAAGTAAGAGAATTGCCTACGAGTGATCTTAGCCTCACTTTGCAACCACCAGGTCATCGCAGGAAAGGTTTCTCAAGCAAGAAACTTGATTATGCAGGTAATGCCTCCTATGGCCGTCTGGATTGAGTTGTTGACAAGTCCCACAGGGATGCGAGGCGGTTCCCTTGAATGAAGATATCTGGTTGGAAGCGGCAAGCATTCATCCTCCAGAACAAGTCTGCTCATCAAAGTTGCTCATGTATCTTGTTTGACCTTTCGCACTTCAGGCAAAGAAAATCATTGCTCAAGCAGTTCATCATCTGCCGACTAAGGTATCTCGCTCTACTAACCTCCTTACACTGATTGCTTACTCTTCAGGTCTCATTGTGGATGCGAGCAGCCGAACTCGAGCAAGAGGCGAAGGGAAAGGCAAGGAGCTTCATTTGATAGTGCTTCCAGAATGACGGAATCGTCAGAGGAGAGTTCTGCGAAGAGCGTTGGAATTGATTCCAGATTCGGAGAGGTTGTGGAAAGCTGCTGTAGAGTTGGAGGACAAGGAAAGTTGAACATCAGCTCCAGCTGCTGTCTGACGATGGTCCATGCGCAGGATGCAGCACGAGTCCTGTTGACAAGGGCAGTCGAGGACGGTTGCTGCCCGCTAAGTGTGGACTTGTGGTTGGCCCTGGCAAGGCTGGAAGAGTATCAGGAGGTGATGACAAGAACGATGATGCTGATGCATGAAAAGTGTCCTTTTCTGACAGCAGATCACAGGCAAGGAAGGTGTTGAACAATGCGCGCAAGAAGGTCCCCTCGGAACCGCAGATCTGGTTCACTGCAGCAAAGCTTGAGGAGGCCAACGGAAATGGGCAGGTCTTGCTCGTTCCATTGATTTCCTGAGCAGAATATTGACTCTCCTCATGCGACCTTCCTCTTCAGAACGTTCCCAAGATTCTTGAGCGCGCGATGAGGCAGTTTGCAGACATGAAGCTGAAGGTGCAGAGGACGAGGGAGCGCGAGAGCTCGAGGCTGACATGCGCTTCAGGTGTCAGATGACAGAGACTTCTGGCAGCAAGAGGCGGAGAAGGCGGAGAAAGGGGGATACCCGGTAAGCGACCATGGCGGCCTCCCTTTCCCTGACGTCGCGATGCCTTCAGGTGGTTGCCGAGGGTCTCATCAAAGTCAGCGCGGACGTGAACGTGTTGCCTCATGAGAGGAGGCGAGTGTGGGAGGCGGAGGCTGAAGCCCTCCTGGAGCGAGGAGCGGTTCACTGCGCTAGAACCCTATACTCTAGCCTCCTGCAGTATTTCAACACCAAGAAGAAGGTCTCCTCCTCTTCCTCCTCCTTCCCCATCCCTCCTTCCGCTTCTCTTCTCAACATAGTTTCTTCTCCCTTTTGGACCTATCCCTCTCTCCTCCATCAGCAGGTGCTCGCTCACGCTCTTTTTGCTCAGATATGGATGGCAGCAGCCAACTTGGAGAAGAAGCATGGAACCCCCGAAGCGCTGGACCAGCTGCTCAAGAAGGCACTCCCAGTTTGCGGTGCTGCGGTGCTGGCTGAATGCTGGAGCAGGCGACAACCTTCTGCCCCAAGGCCTGGCCGCTTTGGTTGATGGGTGCCAAGGAGAAATGGGTCAACGGCGACTTGGACGGCAAGGGAGAGCTTGATGGCTCTGCCAGGACTAACGGGATGTGCAGGCGCGCGCGTCATCCTCGGCGAGGCTTTCAAGATCAACCCCGACAACGAAGAGATCTGGCTCGCTGCGGTGAAGCTTGAGAACGACAACAACGAGATCCAGGTGGGAGGAGGAGGAGGAGGAGGTGATGGCGGTGGTGGTGGAAGAGGATGAGGAGGATGAGGTGGTGGTGATAGCGGCGGCGGCGGTAGAGGAAGACAAGGAGGAGGAGGAGGAGGAGGCCGTGGATGTCGGGACCTGACGTGATGCCACCAGCGTGCCCGGACCCTGCTGGAGAAAGCGAGGATGCAAGCCGGAACGGAGCGAGTGTGGATGAAGAGCGTTATGCTGGAGAGAGACCAGGGCAACATGGAGGCCGCATGCGAACTTCTCACGCAGGCCCTCGAGAAGTACCCGACGTTTGCCAAGCTGTGGATGATCCTGATACAAGTTGGACCTCCTCCTCTTCACTGATCTCCTCCTCTCTCCCTCCCTCCTCCACCTCTCCTCTGAGTTCGAGCATTGACGTCTCTTCTCAGATCAAGCAATCGATGGGCCTGCCGGACGAGGCTCGCGATGCTTATCTGCAAGGAACCAGCAAGTGCCCCAGCAGCGTCGCGCTGTGGATCGTCGCCGTTCACTTCGAGCGAGATTCCAACCAGGTGAGAAGGGGAGAGAGTCGCTGCGACAAGGGGGGGTTAGGTAAGACCAGATGCTAACCATTCGGATGAACAGCTCACGAAAGCAAGATCGTTGTTGGAAAAGGCAAGGCTCAAGAACCCCAAGGTCTGATATCCTCCTCCTCCTCCTCCTCCTCCTCCTCCTCCTCCTCCTCCTCCTTATCTGGGAGCAGGATCAGCACCTCTGGCTCGAAACTATTCGCATGGAAGCAGCGCTGCCAGACAACAGAAAGTTGGCAGCGACCCGTCTTGCGCAAGCTCTTCAGGTAGGAACAAGATGGGAAGGAGGTGCTTGGGAGAGGAGCGGACAGAAGGGGAAAAGGAAAATTGAGGGGGGTCGGGGGTTGCGGGGGGATGCTGGTAGAAGCGAGAGAAGAGAAGGAAATGGAGGGGAAGGGGGTAGTGATGATCTGTGACGGGTGGGTAGGAATGTCCCAACAGTGGAATCTTGTGGTCAGAAGCTATCCTCATGGAACCTCGACAGCAGAGGAAGGCGAAGAGGTGAAGAGGAGGAGGAGTAGGGAGGAGGAAGTGGGAGGAGGAGGAGGAATGGGGAGGAGGAGGAGGAGGAGGAAGGGGGAGGGGAGGGAGGAAGGGGAGGAAAGAGGAGGAGGAAGAGGCTGATGTGGAGCCTTCAGTGTGGATGCCATCAAACACTGCGAGAACGACACGTTCGTCATCTGTACCATCGCTCGTCTCTTCCATGCCGATAGAAAGCTCGAAAAGGTGAAGCTCCTCATTCAAGGTTACTGAGTACTAAACAGTCCCTCCTCCTCCTCCTCCTCCTCCTCCTTCCTCCTCCTCCTCCTTCCTTCCTTCAGGCTCGCACTTGGTTCAATCGTGCCTGCACTCTAAACCCAGACTTCGGCGATGCTTGGGCCCACTGGTGACCAGCCTTCCTTCCTGTGTCCTCGGCTTCTCCTCCTCCTCCCCATCTTCCATTCCCTCCCTCCCTCTCATCTCCTGTTGCAGGTTTCGGCTGGAGCAGCAACATGGAACAGACGAAACGAGAGCAGAAGTCATCAGAAGGTGAGGAGAGGGAGAGAGGCAGGGGAAGGAGACGGGAAGGGAAGGGAAGCGAGGGCGGGGAGGACGAGGGTATGAGGGGGGTTGGGGCTGTGGAAGTTGATTGGGAGGATGCAGATGCAAGGATGCGAACCCTCGGCACGGAGAAGTCTGGCAGCGAGTGAGCAAAGCGGCTGGAAAGAATTTCGCCGACGTGGGAGAGAAGCTCATGGCTGTGGTGCAGAGCATTACAGAGAAGGCCTCGCTGACGAACTGAGAGGAGAGGAAAGCAGAGGAGGGAGGGGACACAACAACAGAAACGAAAAGATGGGAAGTGGAAGGTTTCTCTTCTTTTCTGTGCATTTTTCATTTCAAGACATTTGCATCGAATTAAATTGGCTGGAAATTTTATGTGCAGCGAGAGCAGACGGGAAAACAAAGGGAGAACAGGGAAGGTGGGTGAGTTGAGAGGGAGGGGAGAGAAGAACGCGCTTGACATGTAGGATGAAGGAGGTGGGAGGAGGCAAAGGAGAGGCTCAAGGAGGGAGGGAGAGGGTAGAGGAGCCAGCTAAGTCAAGGAGAGAGGAGAGAGGAGAGGCAGGAGGACGAGATCTCAGGCCTCGTCCGAGTCTGAAGAGTCAGGGATCCATCCGAGAGTCTCGAGGATTTCCTGCCGCAGGAAGACAACCATGGCAGCAACCTGCGAGCAGTGAGGAGGAGGAGGAGGAGGAGCAGGAGCAGGAGCAGGAGCAGGAGCAGGAGCAGGAGCAGGAGCAGGAGCAAGAGGAGGAGCAGGAGGATGACGAGGGGGAGCAGGAGGAGCAGGAGGGTAGAGGAGAGCAGGAGGAGATGTGAAATGAAACGTGAGGAGGGGGAGGAGGAGGAGGATAGAAGGGAGTAAGAAGTGGAGGACAGGGAGGTATGAGGAGGGAGATGAGGGGTGGTAGGGATCATATACCGTGTTGGCTGCAATCTTGCCGCAGCGGACAGAAGCTCTCGCGTCCTCGCTTGGCTCCAAGTCAGAAAAGTAGAAGTGCGTCACCTCCTTATGCTTCCTCTCGACACTTGTCCTGCACAGGAGTGAGAGAGGGGTGGGAGGTTGGGGGAGGCACGAGGAGGAGGAGGAGGAGGAGGAGGAGGAGGAGGAGGAGGAGGTTGCTGCAGGAAAGGCTCACTGAATGATTGTCTGCTCGCGGACGGGAACGATTTGAAGGCTGCGGTTGGGTCGCAGACCGTCAGTGAGGAGGAAGAGACCATCGAGGAGGAGCGACTTGCTGTGAGACTTGACCTTGACGTAGCCTGCGAGAACGTAAAGAAGCGCGAGGGCGAGTGGAAGGAGGGAGGGACAGTAGAGGGGCGGCTAAGAGGGAGGGACAGTAGAGGGGCGGCTAGGAGGGAGGGACAGAGGACGGAGGGGACGGAGGGGACGGAGGGAGGGGAAGGTGGGTGAAGAGACTTACCCTCTAAGACAGCATGCATGAGCTTGACGTCATCGAGGCAGAGGAAACGCTCGCGGGTGAGGAGGAAGAGGTTGCGAGCATAGAGCGACGTCTCCACCTCCCAGAACTTGGACCGGACAGCATTGACATGGAAGAGGAAGGGAAACCTGAGGGTGACTTCCTGCTCTTCCTGCTCCTGCAGCAGCTCCTGCAGCTTGAAGCGATCCATGTCAACCAGGTCGGCAAAGCTTCGAACGCCGAGGAGAGCAGGACGGGCGATCCTCCTGGTGGTCTCAAGGGGGACGAGCGGGTCGCTTGCGATCGATCGCTCCCACTCCTCGATAAAGTCTCTGCTCCTCCACGTAAAGATCTCCATGTCCTCCACTGCCTTCCTCACTGACACCCAGTCCTGCCCGCCGTCCTCCAGCAGCAGGGAGGAGCGGTCGATGTGGAGGCTCTTGAGGAGCAGGGACGAGACTTTCTTTGCCTTCTTGCTGACTTGCAGCAGCCGCTGGACTTCCTCGGAGAAATCGAAGTACTTGATGCGGGAGAACAGCTCCTGCCCAGTGCAAGTCAGGCGAAGATCTCACGGAGATGTTTGGAGACTTCCTCACTGCAAACAGAACAAACATCTCTTCTCAACATGTTTCATCTCAACATATATCATCTCAAACTTCTCATCACAGCATGTCTCATCTAAACATTCTCATCTCAACATGTTCCACCAGCGACAGGCACACAGTCAAACCCTCACGCTCTTCACAGCAGACAGTCTTGCATAAGACAACATCACCTTGCAGTTGTTGAGAACGTGCTCGCTGCACTCCTCTACATGCCGCGCAGCCCTTGCAAGCTGATTGCTCGCTGTCTGCGGCCGCTGACTCGCCACCTCTCCCGACTCGCAGACTTTCCTGATCCACAGCGAGACTACTCGGAGAGAGCCGGCAAGGAGTTCAACCATCGCTCGCGCGTCCTCCTCCTCCCTCAGCATCGTTCGGATGACCAGCTTGTTCAGTCCGCTGCTCAAGAACTTCCACTTGGAGCGATCGAGGTGGGACGAAGAGACGTCGCCATGGTGGTCCAGGACGCTTCCCACCCCGAACACGTTCCTGTTCACCTCCTCCTCCACCTCCTCGTCTCCGACGAACTTGGCGAGGTCCTGTGCCGTTGCCGCTATCTTCTCCTTCAGCCCTCCGACCGTCTTCACTGCCTCCTGGTGCTCTGCAGTGACGAACGTGGCAAGGACGCACTTGCTCCTGTGCTTGCTCCACATCCTTTTGAACACCTCCTTCTCCCACGAGTTGAACCGCGTGTGGATCGGGTCCACCAGCAGGAGAATCGTCGTCACTTTCTCCGCCATGGCCTCCATCATTCCCCCTTGATCGTAAGGGCAGTCGCCCCCCCTTGGTTTGACAGCGTTCACCAGCTCCTCCATCTCGATGGTCCCGCTCTCGTCCTGGTCGATGAGCTCGATGAACATGTCGAGCTGCGACGGGCGGATTCTCTCTTTACTCCTGTTCACCGTCCTCTCTATCAGAGTCTTCACCTCCTCCTTCTCCAGCGTCCCTGAGCGGTCAGCGTCTGCCTCCTGGAATTTCTTCCTGATCTGCTGCTCCAGGCTCTCGGACGAGCTCGGGTCCGGGAAGAAGTTCCGGATAGTCTGCAGGATGTCCATGCTCGAGTCCTCCCGCACCTGGCTGCCAGCAATCAGCTCTGGGGCCTGCACGAGGGTCGGGCGACAGTGCTGAGGGAGGCTGTTGAAGGACAGGCAGACGCTGCCAGCCATGAAGCGGGTCAGAGGGACTTGCGAGCTCGTCTGGAGGATGGACTTGAGCGCTTCGTCGCTGCCCTCGGTGAGAGAAGCGATCATCTTCTTCCTCTCCTCCACCTCCTTCACCCTCCTCTCGTCGCCGGCTGCCCCACCAACGCTGCTCCCCCTGCAGTTGACGTTCCAGAACGTCAGCATGCTCGACACAATCTTCTCCCTGTCTGCTGTCGCCAGGGCCTCGAGGATCTGCATGCTGAGCACGTCGTTCTCCTTCCTCCCCGACAGCAGAGTCTTCTTCACAAGCTCCCGCTGCAGCATGCTCACCAGCTCCGTCTGCTTGCTGTGCAGCTCCGAGTGCGTCAGGAGCATGAGGGCGTTGGCTCCTCTCTTCACCGTGCGCAGCATCACTTCCTCCGGGCGGCAGGTCTGCAGTAGGAAGAAATCTTCGCCGGGAAAGTCGCTGAACTGCTTGTAAAGGATTCGCTCCTGCACTGCCTGCGCTGGCGCAGGTGACTCCCTGCGGTGGGAGAATTTGACGCCGATCTTGTTGTTTGCAAACTCCTTCACTATGGTCGCCTCGTACAACTGATTTGCCGCCGTTGCATCCTGCTGCGGGTTTGCCCTCCAGATCTTGCTCTCCTCGGGGCTGAGCATGAACACTCTTCCTCCTCCGTTGTACATCGCCATGCAGGGCAGCCCGCACAGAGACGCAACCCTCCTCCTCCTCGACGCAAAGTCGCTGGTATCGAAGTGTTCCAGGAGCTCGGCCTTGTCCAGAAATCCGTCGCCTTCCCAGTCAAAGCTCGCCAGCATCCTCCCTAGCCAGTAGGAGGGGATCGAAACTCCGCGATCCTCGAACGCCTTTCTCATCGCCTCCACGCAGTGCCGGATGGAGAGTCTCGTCCCTTCCTCCGATTGGGCATCCTTGAAGCAAGAGGAGAGGCTATCGAGGATGCCCGAGCGCAGCATCCAATGGATTTCGTCTACCACCTGCTTTTCGCTCTCATACCTCTTACCTTCTCCTCCTCCCAACGCCCGGAATTCACTCATGGCGTTCATAGCAGATACAACAGCATCATGCTGCTTGTTGGCCTCGGCAAGTTGCTTCTTAGCCATCGCGATGGTCTTCTCGACGGTGATCAGGTTGCTTTGAGCTTTCTTCACAGCCTTGTCGTTTGCATTCTTTGCCTCTAGAATCTCCTGATTCGCCTTCATGGTCGCCTGAGCAGCATTGAGCTTCTCTGCAGCGGCGCTCGCCATCGCCAAGTACTTCTTCTTCAGTTTCTCCGCCGCCTGTCGCGCCTTCACCTCTGCCTCCTTGTCCTTGACCTTCTTCTGATCTCTCTTCATGTCCTCTTCGATCTTCTTTGCCTGCATGTTCAGCCTGTCGATATCCAGCTCCTCATGCTCACCAAAGACTGAGGACTGCGCGTGTCCTCCTCTCGCCCCTCCTCCTCCTCCTCCTTTCCCTGACATCTCGCTCGACGTATCAGCGAGTTGTGTCCGCAAGGTCAGGAGGCAATCTTCGATCTCACAGAGCAAGAGCTGCTCGTCGTCGTTCAGCGCAAGAGTCTTGACAAGAAACTGCTCTTCTTCAGACGTCAAGACCCCGTCAACAAGGGCATCTTCTCCGAATCCCACGGTCGTGACGAGTTTGATGAACTCAGCTGCTCGCATGGTCGATTGATACCCCCCGACCTTGACCTTGTCTGCTATCATTGCAATGAGGTTGTCCAGGTGCGCCACCTCGAGCGCCTTGCACTCAGCATGAAATTTTGTGATCGCATGCGCGATCTTGGGAGCTCGAAACAGGAGCGGGTCCGTTGACTCGCAGGCAATGGTGAACTTGTGGTCGCTGTTGAGTTGGTCATGGAGGAACGAGTCCGACGGGTTCATCCCAGCAAGCCACTTGAACAAGTCATTCTTGCAAGGGTTTCTTCCCCCAACGAGTAGTACGGTCCTCTCCTGCTGCGCATCTTCACAAGGATCCACAAGGTTGAGGTCGGCATGCGCGCATGCTCTCTTCACCACTGGCGTTGCCATCTCCTCCAACACAGGCAGGCCTGACACCTCCACTTCCGTCAAAGATGTTCCTTGACCCATGTCTTCGACAGCAAAGAAAAGCTCCTCGAATGTAGATTTCAAAGACAACCAAACCCAACGATCTTGATGCTTTATCAGCATCGCCTGTAATCGAGTTTGAATCCCCAGGGCATCTTCCTTGCAGAACGCCACAATGCTCACAGACGCGCATATCCTAGACGAGTGACGATCGTCGTGGTGAAGTTTCTCTTCTACCGAGAAGACCTGTACATCAGCAGGCAGGACATCGACGGGGGGTTGCGGCCCCTCATGCGTCGCGCCATGGGTTGATGAGCTCAGGTCTTTGGCTATCGACGCGATCAACGCGTCTTGCACTTCTCGATCAAAGCGAAGCCCCGAGGTGGTGATGACGAGCTTGAAGACACACTCAAACATCGAGTCCATCGAGCACCCGTTGAAGTTCAGCATGCTTGCTGCCTGCAGAGCTGAACTCAATCCTTGCTCATACACTCGCTTCACGACCTGAAAACCCAGATGATGGTCAGTTACCAACTTTTAGATATCCCAGCAAGGTTCATACATTCGCTGTCTCTAAGAGAGACTTGTGCCTGATAGATGCATCCTCGTCACTTAACGTGAACCATCTCTGAGGTCTCAGGCCGCCATGCCAGATGCTTGGACGCCTGGAGGCCCTGGTGCTTTTCGATCTGACTGTCTTTTTCATTATGCTTTCTTCACAGCGAGGGGCACAATTTGATTCTAGAAGCAAACAGACCCGCGATCTCCTGTGCTGATGGTAATATGTACAAGCCTGATCAGACTCTACGCCCAGCGAACCCAATCCTTGTGTACAATTCAAAAAGATACGCTACATGTGAACTTGAAAAGCTGCGACGGCATGACGCCTAATGCAACTGAAGATTGTTTGAGCATATGTTCATTCACTTATCCTCCTCATCGCGATGACTCTCGCCATATCCACCTGATCGCTCGCCTTGCTCCTCATCGCTTCCGACTTCTCGCTCACTGCCATTGGGCCCTTCGACTTCCGAATCCGTTACAGAGCAGTTACAGATGTAATATTCCCCTTCCGAGTCATTTTGACTGTGACTGAGAGTCCGATGGCACGCGATCGGACCGGCACCGTCAGTGTCCGACGGTCGTGTCGCATGCCGCTGCAGGCTGCTCCAAGCCTCGTGTGTCACTGAGTCAGCCTGGCTGGTCTTTCAGTCGTGTCACTGTGCCCGGGCCCCGAGGAGCAGCAGGGGGGCAGGCCAACCGGAGTCTGCCGGTCGGATGGGCGTTCACTGAACGGTTTCTGTCCCAGCCTGATAATGATAGTCAAGCCTAGTCTGACTCGTGAGTAGACGCGGAGATCGAGATGGAGAGTCAACTACATTCCCCTTGTCACGGTTTTTGATATTTTTGAGTTTATTCAAAACTTTCTTGATCACTCAATTTAACAGTTACCGAAGTTTCATAATTCTCAAGGTGCGGCACTGTCCTTCACGCCCCCCGGCAGGATAGTTGCTTCCTCCTCCCCCTGCTTCACTTCCTCCGGCTGTACGTCTGAGCTGACCTCCGTCCCTGGCGCACCCGCCAGACCCTCCACCTCCTCGGCCTGCGGGGGAAGAAAAATCTGCGAGCTGATCTCGAGCACGTGATCTCTCGGGGCCTCTCCCTCCCCTCCCGCTACTCGTTCCTGCTGCGCTGCTCTGCCCCGACCAGTCAGTGCCCGTCCTCTCAAGGTCTGGGGGTCAGCGGCATGGACGGGGTAGAGCACGAAGTTCTTGATCTGGTTGAGCAGCTTCCTCGCCGCCAGCTTCTTTCCCTGCGCCAAGGACGAACGTCAGAGCAGGACCAGAGCCCTCCCTCCTCTCACCAGCCGAGAGATCCACTTGCGCGTGAAGGAGAAGCGGAAGAGATGGGACTTGGCCTGGCTGACCGCATCGTTGTCCATGCTCCAGATGACCCACGGGAGAGCGACGATGCTGAAGTTGAGGAGGAGCACAATGGCTGTCATCACCTTGGTGGCCGACGGATCAGTCACGGTCTCGTCGAGGCTCCCTTGCATCCTGCAACAGTCAGACAGTCAGACAGCCGTCGGACCCTCCCAGCCTCTCACGTCTGGATGTGAAGCATGATTGCGTCTGCATCGGCAACGGTGTCAGGAGGCTGCGGTCGGACGGGAGGGAGAGGGAGAGGGAGAGGGAGAGGGAGAGGGAGAGGGAGAGGGAGAGGGAGAGGGAGAGGGAGAGGGAGAGGGAGAGGGAGAGGGAGAGGGAGAGGGAGAGGGAGAGGGAGAGGGAGAGGAAGATGATCGTACAGACGGGGATTGATACAAGGTTCACTTACAGAAGAGCGTCAGTGTCTGCGTGAAGAGCGCTGCTTGGTAGGCAAAGTTGAGCTTGCGGTTGATGTACGGGGACAAGTAAATGGCCAGCAGCAGCGAGAACAAACTGATGACGAAGCCAGCTGCTAGCTGCTGCGGCGACTCCGGGTAGATGAAGTTGACAGTGCCCATCATGAGGAACCTGCACCGAGCACGTCTGTCAGCTCTCCCAGCAGTACCCCCCCTCCCTCCGCGTACTTCCTCAGCATCTCTACCAGCTCGAAGTACCAGTAGTTTGCCTGCAGCCCGTCAGCCTCCTCCGCCTCCCCCAGTACGCTGGTACCTTATAGGCCTTGAAAATAAAGCCTGCTTGGTTGACAGCGACCTTCTCGACTTGGAAGTAGTCGTCGTTGACCACAACCACCTTCCTCCCCGGCCCCTGCTGCATGTTGTTCTGTCCTCCCTCGCTCGGGTTCACCCCCACAGTCTCTCCCTCCTCCTCCTTGCTCGTCGAGTCCTCGGCCTCTGTCAGCTGATCCTCCATCGACTGGATCTCGTCGGGGGTGAGCCATCGGCAGATAGGAACTGCCAGCACCCCCTGGAACTCGAGGCGCTTCCCCAGGAGGATAATCGCTTCCTTGAGCTTGACCTCCTGCATGCGATGAACGATCACTTCCAGCGGCATCGGGAACGAAGACTTGATGTTCTCCTCCTCGAAGAACTTCAGAGCCGCTCTCTTCAGAGCCGCTCTCCGCCTCTGCCGCTCATTGCGAGCCTCGTGCTCGAGCTCCTGCGTCTCCTCCGCACTCGCACCCTCACCTTCCTCCTCCTTACCATCGAAGTACCCCAGCCAGTTGTGCATGCGGGCAGGCCCTGCGGGATAAGCACGATTCCATCCAGGGAGCGACATGGAGTCGTAGAGGGTCTTGGCGTTTGCCTTGCTGGGCTCCCCGAAGAAGTTGTACCAGCTCATCTTGACGAAGCCGCTCTGAAGCTCCTCTATGTCTACCTCCCCCGCCCTCTTCGACGCTCCTCTCCTTCCTCCAGTCCGCGAGGTCTCCATGCAGCTCCAGAACTCCTCGCTGTCCATGACAGTCTCTAAGCTGAGGGTCTGCTCTCCTCGTAGCATCTCCTCCACGTCTCCTCCTCCCCTCGCTCCTTCCGTGTCGCTCTCTGCCTGCCCCTCACTGTCAACGTCCAGCCTCTTGCACGTCTCGTAGGTCCAGAGCGACTCGCAGATCCTCATCATGTACTTAGTCGTCCTCACGTTCTCCCTCGCTTGCTCCAGCTCGATCGCGTCGCCTGCCGCTGTCTCATCTTCCTCGCCCTTGTTCCTCTTGGCTTCGGCTTCCAGCTCGGCTCTCTTTCGGTCGAGCACCTCCTGACCGAGGAGGACGAGGGACCTTGCCTCGTCGTACAGCTGGTTGTTGATGAAGAAGATGCTCTTGGCCAGGTCCTGCCCGTCCTTTCCCATCGGGTATCGCTCGTCGAACCAGCTCCCCTCCAGCTCGTCGATCCACCTGAACACGGTCTTGCACCATTCCTGCCGTCTCCGGTAGATCATCCTGCCCTCCTCGCTCGAGCCATCCATGGCTTTGCTCATGTCATCGTACCATTGCCGGATGCTGCTCAAGATTCTGACCTTGTTGTCCTCCCTCTCCTTCCTCTGCGCCTCCCCGATCTCTTTCTCCTTCGCTTTCCCTTCCTCTCCCTTCGTCCCGCTCGTCCCGAAAACCCATCCCTACGCACGTCATCAAGTCAGCTGCGAACCCGTTGCCCCTCTAGCTACCTTTGAGCTGACGTCCAGCTCTTGCTTCGCCCCTCCTGTCCACCAGCTGCATGGCCACGTCAGCACAGCATCACAGCAGCCGACGAGACGCACTTGAAGTTGAGGACTTCCTCCAGCTGCGTTGTCGAGAGGTTCTGCGTGATGAGGAGGCGGTTCTGCCAGAACGAGTCGCTGTTGAGCAGTGAAGATATCTTGGCGATGAGCCCGGAGTTGCTCTTGCCCTTGCTCTCGCTCTTGGTCTTGTACTCCTTGAGCACCTCTATGAAGAGCAGGTTGTTGTACTTGATGTTTGCCAGCCGCGGCACCTCGTGCCTCCATAACGTCCAGACGAAGAAGACAGGCAGGCCGAAGGGATACCCGATGAGAAGAAAGAGGATCTTCCAGAACAGCGGGTGCTGCATGTTGTCGAGAGGACAGTCGACCTCGAAGTCGATGAGCAGGTATCTCTTGTCCCCCACAGTCGTGCAGACCAACCCCGAAGTGGCGAAGATGGACAGCAGCGGGTAGATCAGGAAGCACCTGGGCAGCCGTCAGGCATCCCCTCCCTCTCCTCTCCTCCCTTCTTCTTCTCCCTCGTCCTCACCAGAACAGGAGCCAGAACCAAACTCGCTCCCGCACGTGCGCGTTGTACTTGTTGATCAGCCTGACCTGCTCTTCGATTTCCTCTTCCGTCATCCCCTCATGATTGGAAGCGAGGTTTGGCTTGACCGCTCCTTCACCCTCTGCCGACGTTCTCGATGACATCCTTCCCCAACAACTCCGAAACCACTTGATGAATCGGTCCATCGCGCACAGCGGCAGGTAGCTGTCCTCGCTGATCGCCTTGGGCCCGACTTTCCTCACGAAGATCACAGGGAGGTAGAGGAAGAATCCCGTCACCACCGGCCCGATGCCGTACAGGTTCACCTTGTCCGAGTACGACATCCCCGCCAGCAGGCAGTGCATCCCCGAGAACGCGAACAGATCAAACCTGCACACAAGTCACTCTCCTCGTCCCCACTTGCTTCCCAGCTGCTCATACTTGAACGCAGTCGCTAACGACAAGATGTCGCTGATCTCGACAGGCCATGGCACGTTGAAGGAGGTAGCGAAGGACGAGGTCACCTGACGTCTGTCAGCGCACCTGCCGCCGTCTCTCCACCTTTTCTTACCTGCATGAAGCTGATGGCAACCCTAATGTATTCCCAGATCTGCATCAGCTGCCCCTTGATCATCGAGAACGTCGTTGTCGCCGCCTTCTCCTCCTTGGACAGCCCCAGCAGCGGCATCACCACTAGCACGAACCATACTCCCACCATCCCTAGCGCAAACAGCGCCTGTCCAATCTTCTGGAACGACTGGAAGTTGCCCGCGCACGGCTTGCACTCCGCTCCTGCGGTGCCACGTCATCAATCGGCCCCTGAAACTTCCCGCCGCAACTTACCATACGCTGACCCCGCCATGAAGTACCCGTCATCGCACAGAGCGCAGAGCACTCCCTTGCGTCCCTTGGTGCAGTTGTTTGCCGACTGACAGGCTGACGGAGGGCAGCGGTAGACAGGGACGGAGAGGGTGCTGTTGCCCTTGGCCCTCCTCGCAGTGACTGAGTTCAATGTCCAGTACCCTTCCTTGGCTATCTGCTGACTTCCTCCGGGACAGTCTACCATCTGCAGGTTGCAGGGGATGCACAGGCTGAGTGCGGTCGAAGCCTTCTCGACCGACTGGATGCCGGCGTCGAAGTCGGAGGCGACCGGGCTGTAGTAGTTGGTCGGGCACATGATACACTCGTCCAGCAGAGGCTCGTCGCGCTTGCGGACAAGGATGTAGCCAGCTGGGCAGGAGTCGATGCGGTAGACTCCATCATGAAGCTGCCAAACAGCCCCAGCAACCTTGGGGATCAAGTTCTGACCGTCGCAAGTCGCTCCTGTCGGACATGACTTGCAGACTTCAGCGGTAGTGGAGTAGTACTCCACGCCTGGTTGACACACCTGGCAGCTGTCGGTTTGACAGTTGTACTGGAATCCTGCGTTGCACTTGTAGCTGCAGCTGTCGCTGTTTCCTCCGTTACTCGTGAACTTGCTGTCCTGGGGCTTCCGAGTGCAAGGCAGGCAAGGCGTGTCTGCGCTGGATCCCTCGGGGCAGTCGGGCTTGAAGTATCCGATGGAGCAGTTGGAAGTCGGTCCGCACATCTGGCACAAGCCATCCCCCCGGTACGGCTTGTACGATCCTCCCGGACACGAGTAGCAGGAGAGCCCGGACCCGGCGTACCCAGCTTTGCACGAGCAGTTGGCGATGGAGATGCTTCCTTCAGGCGACCCTGTACGAGCCGGGCAGAGCATGCAGTAAGAGCTTCCCGCATCTCCGTTGTACGTCCCCTCCGCACACTTGACGCACGAGACGTTGAGGGCCCCCGAGTAGCTTCCTCTGGCACAGGGCAGGCAAGTCCCCTCCCCCGAGCTGGTGTAGCCCGCGACGCAAAGGCACATCTGCTTGGAGCTGCCTGCCCTGCTCGTCGAGTGTGCGGTGCATTGCTCGCAAAAGGTTGCTGCGGCGGCAGAGTACTTGTCTGCAGGGCAGTCGGCGCATGCCCCCGAGCCCACCTGGTCCTTGTACTTGCCTGCGGGACATCCCACACACTGGCCACTCAGCAAGCTGTATCCCATGACGCACCTGCAGTCTGTCAGGCTCGTGGAGCCCTCAGCGACGGTTGTCTGGTACTGCGGACACGAAAGACATGACGAGCTGCCGGTCTTGTTGTTGTACTCTCCTACCGGACACACGGAGCATTGATCGCCGAAGCCTTTGTAGCCTTGCTTGCACGCGCACGCAGTGCTTCCAGGAGAGGAGATCGTGTTGGCCGTGCAGTCAGAGCAGGCGGTCGAGCCGTTGCCTGCCCGATCGCTGTACGTGTTGGCTGGGCATTGTACACACTCAGAACTACCGGACACAGCCGAGTAATGTCCGGGCGGGCATGACAAGCATCGTGCGCTGTTGGCCGTCGGGCTGTAGAAGCCTTTCTCACAAGCAACACATTCTCCCAGGCTGTACGTCCCGTCTGCTTTCAACGTCCCGCAGTTGATCCGGACGGTTCCAGCCGGGCAAGTTTGACAGCTCTGGCAAGAGCAGGTAGTCTTGGAGGAGAGGTACGTCCCGGCAGCGCATGCTGTGCAAGTGCCGTAGGAAGAGTCGCGGCAGATGCTGTTCTCAAGTGTGCCGCATTCCCTCACAGTCCCTCCAGTGCAGTTGTTGCAGGCCAGACATGAGGAGGAGGAAGCGTCATAGTACTTGCCACTCGCACAAGCGACGCACTTGATGTCTGGGCACACTGAGACGCTGTCTTTCACCAGGCCAAACTCACACACGTTGCAAGGAGTGCATTTCAGCGCTCCTGCTTTGCTGAACGTGCCTGCCGCACAAGCCAAGCAGGACATGGACACACTAGTCGTGGTGAAGGTGAAGGAGGCATATTTTCCTGCATCGCAAAGACAGCTTGTGATGTCTGCCGACCCTACCGATGATGTCGAGGATTCTGGACAAGAGCGACAGATGTCGTCTGCTGCTCCACTGTATGCTCCCTTGGGACAAATGCCGCACTTGTTGTCTTTGAAGCTGCCAACGAAGTTGCTGCTAAGCTGAGGGTTCTGCAGCTGCTTCCCGTATCCCCCGTTGCACTTGCAATCAGATATTTCGCTGCTGCCTGCCACACTGTTGGAGTTTTCATTGCACACGCTGCAGGTTGTGTTTCCTAGCGTAGGCTTGTACTGACCGGGTGCGCATTGCGAGCATTTTTCAAGGACGCTAGAGTTGGTGTAGCCCTTCTGACAGATACATTGATTTATGACTGTAGCTCCAGTAGAGGCAGTCGAAGACGACAGGGGGCATGTGGTGCATGTCAAATTTCCTGCCTGCGATTTGAACGTTCCGACTGCGCATGTCTGACAAACTTGGCTGGCGCTGTTGAATCCGTTCCCAGCAGAGCAAATGCATGACCGACGGTCCGCTCCTGACGTGTAGAGACTGTCGCACAGGCGGCAGGAGACGTTCCCAACCGTACTCTTGTAGTACTGGCTCGCGCACATCACGCATCCTCCTCCTGAGGGCTCGAAGCCTTGCATGCAAGAGCAGTTGGCGCTTCCTGGGAACGAGCTCATGGTCGCGGGGCAGGCAAGACATCCCGAGTTGCCAACGAAGTTCTTGTACTTCCCTGCCTCGCACGGCACACAAAAGCCATCGGCCCCCTGCGTGTACCCTGCTGCACACACGCAGTCTGCGACGCTCTTGGCTCCTTGCAATGATGACTTGAAGCTTCCAGGGCAAGTCTGGCATGATCCGCTCCCCGGCACATCCTTGTACTTCCCTGGCAGGCATGGTGTGCAGCTGTAGTTCTCATACCCAGCATAGCACTGACACGAAGAGTCTGCATTCGTCGAACAGGGCTGGCAAGCTTCATTCCCGATGGTCGGCTTGCGAGTGCTTGGAGGACATGCTGAGCAATTGCTACCATTCAGAAAGTACTGAGCTTGGCACAGGCACGCGCTGACATCTTTGCTGCCTGCGGCAATAGAGAAGGAGTTGATCGGACAAGACAGACAGTCCCCGCTGCCAACCGTATTCTTGTATGTCCCTGCTACGCATGGCACGCAGTCGCCCGTGGAGTAGCTGTGGGTATATCCCTTGTCACACTGACAGTCACTCAAGGAGCTTCCTACTCCAGCAACGCTCTTCCCCAGAGGACAACTGCGACAGGCGCTCTCTTCGCACGCTGCGTTGTCTGGCCGAGAGGTTGAAACGTCTCGTAGCAGTGCTCCCCATGAATTATCCTGATACTGGTATGAGAAGGTGATGCCTACCAGCCGCCCGGAACCGTAGTCGGCCTCCCACACTGTTGTGCAGTCACTTTGGTACTGGCCTTGATACACAGTAGAGACTGTGATGTCGTAATAGGAATACAACGAGCTGATGCAGGGAGCATACTGTAGGGTGTAGGATGCAACGCAAGTATCGTTGCCCGCAGGTGAAGACATGTCCCACATGTACTGATAGTTAAGATAGACTCCCATGTAGCTGGCAGTGTACATTCCGCTCGTGGCGTCTAGCAGCACAACCGTACCTCCTCGCATGATGTAATAGTAGAGCAGTGACAAATACGTGCTATCGTATTCAACGGCATAAGAAGGTACAATGACCAGCCTCGGGTTGCTTTGTAGATGGGCCTCTAGCTCGCTGGCGTAGATCGCTTCAAACTGAACATCACTGAGCGCTCGGCCAATCACTTCCATGTCAACGGAGTAGTCACGAACGACGACAACCGTCTCCTTCATGCTGTACTTGCCTGAGGGGCATGCGACGCATGCACTCGAGCTCGAGTCATACATGTGCCCGGATGTGCACAGACAATATGACGACCCGTTCTGCAATGTGAAAGAGTTTGGGGGGCAAGCACTGCACCGGGAGCCGTTGACAAACGTGTTCATCGGACACTCCAAGCACTGTCCGTTACTCAGCGTGATCGACCCGGTGCCGCAAGCAAGGGTGTAGGAGATGATGACGTCATACATGCCGGTGGTCTGCTGTAGTTGGCGGCGAGCATCATTCTTTGACGCATTGACCCGCATAGCATGAAACTGCTGCATTGGAAGTGGGTTCTTGTACGCTCTTGAATTGTAACTGCTCGACGAACTGCTGTAGAAGCCATTGGACTGTGTGAAGTAGGCGTTGCTCAACCCGTAGTACCTTGAACTGAAAATGGCGTTCTCGAGGCACGTGGTGAGTGAAGTGTAACTAGTCTGACTGCTGCACTGCTCCTGGAAGGCGCTGCCTGCCGCGAGAGAAGAGAGCCAGCAACATCCTTGATTCTTGTCTGCGCTCGTGTAGGATGTTGCTGAGAAGTCATACGACGTAGAATAGTGGTATGCGAACGCTATGCTGTGCATTCGCTCCGCCACCACGCTCTGTCCGACCTGCAACGAATCTGTCTCGACCTGCGAGACGCAGTCGGACCAAGGGCTCAACATGATCTGATCCGCAAGGGGAATGAGCGAGTTGCACGTCCACAGGCTCAAGTAAAAGTATCCAGCATCCAATGATGGAGTCAAAAATCGATCCACTTGGAATTTAGTTTTTGGACCGCTTTCAGACTGAACGTCCGAGTACGCAAACCAGCTGCAGAGCGATGGAGTCATGACAGACGCGGACTTGCTGATCACGATGTTGCCTGATGACTGAGCAGCCCACATGTTACATCCAGAATCGGAGGTCGTAGCAGAGTAGTAGATATTAAATCCTTGATCCGTCACAATATCGTCACTGTAGAAGTAGACATACACTCGATCAGTCTTGAGAGTCACGACGTGCAAAGCTGAGCTGTACGAAGGGCCAGTCATGAGAGAAGGAAATGCATACACCAAGCCACCCTTAGTTGCATTGTAGTAAGTGATGTCGAGATAGTCGTAGCCATACTCGACCTTGTACTCTATCTCAAGTTGGATCGACACTGCGTTAGGAGGCTGAATGATCCACCCGCAATTCAAGTTGTCGTCGTAAGGATCTCCGACTCCGAAGGAACCTTGAACTTCAGTGAGCACAGTCAGACCTTCACATGTCTCAGAGATATCCATGGTTTGCTGAAAGCTTATTGATGGAAGTACTACCACGAGGAGGGCAAACAGAAAATCCACCGTCTGCATCCTTCACAAAGCAGCAGGCCTGAAGCGCTTGAAGCGCTGCTTCAGCTAAGAGCAACTATATGTCTTGTGTATATTGTTCGAGGATGGGTGGGAGGAAGGGGGAGAGAGCGAGGAGCAAGAGGAAGGGGAGGAGAAAAAGAGGAGAAATGGTGGGGCAACGGATGTACTGCGCAGCGCAGCGCAGGTCACCCGAGACTACCCCCGTACACGTCACACTACCCCTACCCCTCATAACCATTTTACTTGGATTCTCGGTCCCCCCACCCCCTATCATTCCCCTGTTTGGCAGTTAACCCTATTACGAGTATTCAATTGAGGAGTACGATACGTAACCTATATACCCCCCACCCCCCCTGTCCCACGTCATGGACCCTCCCTGGTGTTTGACCGGCACTGTTCTTTTTTACTTGGCAACTTACTGGGTGGTCCTTTTTAAACCCCACCCTGGTACTGATTGACAGTACCGGCAGTACTAGGTCACACGGTTGTCAGTACACATTGTGTCAAAAAATGACCAGCCCTCTCTGCGAGCGCAGGTAAGGCAATACCTGGAACTTTACTCAATCGAAGTTCAAAAGTTGATTTTTACACCACCACCCCCTCTTGCAGACTGAGTGTAGACTTTTGACTTTCGTGGCAGTTGATCACCCCTTGTTCTGACTGTGATAAATGGGGTACTGACTTTCACCACCCATTGCCAATGAAACACAGCAACGCCGTCATGAACTGAACGCACATACTCATGGTCATTGTGCAAAGCAGTGGCGGCGAAATGAAAGGACCTTGGATTTGATTCAGTGCGTTGGATCGCTCATCAAGGATCCCAGCCGACTTTATCAAGTCACAGTGCGTCGAGTTCAAGTAGAAGGTGAGTCCGAGAAGCAAGGAAGACGATAAAGCTAACGTATGATTCGATGGGATAGTTGTCAGTAAAACCCGGAGGGACAGGTGACCGTCCTCGTCCTTCCAAAAGTCTTGTTGTATATCCAGGGCGTTCTTCGAATTTCCCTTCGGTTAAAACCACAGCAGAGCCAGACGAGAACATGGGAGTTGACAAATGGACGACAGCGTGCGTTTTCCTTCTAGTGCTTTATTACAGCTCTACCTTTCTATGAGTTGCTGCGACAGTTCGCTGAAACTCGTCGGACAAGCTCCTTGAGCACTTATCGTCTGCAATATCACAATCTACCATCTTGTAAAATGTCTCATGCCTTCTGCCTTTATTTCTTTTCATCGCTGTCTTAGTCTGAGCCCTAGTCTGAGTCAGTACATCACGCCTTCCCCACTACTCATCCTCAGTCTCTGCCCTCTGTCTCTCTTGTCTCTCTAATCCCTGTCTCTTTCTCTCAGTGTTTCTCAGTCTCACTTTGGCGCCAATTCACGATTTCTTCTTCTTCCTGTTTAAGTGTCTGTGTCTTTCGCTCTTCCTCTTCCTCTTCCTCCTCGACCCTCGGCTTACTGTTGCTTTCTTCGATTATCATTCGATCCCCCCCATCTCTTCAACGACTCCATCACTGACTCTCTCTGTCTACGTCCCTGACTGATGTTGTTTCTAACTCTCTTAGCATCAAAACAATCCCTAGCATCATTCCATCAAGACAATCCCTAGCATCATTCCATCAAGACAATCCCTAGCATCATTCCATCAAAACAATCCCTAGCATCATTCCATCAAAACAATCCCTAGCATCATTCCATCAAGACAATCCCTAGCATCATTCCATCAAAACAATCCCTAGCATCATTCCATCAAAACAATCCCTAGCATCATTCCATCAAAACAATCCCTAGCATCATTTTCATCGAACAGTTCCTAGCATCATTTCCATTTCAAGCATCTTTCCCGCCATAAAACCACATAACGAAACCACCCCTGCCACGACATACCCCTCTCTTTTCCACGAGATCTTGGGGAAATTCCAGGGTAGTCGCGAGGGGGGTGGTATGTCGTGAATTGCCAGGGAGCGGCACATGAGCGGGGGATGACAATGTTGGAAGCGCGGCGAGCAGGAGCGGCGGGGGCGGACATGCAGGAGATGCTGGAGCTCTGTGCAGCATATCCCCCGAGCATGGTGGAAGAGCTCTTGATGATGCTGCAGAGAGGCGGGAGCGAGGAGGATCTGGATGCGTTGGGATTGAGAATGAAAGAGAGCAAGGGAAAGGGCGTGTTACGCGTGTATCAAGCTCTCCTAGAGTGTGCTGGGGGTGTACAAGGAGCCATGGTATCTGCCCTGCGCGAGCCCTCTTCTTTAACATCCTCTCCTTGGCGTGAGAAGTTCCTCCGACGAAAGAACGATCCAAGCAAGATGTCGTGGACTGGGTTGACATGTGAAAGCGTTGTTCAGAACCGCTCCTCTCCCCGCCCGACTATTGAGCAGAGCTCGGAGAGCAGTGTTTCAAACACGCCGCCTGCCTCAAAGCAACCGAGCATGCCCTTGGGACGCGAGTCTCTCACGCTTGGGCAGAAGGAAGGGAAGGCCAGCACTCCATACAAGACTCCCACATCCAACAACAGAGCCAGCTCTGCTCACAAGAACTTACCTGCCAACGTCTCACCTGCCAACCTCCCACCTGCTATCGTCTCGCCTGCGAACGTCTCGCCTGCCAACCTCCCACCTGCGATCGTCTCGCCTGCCAACGTCTCACCTGCGAACGTCTCACCTGCCAACGTGTCACATGCCAACATGTCACCTTCAGGCGTGTCATCTGTTGGCGTCTCAGCACTTCCTACGGTGAAACTGTCGACAGGTCCTACAAGGGTGACAGCGACGGTAGAGGCAAAGCAAGAAGGGAGGAATGGCAGCGACATCTCTTCCTTGCCATCGAGAACAGGGCAGCCTGCTAAGATATCAGCACTATCCTCATTCCTGAACTCACCTGAAATGCAAAATAGTAGGCAGAAGCCTTCAACCCCCAAGGCTGCTGACGAGGCGTGTAAAGAAGTTACGGGAGATGTACAGGGAGATCAACCAATTGCTGAGCAACAGGGCGAGCAGCCGGCTGAGAGCCCTACGGCAGTCCATGAAGAAACCTGCACAGAAAGCCCTTTAGATTGGGAGCGTCTCTTCAACCTAATTTCTGACTCCAAAGAAACTATCAGCAGAGATCAGTTTCTTGCTTTCCTCAAGGACAAGGGAAGGGAGATCTTGGGGATTGACGACGACGACGAGGAGATGATAGAGGCCTTGTTCAACGACATGACGAACGACGCCTTCAAGGCATCAGATCAAATCTCTCGCGCTGACTTCTTCAAGGTCTTCGAGGTCACAGAGCACCAACAGACAGGCTCATACAGCAAATCCCCTCAGGCGAAGAAGAAGAGGAGATCCAGAGAGTTTCCTGGGCAGGGTTACGTCTGTCAGGTCGTGTCCTTGTCTTCCTCTCCCTTTCCTCCACTGATTGCTAGTCTTGCAGCATTGTGGGAAGGAAGGTGGAAAGAAGGACTCTCACTGGCATCAGAATTGTCCAGTCCTCCTGCAGAGTCAAAACCCTGAGCACTTGAAGCGACTGAAGGGCAAGGTACGTCTCACGATCCCTTACCCAGTGGCAGCTCCTTCCTCCCTTGCCTGTGCTGTCCTGTGCAAGGCCTCCTTTGCTGACTTCGCCGCTCCTTGAAGGTTGTTTCCAAGGTTGAAAAGAGCCAGCAAGGAGAGGGGAGGGAGCTGGCGTTCATCAAGATGGAGTCTAGCCCAGGGGTAGCTGACGTCTATGTTCCTAAGAGCATCTTCATCGGCCATGATCTTGAGGATTGGAAGAGAGTCCGCAAGGGATCCGTGATGGAAGTTATGGCCCACCACATGGTACGCGGGTCCAACAGGTGGCGAGCAGCGACTTTCTTGAACTTGTGTACGGAGGAAGGTAGCGAGCGGAGGGGAGTTGCTCTCCTTCTGACTGCTGCATGCAGGCCAGTCGCCTGCAAACAGGCCATCGGCAGACAACAGAAACAGTTCTCCTCAAGTCATGCAGTCGAGCTTGAAGGTGAGAATGGGTAGTGCTTACAACGGGATGGATAACTGTGTTCCTGTCAGCCGGTGAACGTGCGCGCGGCGTTTGTGCAGAACAAGAGGAAGCGATCTTCGAGGGGGAACGACGACGACCTGATAGAGTCGAGAGTGATCAACGACAGGACAGGGAGGAACGAAATCGCTAAGATCAAAGAGGTACATGCCAGTCAAGAGAAGAAGCATAAGACCCTCGCTAAAGACATTGCGACTGAAGGCAACGCTCCTCCCCGACCGCAGGCCCCAGCAGCCATCAGCGCTCACGGGGAGGAGAGCAGGAGGTTGGAAGACGGCCCGACTTCGGAACAAAGGCAGAATCAGGACGACACGGACAGTGAAGATGAACCAACCCTGAGCATCGACGAGGACGAGGATGAGGACGAGGACGAAGTGGAGAAGGAGAAAGCGCCAACAAACGACGGGAATGGGAAATCGGATGGAAAGGAGGAGAGACATAGTCAGAGATTGAACTCTCCGAATGGTTCGAATATGAAGAGGAGCGGGAAAGACAAGAGGCAGGGGACCAAGGACAGGCATACCTCTTCACGGGCGGGAAAGAGGAAGAAGATCGATGCTGACTGCACGTTCTGGCTGAAAGGATGTTGCAACAAGGGGGACGCCTGCCCTTTCTCGCACCAGGCTGAACCTCCAATGATCGTCTGCAAGTTTCTCCTGCGGGGAGACTGCTCAAGAGGAGATGCCTGCTCCTTCTCGCACGACCTTTCTCGCATCCCTTGCAAGTTCTTCCACGTCGGTGGCAACTGCAGCAAGGGGGCTGCATGCCCCTTCGGCCATGCGGCGCTGACGGAGGATCAGGTGAGCTGGAGATTGAGGAAGGCAGGAGGAGAAGAGGACGAGGCCGGGATGGAGGGAGGCGGGGAGGAGAGGAGCTGACATTGCTGCAGAGGGAATGGGTGGAGAGGGAATGGAAAGTGAACTCAAAGGAGATGAAGGAGCTGCTGGCTAAGGCATTACGAACTGAGCAGGTCTTCTACCCCTTGTTTAGAGCACGCTGGCTGACTGGTCGACGCAGGAGGCGAAGGCTCGGGTAGAGGCGGGAGAAGAAGTGCACGTGGAGGACGTGAGTGGGAGGGGGCCGGCAATGATCTGGGGGGAGGACGACGTTTGGCTGGGCATCCCCATCACCACCGGGACAGCAGGACTGCAGCAGGATCAAGAAATGTAGAAGCGAGGAGGATCGGGCGATTCGTGTGGTAGTGGAAGAGGAGGTTAAGGAGGAGTAGGAATGGATGAGGGACGCGAAGGTATCGATGTTGAGGTCAGTTGTTGATAGATCAGAGATCAGCGTTTCTTGTGCTTGCTCTTGCTCTTCTTGTCGTCTTTCTTCTTGTCTTTCTTGTCTTTCTTCCCCTGCTCGTGCTCATGTCACAAACTCCCCACCTCTCGTCCCCTCAACAGTCTCTACCCAGACCTCTGCTTCCTTCACTCCTCAGCTCCCAACCCCCATACTCCTCCCACCCTCCGCCCATCCTCCTCCTTTCCTCCTCCTGACCTTCTTCTTGCTCTTCTTGCTCTTCTTGCTCTTCTTGTTGGAGCTGCTGCTGGAGTCGCTGTCGCTGTCGGAGACCGGAGGAGTGACGGGCTGAGGAGCACGAGACTTGAGCTTCCCTCGCAGATCCGAAATGTCCGGAAGATCCATGAGGTTCTGGAAACAGAGGAGGGAGAAGTTGAAAGAAGAGAGATGAGGAGGAGGAGGAGGAGGAGGAGGAGGAGGAGGAGGAGGAGGAGGATGGAAGGGCAGGGCAGAGAAAGGAAGGAGCAAGGACTTTCAGTGAGCAGCATCAACCTTGTCATGAGCACTACCTGAAACTTGGCATTCTGCCCAATAGCTCTTTTCCTCGCTTGTTCGATCCCTTCCTTGTAGTCGTCCGTTCCCATCATCTCTCCGAACGCATCGGCAGTGTCCTTCCGACCTCTAATCTCGTTTGCCCCCTCCTCCTTCTCCTTCTCCTGCTCCTGCTCTTCCATCTCTTTCGCCTTCGCCTTCGCCTTGTCCTCCTCCTCTTGCCTGAAGTCGCATCAGCCTCCCACTAGACCCTCTCCCACATTCACCTCATCGCCTTCAAGTCAAGGACCTTGTAGGGGACAGAGGAGGAGGGATCGATCTGAAACGCGGGGTTGATCGGAACCGCAGCTGCTTCCTCCTCCTCCTTGTCCGATGCCTCCTTCTTGCTTCCTGCACTCCCCTCTTGTTCCTTCACCTTCACGCTCTCCTTCTTCGAGGTCTCGTCCTCAAGCATGGCCATCGCATTCGCCGAATTGTTCGTTCGGATGTCTTCCTCCTCCTCCTCCTCCTCCTCCTCCCGGTCTACCTCCTCTTCATATGGCCTTATCTTGTCGCTGGTTGCCTTGTGTGCGAGCTGCCTAGCATCTGCTGCTGCTCGAGGTTTCGAAGGCTCTTGATTCTGAACTTTCTCGATTTTCTTCTCCTCCTCTGCAAACTTCCATCACTTCTCTCCCAACTCTCATCTCCCTCACCTCTATCCGTGCTTTTTGCTTGCTCCTCTGCCTGCGCCGGGGTGACGTCCCATCTCCTCCTCCTGTAATTCTTCCCTCCTCCCTTTGATGCCTCGTCCTTCGGCTTGTCCTGTTCACATCCGATTCTTTAGCAGGAAGCGAGGTCGTCCAGGCAATGTAGAGAAACAGGATAGGAAGGGGATGTGGAGGAAAGGAGGGGGAAGGAGCGGGGGGAGAAGGCATCGGGGGAAGGAGAGGGAACGGGGCGAGGAGAAGGAATCGGGGGAAGGAGAGGGAACGGGGCGGGGAGAAGGAGTTGGGGGAAGGAGAGGGAACGGGGCGGGGAGAAGGAGGTGGGGGACGAGGAGGGGATAGGAGGGCAAAGAACAGCGGTCTTACTTTTTCTTTCTCCTTCGCCGCCTGACTCGCGAAGAATTCCAACATGCCGTCCAGCGTGTTGATCTTCTCCTCCTCCGCCAAAGGGGCAGCAGCATCCTGCTCCTTGACTTCTTCCGTTCCTTGCTGCACCGACTCCGGCACCTCGTCCTCCTCGTCCTCGCTGTCGTCATCGAAGATCGACTTGAAGACGGAGGCCGGAGGGCGAGAGGTGAGCGGAGCCTCGGTTGCCGGTTCGACCTTGTTCTCTTCCTCCTTCTTCTCCTCCTTCTTTCCTTCCGCATCCTTCTTGCTGTCCTTGGAAACTTCTTTCCCCTCCTCCTCCTCATCGTCCTCATCGTCGTCGTCCGGGATCAAGAAGTCAAGTTTTTCCATGGCATTTCCTAACCTGAACGAGCGGGAAAGAGGTCACGGAGGAAGAAGCAAGAGGCCTGTGAGAACAGCAGGAGGACGAGGGAGGGGAAAGCAGGACCACAAAATAGTTCGTGGGAGTGCCGACGGAGAGGGAGGACTGAGGGGAAGGCAAGCAACAGCAGGAGGAGGACCTTGATGTAGATTCCTTGGTTCCCCCAAGAGGTTGAGGGCGACCGAAGAAGGGATCAGGGACGTTAAATCGCCGGCAGACCATCTGTGAAGGAACAAGCGGAATGTCAAGAGAAAAGGGAGGAGGGTGGAAAGAGGAGAGGAGGAAGCGAGGAGGAGAGGAGTGAGAAAATGAGTGGAGGGCATGGAGTAGAAACGAAAGAAGAAAGGAAAAAAAAACGTAAAGGAAAGCCGAGAGACGGAAGCATGGGAGGAGGGGGAGGAGGAGGGGGAGGAGGGGGAGGAGGAGGGGGAGAAGGAGGAGGAGGAGGAGGGAGCAGCACGGGGCAGTGGAAGGGGCAGGAGCGCGACCTTATCTGGTCGCCATTCTACTCTTGTCCGTGTCAGCCTGCCGTACATGCCTGCTCGCGCTGCAGAGAAGGCAGAGTCTCCGTCCTCCGCCGTCCTCTGACCAGCAAAACGGGAGGCGAGAGCTGAGGAAGGAGCCTGCTTGTCTCCTGCTCCTTCCTTCTTCTCGTCTCCGTATGCAGGGCGAGCAAACATGGCTAGAGCAGAATTAGAGTCAGACGGAGTGTCAGAGAAAAAAAATGGAAGCGACTACAAGGAGCGAACAAGGAGGTTTAGTTGTGATGAAAATGACGAGGACGATGAAGAGAAGGAGAGCAAGAAGGAAAATGCTCTTGACAATAATGAGAAGAAGACCTGCAGATTTCTCGAACTCTTCTCTCTCCCTCTCGACTTCCCAAGGCTTCAAGCCTGCGGCTCGACTTGCAAGAACAGCAGCTGCAGGGTCTCTAGTCTGTTTGTGCAGAGCAGGTAAGAATGCATGAACAAGCATGAAACATGAGTCGACAGATGAGCATCAGAGAATTGAGTATCGAGCACGAACAAGCAAAACATCAAGCAACAAACGACCCCATCCCACGTCAAGTCAAAAGACAAGTATCCTGATCGCAGTCGTTCTCGTCATCCTCAACTCGTCAAGACAACGACAGGGAGCGGGTGAGGAGACCTTGAGGTAGGCCTCGTATCTCGCTTGCTTGGCGGGGTCATGGCTGAAGGGCTTGAAGGAGCTGTCCCCTCCTTCTCCTGCCTCGCTTGACCTCGCAAACTTGGATCCGAGCATTGCCTGAACTTTCCTCGTGTGCTCTTCGCTCATCGCGCTGCTCGCAATAGCGAAGGCTGCGCGCTGTGCGTAGGTCTGCTGGAGATCCTCCTCCTTCCGGGAGGGAAGTGGAGCCTCGCCAAGGATCTCTCCTCGCGATTTGGCAGTGTGCCGCACCGCCTCCTCCTTGGTCGAGCTCTTGCCCTTGGCGAGGGCGAACAGCTGCTCGCTGTTGCACTCCTCAAAGCTCTTGGGCACCGTCTTGGGCGCGTCCTCCATCCCCTTCAGCGGCTCCGGCCAGACATGATGCGGCGTGAAGCCCTCAGGGATCTAGGCAAGCGCATGAGCGAGGCGAGCGAGCAGGTTGAAGTGACCTTAGGGGGGTCGTAGCGCTTCTTCTCCTTCGGCGGATCCGTCGCGAGCTCGAAGCCAGGGATCGGCTTTCGTCCATCTGAGCAGACGAGCTGAGGAGGAGGAGGGTCGAAGTCAGCTCCTCGCAAACACACTCCAGCAACAGGATACTCGCTGACAAGTTCGACTCACCTTCGACTGGAACGCAGGGATTGCGATCTTCGGCTTCTCCATCGCCTGCTTGCTTTTCTTCTTGGGCTGTCGCATAGCATGCATCATGGCCTCCTCCTCATCCTCCCCCTCATCCTCTCCCAACGTCGTGTCGTACTCCCTCTTCCAACCACCATCTGCAAACCCGTCAAACATTCCGCAAGAACGAACAGAATAGCAGCAACCGTCTTCCTCCATCCCTTCTGCCCCTTCGTCCATAGTCTGCTTCTTCTTCGTCTGGAACGAGCCCAGCATAACGCGATTGCTCGGAGGCTCTTCCTTGCTCGAGTTGGCGCTCGCCGCATTCAGCAGCCCAGCAAACTCTGGGGTGGCGGCTAGAGGGTCGAAACCCAGACCATAGAAATTTCCCTTCACATCTGCTTCAAAGATCTGCACGTCCTTGGGGGCGAACTTGAAGTCCTTGTAGGTCTGACTGATCTGTACATCTTCATTCTCCCCTCCTTTCTCCTCCTCGTCCTCCGTCCTGTTCTTCCGCTTCCTCGGACCCACCCCCTGCCCATCCTTCCACCCCATGATTCGGAGGAGCTTCAGCCCGATGGAGTCGTTTGTCGGCTCTAGAAGCTCATCCGGCACAAGGATGTTGGTTGGCAGCTTTGCTGATCTCCCTCCCAGCCCAGCAAACTCTTCGGTCGTCTGTATATCCTTTCCATCGCCCTGCTCCGCCAGGTCCGAGGCGTCCATGAAGTCTTCCTTCTTCTGCTGGTTGTACTTGGCCCTGTTGGACCTCGACGACACGAACGTGGAAGGAGTCCATCCTTCTTTCGACCCCACCGTGTTGAAATAGCCGGCCGAAAAACCTCCCGTAAACGCCCCATGGAATCTTCGTTTCGGGTCGGTGTCCGCGACTTCCTGCTGCTGGAAGGGAGTCAGCAGAGTACGACACAAGGGGATTCGGAATCATTGCACGATAATGGAGGCGTCGACCAACAGAGTGTAAGGAGCGCATGATGTGGTACTGCGTGCTAGCAACCAGGCTCTACATACCTGTTCCCCAGGGTTCTTCAACAGGTTCTTGTACGCCTTGGTCGTCTTCGCCTCGCCCTCCTCCTCGTAGACAAGGGTACCAAGGATCGACATCCCGGCATCTGCATCGTCCAGAGCCTCGTCCTCGTCCCACCCGTCCACCCCTCCTCCTACCGCCTCCTCCCTCCGTTTCCTCCCCTTCATGGCATCCGCGCCTTCGTTACACAGTTACAAGTGGTTACAAGCCGTTGTGACTTTCAGGGTGTCCTCATCCCCTCTCATAACCATGTGTCGCACTGATGGTCACAGAATGGGGGGTAGGGGGTCATATTTTTCTGGAAAAAAGAGGGTGTATTTTCTGCGTAATTTATGGGGTAGTGTTATAAAAGAGAGGGTGGGGTGGGATAGTATTGATTGATCCATGGTGAGGGATCCGTTGTAGGACGACAGGAGGGGGAGAGGAGCGAGGTGAGAGCAGGGAATGGCCATGAGCGGGATCCGTAGCTGCATATTGACATGCACAGGATTGGCATGGCAAGGGTCGAGGTCGAGCAGCTTGAAGGTGCTGCTTTGATCGATCGCCCCCATGACTGTTGTTGGTTCGTTTTGTGTACACAACTCCATCGGCAAGGGGAGTCTGAGGTTGCGAGGCCCTCCCATCCCACCGACCTCATCTGATTCTGACATGATTGCATCGCAAAGTTTTCCTCATCCCAGATTGAACCAAGTATGAATCAGGGATGCCATAGGTCTGCGAAATCGGGATGGGCGGGAATGCGACTCTTGGCACTTGGGTAGAGGCCGCATTCAGGATGGTAGCTCACCAATGCACGGTGATTGTGCTCCTACTCATGTGCATGCTCGGCCATGCTCGAGGCAGCACCTGCTTGAAAGAAGTCCTCCATGCAGCTGACGGGAAGATCATACTGTTCGACGTGGTTGTGTCAGTGTCGTTCAAGAGAGTGTTCCTCATTGGGCCGCACGAGAAGCTGTGGGTGGTTCCTACCACTCCTCTTCTGTATGCAAACTCTGTCTTCTTCCCCTACTACTTCAACAGAGGGCAGGTGCAAGATGGGCAGCCCAAGGGCAGCTACTGCAATTTCTCCATGGCGGGGAAAGGTGGTCAGAAGGAGAGTTGGATGTTAATGGATTTCGTCATGGACCCTCTGAAGAACGTCAACCTGGCATACTGTGCTCTACCTGACGACGTTCTCTCTCGTCTGGTGGGGGAGGACCTGGAGTTTTCTGTTTCGTTCAGCGGCAAGGACGGGAGGGAAGTGTATCCTCTGACTCTGCCGCTGTGCCGGGTCCCTTCCCTTCCTCGGGTGTTTGCCTCACTCTGCTGCATTATCCGGGACGAGGCAAGGTACCTGGAGGAGTGGATAGAGTACTCACGCATGATCGGGGTGAACCACTTCTTCCTGTACGATCACGGGAGCAAGGATGACACGAGGGAGATACTGGCCCGATACGTTGAGGAAGGCATCGTGACAGTGCACAACTGGAGCTTCCCGGGCTACCCCCAACGAGAGGCCCACACGCACTGCACGCATCGCTACGGCCACCTGACGAGCTGGCTCGGGCTGATGGACGTGGATGAATTCCTTGTTCCGGTACGCAGCGACTCCATCGACTGGCTGCTCAGCTACTTCGAGCATGACCTTGTCGTCCTCCGCTTCTCTGCCATGATGTTTGGGACCTCTGGGCACGAGGAGATGCCGCAGGGCCTTGTGGTCGAGAACTACATCCTGCGGAACTTGTCGACCTCCTGGCCCACCAACCCGCAGCACAAGGTTTGGTTCAAGCCCGGAGGGAACTACGTCTACCTCCCGAGCATCCACGCTGTTGATGTCAAGGACGACATGGCTCGGCACCTGGACGTGCACGAGGAGGACATGTACTACAACCACTACAGGACCAAGTCGCTCGCTGACCACAAGCTCGACCCTCTCCGAGGGCACATGCGCATTCTGGAGGCTGCAGAGGTGATGGACACTCGGTTGCGCGACAGATTCCTCTGGCGACTGAGGAAGAGGATGAACCTGACCTCCTCTTCCTCCTCTTCCTCCTCTTCCTCCTCTTCCTCCTCTTCCTCCTCTTCCTCCTCTACATCCTCCACCTCGGAAGATGGTGAGGCGAATATGACAGACTGTGCGTTCTTGGAGTCGTCTGCGCCTTTCAAGAATTCTTTTCCGATCGCCTCAACTATCCTCGCGCAGTCAAAGCCATACTTTGATGAGTGCCCGCACCTGGCAGAAGCGATGATGCGACTGTTCGACAACGGGCTCCCGACAGTGGACGTCAATCCGGGGACAGGGTACTACACCTGCTACATGCACAGCAGAGGGCTGCAGGTGACGGGGGTAGACGAGGAGGACCTTTCAGAGCTTCTCTCTTCCTCCTTGTTCGTTCGCGGCAGCGCATCGCGTCTGGAGGAGCTCCTTGACGTGCTGCCTCGCGGCAACGTGTTCGTTGCCTTCCTCGCTCCTGCGATGAGGGAGAAGATGCAGCCGACGGCCCACAGCTTGAGGAGAATGTGCGCGGGGAGGATGATCGTCAGTGTACCGCAGGAGATGGAGGACCGGGAGCTTGCTAGAGCGATGTGGGTGGAGGGAGTGGCAGTGGACGTGGCGGCTACCCGTTGGATCAACTCGGTGACCAGGAGGGCCGTTGCCAACTCTCACAAGTTCCTGAAACATTCTCACGTTGACGTCGGACGATGCAAGTCGGACGTTGCAAGACTTGTCTTGGACTGCTCGCTGTCACGTCCCTTGCCCCTTGAAAGATGCCCAGAACCGACTGAAGACGTTGCAATCGCAATCATCAGCCCTGCCAATGGAACATTGACATTCCCCGACGAGACGATAACGATGAATTGGAAACTTGACAGGTCGAGGCCTGACGACAGAGCAGGAGATGCTGGGCTCGACGTTTGTGGGATAGTCCTGGTCAACGGCCAGGAGCTCCTGCGATCCTGTGAAGGGAATCTCTCACTGTCATCGGATGGTTTGAAGTTTGGCCTCAACAGGGTCGAACTGGTCACCGTCATGTTCCACGACAACCTCGCAACTTGTGAACTATCCGCCCATCATCTGTACATACGGAAATTGTCCCTTAACAACTCAGATGTAAATCGCACCTCCTGCTCTTCAAGCACGCAGCTGATGGAGCAGACGAGGGCTGGAATGAAAGTTTCCCATAACCTCTTGTCTTTGGATGTCTCGGGGCTCAAGGACATGGAGCAGTTTCAGATCTCGCTGGCTCAAGGAGCGTTTTCAGTCCGTTACGACTTCTTCCCCTCCCCCGAGATGGACGCCAACGTGACCCTCTGGTTCCCGGGGTGTTCTGTGGAGGAGACGAACGTCTCTGTGGAAGTTGTGCTTGCTCATGCTGGAGGGCGACGGTGGTGGTTCCAGGAGAACTTTTCATCCTGTCATGACAGGCAGGCAGAAACGGCCCAGTCAGACTCATCATCTCTTGACCGAGTTGCATACAAGGATGAGGAACAGAGGAAGCGACAGTGGATCAATCGAGTCGCCAGGATGTTCTGCAGGCAAGCAGAGAAATCGATCTTCTACCTGATCCCCTCCTGGTTGCGGACCCTGGTGTCTCTACAAGTCGAGGAGAGGACAGGGCCAAGTTCTGCCCCCTTCTCCTCCGTCCTCCAGCTCTCTTCCTCAAGCAAGTATCGCATCTCGCAGCTGCAGCTGGAGCCTGCGAGGGGAGGGGGAGGGGAGGGAGCAGGGAAGGGGAGGTTGAGTTTCCTCGTTTCGCGCAAGAATTGCTCGAGGGCAGGAGGAAGGACGGACTGGATCTATGCTCGAGCTACTGGCCAGTCCCATCTCGTCCCTGCGCGAGTGAGGAGAAGGAGCACGTGCGAGCTGCTGGTGCGGCTAGACCTGCCTGCTGGCGAGCTCTACGGCATTCAACTTGTTTCAGCATGGGATGACCTCCCGACCTCCCAGGCGGATGCAGGGGAGGAGGAGAAGGATATCACTGAAGAAGTGCTGGGGTACATGGGATCGCAGGTAATATCTCTGTTGCTCCTCCGTTGCTGCTTCTCTCCTACCTCTCGCGGGCTATAGCTACCTGCTTGCTGATTCTGATTGTCTCTGCTCCTACACACTGCTCAGACCCCTCCTTGAATTCATTCGTGATGTTTTCCTCACTCCTGTCTCCCCTCTCCCCTGTCCTCGTTCCCCTTTCCTCTTCTCCTCTTCTTCTTGCTTGCCCTCTATTGACTCCATTCCTTTCCTAGAGAGATATCGTCACTGAGCTCCAGCGTGCTGAATCGTTTCTTGGTCAAATCTTCGTGCCATCCTCTTCTTCTTCCTCCTCCTCCTCCTCTTCCTCCTCTTTCTCCTCCTCCTCCTCCTCCCCCTATCTCTCTCAGCGTAAGCCATGTTACGAGCAAAACGTGTGGCAAACTCAAAACGACGTGGAACACGGGCTGCTGGAAGGCTCGTGGGTGAAGAAAGGAGCAGACGACTTCGCATGGCAGGAAGCAGAACATCCGATGGTTGACGAGTGTCCGCTGGTGCAGGGAGGATGGGCATGGGAGGAAGGGGCATGCGGGAGCAGGATGCTCAGCGAGAGAGAGTGCTCCAGGTGCTTGCGAGGAGGAGGAGGATCTATCCTCTTTGCAGGAGACTCAAACTGCCGTGACATCTTCGTGGAGGCAGCAAGTTGCGTGCTGGGGGACTGGGATCCGGAGCTGCCGGTGGCAAGGGAGCAGACGAAGCACTCCAACTCTTCCGTGAGGCTGGAGGGAGGAGGATCCCTTGACTTCGTGTGGTGCACCAAGATCTACGAGATCTACTTCGCGATGCTCGCCATGCTGGAGAAGGTGGAGAAGTCGCGCGCAGAAGGAGGAGCAGGAGCAGGAGCAAGCCAGCAGCATCTTGTTGTGCTCGGGTTCTCCATATGGGACATGGTGGTTCACCTGACGCCTCTAGCGCAGCTGCTGCTCGACATTGACCCTCTGATCCGCGTCGCTCACCTGCTGCAGTCCAAGGGAGTGGCAGTGATGTGGCTGTCTCCGATCCCCCGCACGCTGAGGAAGAAGGGGATGCTGCAAGGAGAGCGGGACGTTCAGCTGTCGGACTGGAGGACGAGGAGGTGGGCAAGGAAGGTGGCCGAGAAGATGAAGAGGAACGGAGTGTTTGTGGTTGACTCCTTCCATGCTGCCGCTGCCCTCCCGGAGGCGTTCGACGGGAACCACGTGGGGATCGCATGCGCGTGGGGAGAAAGGAGAGAGAACTTCGGAGACGCCGGGAGAGCAGGAGTGTGCAAGCTCAACGGCAGGCTGATCGCGCGAACGATCCTCAACAGCATGCTCAACGCAATCTGCCCGATCAAGGAAGAGCATACGGTGAAGAGCGCACAGATATTGATGCCTGAGTTACTTCCTTCGTCCTCCTCCTCCTCCTCCTCGTCCTCAGTCTCGCTCTCAAGAGAGATCATGCTTTTCCTGCTCCATTCCGGCAAGGAGGAGGCGGGCGGCAAGGGAGCGCAGCTAGTCATGAGGAGAGATTGGCCGCAGGGAGCAGTGGGGGAGATTCGATTTTCATGGTGCCTGTACTGCGCGGAGAACGTCCATCATGTGGTAGTGCTGCTGGATGACGTGTCGCAGGTTGGATGGAGGGGAGGGAGGGGAGGGGAGAGGGGAGGAGCTGGAACAGGAGGGAGCAGCAGGAGCAGGAACAGAACCAGGAGCAGGAGCAGGAGCAGGAGCAGGAGCAGGAGCAGGAGCAGCAGGAGGAGACGACGGAGTGGACAAGTTTGGAGGCGAGCAGAGGTTGTTGTAGGGACAACAGGAAGGAGAAGAGGAGGAAAGAGAGGATGAGAGACGAATGGAGATAAAATGGGCGAGGAGGGGATGAGATTGTAGAGGAGCGAATGGGAGAGGGAGAGGAGTTGATGTCAGTAGTAAGAGTGACCGCAGGGAGCGTGCTTCGACTCTTTCTGCGTCCTCCCTCTACCGAAGCTTCTACCGGGAAAGCATTCCATCACCCTCGCCTACTTCGACGCTCACGAGATGCTGGTCTCGTCCTCCTCGCACTCAGTAGACGGTGAGTGAGCAGGGAGGAGGAGAGTGCGGGGCTGAGAGGAGACGCAGTGCCATGGTCGGATGAGATGACGTCCAACGTCGCTCTTGCTGCACACGGAGGGAGAGTGGTTGCTGCTTTCAGGTGTGGTTGCAAGTCTGATCTATGTCTCTTGTCCTCTTTCCGTTCGCTCTTAACCCCTCCCTCCTCTCCTTGGTTCTTTCCTCTCCTCCTCTCCTCCTCTCCTCTCCTCTCCTTCTCTCCTCTCCTCTCCTCTCCTCTCCTCCCTTCCCCTCTCCTCTCCCCCCCTCTCCTTACCTCTCGTCTCGTCTCGTCTCGTCTCGTCTCGGTTCCTTCCTCTGAGGCAGCAGCAGTCAGAGCATGTTCGATGCCAGTATGACCATCGACGGGGTGACGGAGGGGGAGGACAACGGCTGGGCGTATTACGGCAGGATCGAGCAAGCACAGCTCATGATCGTCTTTTCTGCTCCCTCCAAGATCAATAGGTCCTTTCCGATGCTGCTGCTGCTGCTGCTGCTGCTGCTGCTGCTGCTGCTGCTGCTGCTGCTGCTGCTGCTGCTGCTGCTCCTCCTCCTCCTCCTCCTCCTCCTCCTCCTTTCCCTCTGCTACTCTCCTTCGCTCGTTTAGTGCTGTATGGCATATTCGTTCCTCCTCTTCCTGCGTCAGAATCGCTCCCTCCTCTCTTCCTCTCTTCCTCCTCATGACCCTTACCTCCCCGCAGGATCCTCATCCTCAGTGGGGTGGGCCGGTCAGACCATCATCTCACCCAAGTCTTCTTGTCTTATTCCAAGGAAAATGAGCCCCAGGTGGGCAAAGACAGCATCTTCTTCCGCTCTGCTCATCCCCCCCTCCTCCTCGTCCTTCCTTTCCTCTGGCCCCACCATCTCCTTGCTCCTCCCTCCCTCCTCCCTTCTCCTTCCTCGCTCCCTCCTGCTGACTCTTATGTTCAGCTGTCCTCAACCTCCTGGGAGCCTCTTCCGGTCAACTCGTCAAGACTTGCGGAAGATGTTGGCACCTCCTCTCCTTCCCCTCCTGCTCCTCCTGCTTCTCCTCCTATCCCTCACGCTGCCGGCAGGTCCAGCTTGTCGCTCCTGGCCGTCTCTCTATCCTCCCTGGCGTCTCTGAGCTGCTTCTCTACTCCGATTTCATAGAGGCCACCGCAGTCAAGGTAAGAGCTCCTGCCAGCTCCCTTGCTTTTACCCTCCTCCTGCCCCTTCTCCTGCATCTGCTTCTGCTCCTTCTTGTGCTCCTTCTCCTTCCCCTGCCCCCTGCCCCACCTCCCTGCCTTTCTCCTTGCCCCTTCCCCCCATTCTAAGACCTGCCCTCCCTTGCCCTTTGCATCTTCCTCCCCCTACACCCATCCTCTTCCTCCCACGCTCCTCCCTCCTCGATCTCTTGCTGTGACCTTCCTTCTCCCCCTCCTTCGGCTTTTTCACTCACGATCTTCATAGCTGGATGTCATGGCCTCGGACGCGGCAAACAACAACGCTGTACTGACAGAGATAGCAGTCTACGCTCTTTGACAACTCCCCTCCTGCTCCCTTTTTTCAGCTCCCGCCATCACGTGGTCTGCCCTGCCCCTCCTCTTCCCTTCTCTGCTCTTCGCCCCGCCTCCTCTCCCCGTCTCTATTTCTTCCTCGCTCCCCCCTCCTCTCCTCCTCCTGTCCTCGCTCCCTCCTATAGCCTGTAAACCTTTCTGAACCGAGCATTCATCGAACGCTCGTTGACTGCCACCGGAGCCAGACGGCTCGTGATGAATCCCATCAGCCCCTGCTCGCGCATCACTCGCTCAAGCATGCAAACAAGCAGGGCAGCGTGCACACACGGGCGCGAGGTTAAAAGAGGAGGGGGGGGTGGGGGAGAAGGAGGACGAGGACCAGGACGAGATGGAGACGAAGGAGAAGGGGAGGAGGCGTCGGAGGAGGTTCAGCAGCAGCAGCACCAAGCAGGATCCTATACCTTGTTTGAGAAGGACTTGGCAGCCTTGTGGAATTCTTCGGACGCCTGCAGCAGCTACATAAAGAGACGATCTCCCGTCTTCTCTCCCACCTGCTCAACGATGGCTGCCTTTGACCTCCTTGCGGTCCTCCATGCTCGCAGCGCTATGTCCATGTCCTCTGCTTGCCACTTCAGCACGAGGAGAGGAGAGGCCCATACCCTGCACTGACCTTCTGGCAGTAGCTTTCCGCCTTCAGCGCTGACGATGGCGTTGGCAAGCGAGAAAGCATCTTCGATCGCCTGCCGACTAAGTAAGGAGGAGCAGGGGAGTCAAACAACACATGGAGAGAAGGCAAGAAAAGAGTCAGGAAGGGGATGCAGAAAAGCGGAGGAAGCAGCAGAGGAGGAGGGAGCAGACAGGGGGGGGTCGAATCTCTTGCCATGGAGTAATCTTGGAACAGAGCAGGATTGATACTCCATGCTGCTTGTCCTATCAGCGCAGCCGAGCCCTGCAAGATGTCTCCCTCCACCTTCAGCTGCAGACTGCTGTAAGAAAAGGATAAAGTCCTCGCAATGGGGGTTGACCTGCGCGGGGTACTCGAGCTTGAGATCTATCCTCTTCTTGTTGGCGTGAAGATGCTCAAAAATCCTTTCAATCGCTCCTGCTCATCCTTCTTAGCTCCCCCCCCCCCTCCTCCTCTCTCCTCCTCTTCCCTCCCCTCCCCTCCTCACCTCCAAAATCCTCCTTGACAAACTCGAAGTCCTTGCAGAAAGCATCGATCCTTGCTTGAGGGTTGTCGGGGATGGGCGCAGGACGAGGATGAAGCACTGTGCCATAGAACACCACATTGCCCCCAGCACACGGCCATGATCCTATCCGTCTCCCCTCCTTCCAGAACTCCGTCATCGTCCTATCCCCCGACGCAAGAGGGAACAGTGCTGCCGGTATCGTACACATCCACCTCCCCCATCCTGGGAACTTGATCTGCACGTGCTTGCCTCCTATCGGCCCGACGAGGAGCTCTCTGACCTTACTCGCTAGTCCGTCTGCTCCCACCACCATCCGGTAGCTCTTCGGCTTCACTGTGCTCGCGCTGAAGCTGACGTGAGCACTTCCTTGCTTCATCTCCAGCGACTTAATCCCGCACGCCATTCTCATGCCAGACTTGTCGTCGAGGGCCGACCCAGCCTTCACCAGCTGCCGCACCAGCTCGTTCCTCTGCATGCAGATCGTCGGGAAGCCCCTGAGCGAAGTTTCCTCTGCTATGCTCTTGAAGTCTAGACCTCCCATCACCTGGTCTCCCATGTTGCGGATCTCCCACTTGTCCAACTGAGAGTAGCGGGTGGAGGATGACGGGAGCGGGTGGAGGTGGGAGGGTGGGGGACGAGGACGAGGACGAGAAGGGCGGGGAAGTGGGGAGGAGGAGAAAGGAGGAGCAGAAAGGCGAGATTCAGCCCAAGGCAGTGCAACAAAGAAAACAACGAACCTGAGGCGCTTTCTTGACCATGTCCGAGAGACCGAGCTGAGACAGAACGTAAACTGCGTTAGACGTGAGTACTATGGGAACATCGTCCTCGGGCTTCGCAAGGGCTGGTGCGAGGTCCATCAGTTCGGAAGCGACCGACTTTTGCTTGAGCGCTAGCCTGTTCATCGGTCAGAAATGCCCCCCCCCCCCCCCCGTTCCCTCCACCTCCTCCCGACCCTCCAGTTTATCATCCCCCCCCCTCAACCTCCCTCCTCGCAACCCTTCTCATCCGTCTGACTTCCTCGACCAGTTCCATCTTCGTCCTCACTATCCGCCCCATCATCTCTCAGCTTCAGCCTCCCTCATCCCTCCTCCTCTTCCTGCTCCTCTTCCTGCTCCTCTTTCTGCTCCTGCTCCACCACCTGGTCCCCCCCGTCCACCTCCCTCCTCCCCCCTCCTCCTCCTACCGCAGCGTCAGGCCTGCGATCCCGCCGCCATTGATGAGGACTGCCATTGCTACAAATCCGCCTCCCCCCGCCGGCCCACAAGGCGCTTCGAGTCGAGTACGGGATGCGCTCGTTGCCGCAATGGGCTGTTGCCGCCGCCGCCGCGGCAGGAGGAGGAGCCTTGATAGCGGTGCTACTCAGACGATGGCGTGAACAAGGTCAGAAGTCCTCGTCCTCGTCCTCGTCCTCGTCCTCGTCCCCCTTCCCTCATGCCTTCCCATCTGCCATTACGACCCACTTACGTTGCGTTTTCTGGCAGTGTCAGGGCAAGCAGAGCTGTATCCAGGGTTGCAGGCGAGCTGCACAGTTCCGTCCCCCAGGAGATCGAAGCCAAGTGAGTGGCTGCCTGTCTTGCTCGCAGCAGCAGCTGATGTCATTGCGCTAGGGCATGTCGTCATCGTCGGCGCAGGCATCGTGGGGCTGGCGATCGCGAACGAGCTTGCGAGACGAGGCTGCGAGGTCACGGTGCTGGAGAAGGAGATGGCGGCAGGGACGCAGGCAACGGCGCTCTCATGGGCATGGATCAACGCCAACTCCAAGAAGCCGAAGCATTACCAGAGGTTCAACATGCTTGCCATGGACCTCTGGAACCTCATGTTCCCTGGCTATGTGAACTGGTGCGGCAGCCTCCTCCTCAACGAGAACCCGAAGCAGGAGGTCGACGAGTATCCCTGCCACAAGGTCGAATGGTCGCAAGTCCCTGACCTCCAGCCTGGGATCGCATGCGAAACGCTCGGAGGGACGTCGGGGACAAAGTCGGGATGCTCCTATTTCCCGTCGGAGGGGATCACGGAGCCGCACAAGGTGATCAATGAGATGCTGAGGAGAGCAGAGGCGAGGCAAGTGCGGCTCGTGTACGGAGCTACCGTGACGGGCTTCCCCTGGGACATCGAGGGAGACGTGCGGGGAGTGACGTACGTCCTGCACGGGTCGCAGGGTTGGGATGGTCCGCAGACGATCACGGCCGACGTGGTTGTGCTGAGCAATGGTACGGGAGTAGAGCAGCTGGCGAAGTCGGCAGGATTCAAAGTGCCCCTGCTGCACAAGCCAGGTTTCCTCGCTCACACCGAACCCGTCAAGGACGTGGTGAAGAGAGTGATTGTCTCCCCAAACTGCCACATCCTCCAGCGTGAAAACGGTTCTTTGGTGATCGGTAATGGATGACGTGTGTGCTCTTGCAGCTGACGAGCCTTTGGAGGTGAGAGCAAGGAGGCGGGCGGGGCTTCCAGCGTAGCGTATGCAGTAGATCGATATGCGCATGAGGGCTTCAGATCCAACATGCCGCCAGCCTCCCACTCTGAAGAGCAGGAGGATGAAGAGCTTGCCGAGCTCTCAACGTTTGGTCATCGGGCTCTAGGGGCAGCCAAGAGCATCTTGCCGGTCATCGAGGAAGCGAAGCTGAGCCGAGTGACTTGCGGTGCTTTCCCCTCTACACTGGCGCCTCCCCTGCCTCGATGACGGCGTGTCCAGGTTACAGGCCATTTCCTGAAGATGGCCTCCCCGTGATCGGGTTCTGCTCCAGCAGGTGGTTCAGCTCGGGCGATCTTTGTCTGTAGCTCACATGGTGTCAAAGTTGCTCGACGCGATCGCCGGGGCTCTACATCGCGGTCATGCACAGGTACATGTGTTCTCTTCCTTTGTCGCTTCCTCATCAGCTTTCAGCGGCATCACCCTCGCCCCGCTGGCAGGAGCCGCTGCTGCGTTGGAGATCGCCGAGGGTCTGGACCTCGACCTCCTTGCCCCCTACCGGGTCAACAGGTTCACCAAGATATTCAAGAACAAGGGCTTGTGAGGTCCAACAGGAAGGGTGCGGACAAAAGTTAGATCAAAGGATTTTTAATAGACTTCATCAAGCATAAGTAGTATACAATATCGACATCCCCATCAACCCAAGTACAAGGAATCAAGAGACACAACCCACAACGACAAACAATAGTTAACCACGCACGAGAGATGGCAAGGGCACATCCTTCCAATCTACACGCAACTCCCATGACAAAATCATGAATCATCTTCTTCAGCATCCACATCGTCGTCAAGATCATCGTGAACCCCATCAACATCGTCGTCACTCATCTTCTCACACCCGCTGGTCTTGAAGTCATCTTCCCGAGCAATACATGTCTTGTTTTGTGCTAGATTTTCGACCCCACAGTTTGTTTTGTTCTGCATCGTCTGTACAAATGGAACAAGACCAGGATTTGGCAAAATCTGGTTCAGTTCACTCTCCGAGCATAAGTGGAGTTGCATCTTCGATAGCGTGCCCCTGTCATCGTAAAGCTTGAATGGTTTCGTACAATTAATCTCAGCGAACTTCTCATCCTGAGAAATTTCACACACGACCGAGTTATCCATATCCGTATTAACTGCGAACAGGATTACGGCACATTCGAACAGAATACAAGCGCACCTATCACAAATGGCAAGTAGATCTTCTTCTGGTGGCACGGCTCATGTTCAGTAAGCTCATTTCTCGACAGCAGACGTTTCAAGCTAACAAATTGAGTAGCAAGGTCACGAACAAGCGTATTCTTGTCCTCAACTTCCTTCTTCTTGTTTTCGATCTCCTGCAGCAGTCGACTCCTCTCTTTGGACAGGGCCGGATTCGAGTTGGAACCATTCTCTGACTTCATCGGAGGGAAACCTTTCCACTTGATGTCTCTCTTATCTTTCGATATGATCCCCATGGCCGTCAGGACGTTCAACGCATCATATGCACGCCTTCGGATGTTCTTATCATCGCCATAATCTGCGCAGTTGCTCTCTTTGAACTCGTTCACGAGCTCTTCAGCAACATCATTGTATGTGGTCGAGACTTTAGCCTGAAAAGGAAAACTTGTGTCATCCCCAAAAACACGAAAATAAAAAAATAACTCTACCTCGACGGAACGGCAAACCCTTGCACTAAAGTGACGCAGGCCCTGGTTCTTCCTTTCTCTATCCGATACAGAGTTTTCAGGAATATTCAGGCGATTCAAGAAATTGGAAGACGATTCTTCTGCCGGATAATTTCTGCTCTGATCCGGCGTCCTAGGAACCTCTGCAACATGATTCTGACTGCCGTTGTGCTTTGCACAGCTGATAAAACGCAGTCACAGCAAGTTCAGAGACACTGAGACACTACACCTTGCGGTTACTGTTCTTTTCGATCTTGAGTTTGTCACACTGGGTTCCTCGTTTTTTACGGGGCTTGTTGTTGGCCTGAACATCGTGTCAGTGAGTGAGAAACCACAATGACACGCCATTCGCGCACGTTGAGAAAAGTCCGGAGCACCGATGAGAAATATCCCGCCTAGCACATGGAGAATCCAACGTGCTCGGACTCTTATCCCCCCAGGTCGAACCATCGATATTCACTCGCTGACGAACGGGTGTCGCCTTGTTATCATCGGACGGGTCCATGCGGTATCGTTTGCTCGGCGATCCCAAATCATTGTCCTGATCGTCTCTGGGCAGTTTTGCCAGTTCAATTAGGCCCGACACTGCATTCGCTAAGATCGACACATTACATTCGAACATGTCTCATGCAGGGGAGGAAGAACCTTGAGTGGCATTTGCAAGCTGCCTCATTGTAGGGTTCTCCTGAGTCAGCCCCAACGTGGTCACGTATGGGTCGAGTCCAAGTTCCTAAAGACAAAGACGACTGAGTCCAGCCAAGAATTCAAGGCATGGCTTACCTGAAACACATCTTGAAACTCTTCCGCAGCCGAGGATGGGCCCAAGGCGTCGTCATGGAGCTCGTCGAAGTGCGACCTGCTCCCGGACATTCGTCGTGCCCAGGGACTTCTGCGAGCAAAGCATGGAGCAAGTCAGCTTCAGAACAAGACGATTTAGCCTCGATATCGAAGCAGTTCGTTAGCACTATGGTGGACCATGCTGGGTTTCGGTACAGTGGAAGAGCACAATCGCACCTACCCACAGCAGGCAAGGGGAAGACGATCTAGCTAACAACAGAGCATGCGGATCAGGTCAACAAGAAGGAGAACAAGAATGGAGGTATGTGGAGAGGTCAGGAAGGAGCGTCAGAGGGGAGAGGCAGGCTGCTGAGGGGCCAACACAAAGAGGAAGCGGGAAAAGAGGCTTCATGGCGATCCGCATGAAGATAGGGTGGGGGTAGAACATGGTCAGAGCCGGGGTGGTGGTCGAAGAATTGTGCTACAAATCAAGGGTAGGGTTGGTAACATCTGGTGACATTTTGTGCATATTGATAGGGAAACTGAGGGTAGGGGTACTCAATGCGTATGGTGGTATATTGGACCGATGGGGGAGGGTGGTCCACAGCGGAAGGCGGGAAAATGTTATCGAGGGGTAGGGTAATTGGTTCACTGCTATGGCACAGTTTTCTCAGTACCAAATATGTAATTTGAAAATTATAGATATATAATTTAAGGTACTACAAAGAGTACCAGATCCCATGTACACATAGAACCCCACCCATTGCTCAAAAAAACATTTTTTTCGACGAGGGTCGCTCAAATGACTGTTGTAGGCGCAACCTGAATATAAGCAGTCAACAGGGCTGCATGTGTGCAAATTAAACTGTAATATTTCAATATGTGATAAAATTTCGAAACTTTTTATCCCATGAGCAGAAAACATATTTTAGAAAAGTCGCGTTGACCCGCACTTGCCTTTTCTGGAAGAGCATCATTGGTAGCCCTTCCCCGGCTACCAGTAGTGTCGCTGAGTCCACAGCCCGCCGTGTCACGGTCCGGGGGCCGGGCGGGAGTACAGCACTGCGGCATCCGATCAATTCAAGTCAGTGAACCGGGCGGCCGACTCAGACTCCGGGCCGGCCATCGGCCCCGGAGTACCGGGCCCGAGTCCAGCGGCTGCCGTTCCCTTCCGAGTTCAGGCTTGTTCGCCGGCTCGGAGCGATCCGCCAGCCACCACAGGAAGCGCAACGCATCATCCTGCAAGAGTCCATCAGTGCTGGTGATGATGGGAAGAAAGTGTCACAGTGTAGGTCACTACCACGGCGCCGGGGGCCCGGCGGGCCCGGCCCGCCGCGTGAAGTTGAGTGAAGCTTATCTGTACGAGGTAAGTGGACGGGTGGGTTTGTCCAAACAAATGCTGTACTAAAAGGGGTGGGGGTGCAGGTCCAACGAAGGGGTGCGACGACGATGGTGAGTGTTGAGAAGCGGAAGGGGGGGGAGGAGATAAGAGGAGGGAGGGCGGAGGGTCAGCAAACGAAGTGATGTAGGAGGGAAAACTATCATGAGCAGGGGTGATGTGAAGATTTCTCTGTTGCCAATTCAGCACTTCGAAACTTGGCCGCGGAATGGAGAGGGTATTAAGGTTTTGAGTGAAGAGGAGTGGGTGCTCCCGGGAGCAGAGGCAATGAAAGGAAAAGGAAGTGAAAGTGGACATCATGAATTTTTGATAGTCTACTGTTGGTATGGAGAAGATGGTACAGGAGAGTGAACTGTAGTGAAGTCCAAAGGGTTACAACAGGAGGCAAAAGTTTGGGCAATTTGAATGTTACACACCATCAATGCTTGTCGACATTCAAGTGGGGGGTTCTGATTCATGATGAATACCAGGCCCACCAAGCTGGAGCAGTCGCCCTTCATACCGGGGTCTTCCTCGTGTTTGTTTTGAGGTGATCGTCGGTTGTGAGGGATAACCGAGCTGTTCTGACTTGCGGTTCTGCAGCATCATCATCGGGGCTGTTTTCTTTCACGCGAGCAGGGAGCCATCAGGTAGGCTGAAATCTTGGAGCTCCGCATTCTCATTCCCTTCTGGTCTGTTGACTCTGATCCCCAGAGCTGATGGGAGAGCAGAACGAGCTCTGGAATATCGAGAAGTAAGCGTGAACTCGACGCTGAGCCCCCTCTTATCTGGTTGCAGGACAAGAAGGGCGTCGAGGAATCAGATGCTGGACATTCACGCTCGCCCAAGAGTATCTACCTTGAACCCGATCTCGGAGTCGACCAAGTGGCAGAGCTCAACGGTTCAGGGCCTCTGGCAGCAGCAGAGCAGTAGGTCGAAGCGAGAAAAGGAGGTGAGTCCTGCCCCTTGTAGATTGTATCCTCCACAAGCTCATTGAGTCTTCACGTCCTTGCGACTCAACATGTCTGCTAGAGCAGCATTCCTTATCTTGTTGCTGAGAGGTTGAAACAGGTGTTGAACGCTCTCAGCAACATCAGGCACAGACTTGACACGAGTTACGCCTCCAACTCGGCTCCGGCACAAGCAAAGCTGCAGAGATTGAGCATGAGTGGTACGGGCACTGCTGCTCAAGCTGGAGCAGGGGGCAGTTCCTCGCCGTCTCTCCCCAAGGCCCTTTTCAGCATCCACAGCGAAGTAGCTCATAGGGGGCAGGACGTAGGGTTTCAGAAGGCAGTGATGAAGATGATGAAGTGGAACTCGAAGCACATGAAACTTCTGTTGAAGATCTTGCATGACAACAAGGAGAAGATCAAGGAGCAGAAGGAGGAGCTGAGCGAGCTGAAGCGCATGGTTGAAGACTCCAAGGAGAAGATGGACACAATTCGCCGAACCTCCCAAGAAGATCTCCTCAACAAGCTCGAGACGAAGGAAGACACGGAGGGCCCTGTGGGTCCGAAGGGTCAACCAGGGAAGAGCGGAACGCCAGGCAGAGATGGGGAGGACGGTCCTCCTGGCCCGCCGGGCATTCCTGGACCTCCGGGTACCTTCATCACCCCCTTCGAGACCCTGCCCCTGCCCCTGTCCTGCCCCTGTCCTGCTCCTTTCCCTGCCTCTTTCCTGCCCTGCTCCCCACCCTGCCCCTGTCCTGCCCCTGCTTCCGTCCCATTCTGTCGCTATCCCCCTGCTAAGTCACTTTCTTGTACAGGTCCTCGAGGACCTCCAGGGGTGGATGGAATGCCTGGATAGGCAACGGGGTCGTGCAGGGGCATGATGTAAATTATTGCACAGAATAGCAAGATAGTGCAAGCGTGAAGTTAGGGCGATAGGAGAACTTGTGGGTGAGTCGGGTTGAAGGAGAAGCCGCAGGGGAGGCAGCGACAGATGCTAGTCACTGGGCAGGGGGTGGGAGGGGAGCGAGGAGGAGGAAGTTGCCGTTACAGGTGTAACGCAACAGAGGGATTGTGCAGACTCGTAGGGTACATCTCAAGCTGCGAGAAATTTAAAAATCTTTCGTTGTTGCTCCATCACTTCACACTTGTACATTACGAGACATGGGCGTCTGATCCTTTCAAACCTTGTCCTTGAACTCCTCGATGAGTTTCTTCATGCCCTCCGGGTCCTTGGCGTACTGCAGCAGGCGCATTAACTCACTGCCATGCTCCTCTCCTCCATCCTTCACCTTCTGCACTTTCTCCTGGAAGTCCTTATCCTTCATGAGCTCCATGGCCTTGCTCCATGGTCATCACCGAGCCCAACCCTTGCTCCTCCTCACCTTCTCGAGCTCCTTCATCTTTTCAGGATCCTTCTTCATCTCCTCCATGATGGTCTTGGCCTGCTCATCGTCAACTTCGGCGAGCCATGACATGTGCGATGGAACCTTCTCAGTGGCGTCAGCGATCGCCTTCTCCTGCTCCTGGGAGAGCTTGGGAGGAGCAGGGACAACCCACTCGTTGGGGTCCTCAGTGACTCCGAGGAGAAGCTCCATGACCTCTGCACGTCAAGAAGATTCAGATGTATATGCAGGAGTGAGGAGGAGTGAGGAGGAGGAGGAGTGAGGAGTGAGGAGTGAGGAGGAGTGAGGGTTGAGGGTAAAAGAGAAGGGAAAGATCACGACAGAATCTGTGGACCCGTTGACGAAACATCGGCAGGAGGGAGGGAGATAGAGATGGCGAGGAAGGGCGGGGGAGAGTGTCGGAGGACGGAGAATCATGAGGTGGATAAATCAAGGTTGAGTTGGGGAGGCTCGAGGAAGGATGGGGGGGAGCGGGGGGCCGGGGGGCAATCCAAGCAAGGCGCACGTACCAGTCATGAGGGGATAACGCTTATCCTTGACGAGTCCTCCCATGGAGGTTGCCTTGATCACCGCTTGTCAAAGAGCAGACAGGAACGAGGAGGAAACGAAGGATGATGCGCCGTAGCAGCTGAGGTAGGAGGACAGGAGGAAGGAGCAAGAAGAGGGGACGAATGAATAATGAAAGAGTTTCTATTCACCTGAGTGATGTTCCTCAAGTTTCGGATCAAGTCAAGCGCCCTCTCGTTGCGTTGAGTGCGGAGCTCAGGGTCCTTGTTACGGGTATCAGACCAGGAGGAGGAGGAGGAGGAGGAGGAGGGACAAGAGCAACGAGAGGGCAGAGAAGGAGAGGAGCAAGGCTCTTACAGCTCCGTTCTCGATCAGAAGCTTAGTTGTGGTAGGCCTGACGTAGCCAGCAGACATGTGGAGGGCAGTCAAGCCCATGTTGTCTTGCACATCTGGATCAGCTCCCTTCTCCAGCAGGAGGGAAGCGATGGGGGTGGCTCCGTAGGCCGAGGCCATGTGCTGCGAGTAAAGTGTGAGCACCTTTCCGAGCAACTTGCAGAGGCAGGCAGACCAGAGGCGTCCTGCCAGCTGCGTCCTTGACGTTGACATCGGCGCCCTTGGCGATGGCGTCGGAAGTGATGTCGATGGCGTACTCGTTTGTTCCGAAGAACTGAGCAGCGTGCATGAGCTGGACGCTGCAGGACACAATCAGGACAAGAGCGCTGGGAGAACAGGTTTCTTCTTCTCCTCCTCACCTGGGGTAGTCAGCCTTGAGGTTGACGGAGACCTTTGCGCCGGGAGAGTTGAAGCCAACAGTCGGGTACAGGGAGTAGTGGAACTGCTTCTCCAAGATCACACTCCCGAGGTACTGCCGTCTATGTTAGCGAGCGGAAGAAGGAAATGCTACGAGCAGCATCCGAGGAAAAAACGAAAGAGGACGAAGAGGAGAAAGAAGGAGACGGAGTAGAGATTTCCCGATGACAAGAAAGAGGGGAAAACAATCAAGCAAAGAAGGAAGAATGAATCATGTTCTGCTTTGTTTCACCAGCCCGTTCTTGGTGAAGAAGACGCGTCTGGGGAAGCCACTGGGAGCGGTTCCACGGTCGTCGAACTCAAGGCCGATGCCCATCTTATCTCCCTTGGAGCAAGGGAAAGGAGCCCCGACGAGAGGCATCGGGCTTGGTCGTCCACTGAGGCCTCCCAGTAAGAGGAGGAGAGACATCGGAGCTAACCAAAACTCACCTCTTGCTCATCTCATCGGGGACGGGGCAGCGGTAGTAAGACCCATCGTCGGCATGGTACCCCACAGAGTTCACATCCCATCCCGGCTGCTTGTCCAGAGAGTAGGAACTGTCGGCCAGGCCGACGCCGATCCAAGATTGTGTTCCTGGCTCCACGATCTCAACCTCGTAGTAGGGCTGTGCAGGGGTGAGGGCTTTGTCCAGTTGGATAACCCCCACTTCAGCTCCCTCGAGTTCCTCCGTGTAGGCAGCGACGTTGCCGTCCACCTTGACGCGCTCGCACCTGGCCCACGTGCCATCGGAAAGCGACGCCCGGAGGGACAGCAACCTGCTGCAAGGAGATGAGACTGTGCGGGGTCGGAGGCCGGCAGAAGGACGGGGGGCGGACGCTGGCAGGCGCATCCTGGATACCCCGGGGAGGGAGGGAGCGAATGCGACGGCATATCCGAGGCAAACGAAGGGCAGGAGGGAGGAGAGGGAGGAAGAGGGCGAGGAGGAAGAGGAGGACGTCATAGCTCCTCCCTTCCGCATCGCCAACATGTAACAAGTTTCGGTTCTTACAGGTTCCTTGAAGTTCCTTATGGTTCCTTCTATTTTTAGACGGTTCCTTAAATTTCCTTATAATTCCTACCCCTCGGCAAGTACCCCTGATTTCTTCTATGTTACGACCCACCCCCAGAGGTCATTACGTCCCCCATGCTGTCCATGAGCCGCTGGCAAGGCTCCTTGAGCCGCTGCTCCATGGGGCTTCGCCTGCCTCCTGCCCTCCTGCCCTCCCCCTCCCCCTCCTCTTCTCCCTCCCAAGCCACTCCTCAGCTCGACCTGCACCTTCACTTCCCTCTAGGAGCAGCCTCGTCCAAGCAGGCCCATGCTTACTCCAACTCTTCGAGTGACCGGCGTGCCTCCTCTCCTCCTGTGCGGCAGGGAGCGGCAACCAAGACATCTCAATGCAAGGCGAATGTATGGCGGCAGAGCGTTCCTGAGCAGCCTCACAACTCACTGGCGGCGCCTGGACACGTTCGTCTCATGAGCATCGACGGAGCGGAATCGGAGGAGGACACCCACGAGATCATGTACTACTCGCTGAGGTGAGACACATCGATGTAGAAGAACCCAAGGGCAATGCTGCAGAGAAAATGTTGAACGACGATGATAGTGAAAAAGCGTGCTGTTGGCTGACTTGAATGACGATGAATGCTGATATGAGATTGGTGCAAATGTTTGACGATGTACGGCTACTGCCTCCTACTCTACTCCCCTCGTTCTTGTTCTGGCTCTTCTCTGATTGCTCTGATCAATATTACAGACATCCTGCAACAATCACGCTGAAAGAGATGTATCAGTTCGGTGCATCGTCGAACAAGAGCAAGCGTACACTTCTCCTTGCTGCCCAGTTCCTACACGAGGAGCTGCCTGTCCGCCTTGCAAGGCGAGCGAGGGAGCTGAAACGTTTGCCCTTCGGCCTGGGAGAGATGGTGTCAATAAAAGGAGTGCGGAAGTTGTACGAGAGGAGCTTTTTCCGCATCCGCAGGTGAGCTCAGTGTATATCCCTTCCTCCTCCTGACTTGGTGACTGGTCAGGTTTCCGAAGCCGAGTACCACAGAGCTGGAGGAAAGGTTTACTGAAATGCTCGATGACATCAAGACCGAGCATAACAGTGTGCAAGCGAACATCGCTCGAGGGCTGCAGGTGAGCGATTGGGTATGGAGATGCCTTCGTTCCTGAAAGTTTGCATGAACTTGCAGGAGCTAGCTAAGGAGAGGAAGGATGTGCAGCAGCAGAAGGACGTCTTGATGCATGCCGGAAGTATCTTTGCAACCTTTTGGTGGTGTATAGAGTGACGTCTCTCGCTTCTTGTTAGTGCCCTTTGATTTCGGGCAGTTCCTGGATAGATTCTATCTTTCAAGAGTGGGCGTGAGAGTTTTGATCGGTCAGGTACGGTCGAGAGGAGCGCGAGAACCGCTCGTGACGTCAAGATCTCTCAGCATATCATGTTACACCATCCTCAAGAAGGCTTCATCGGTATCATCCAGAAAGAATGCGTGGTGTCAGCTCCCTCCTCCTCGCTCTCCTTCGCGTGATCGGTTGCCGCAGCCCTCTGTCGTCTGCGAGCACGCTATTGAAGATGCCCGGGCCATCTGCGAGATGAGCTATGGGATATCTCCTGAGGTTTGTCTCCGACCCTCAATATTCCAGACGGCCAACTGACGCCGCCATGGCAGGTTATCCTAGAGGGGAACCTGGGGCTGAAGCTGAGCTACATTCCCGAGCATCTCCACTACATCTTCTTCGAGCTGATCAAGGTAGAGGCTGCCTGATATGTCGCCCGCTTCCATGACTCTCATCCTCCCATGTAGAACTCCATGAGAGCTGTAACCGAGCGCTTTCGCGACAAGCCGGAGAAGGTGGGCATGTGCTGGGTGGGGAGGGAGGGGCTGAGAGCGCTGGCTGTCTTAGATGGAACCCATCACTGTCGTCTTTGCTGAGGGCAGTGAAGACATCGCCATCAAAATTTCGGACAAGGGAGGAGGAATCCCGAGATCAGGGATGGACGTAAGAAGAGCCGCGAGTTGAAACCTTTTTCTCACGTTGGCCTCCAGCGCCTCTGGACTTACACGTTCACAACTGCTGGGAACACGCTGGAGAAACTTCAGCAGCTCAATGTGAGAGCAAGATCGCTCTCCCTGCTTCTCTCACCTGCTGTCACCCGCAGACACCCGGCCGGCCGATCATGGCAGGTTTTGCTCACGGCCTGCCGCTGAGCCGAATCCATGCGAGGGCGTTTGGAGGAGATCTGCACGTCATGTCGATGCAGGTAAGGAGGAGCTGGGCATGCGTTCATTGGGCGTTTGCCATGAGCAGGATAAGTAACTCGATCCTACCAGGGGCATGGAACAGACGTCTACATTCATCTCTGCAAACTCGGAGATCGTGAAGTATCAGTGCCGTAAGCAGAAGTTTGTGACAAGTGAAATAATACTCGAAAGCAAGCAGGGAGGACAAGGTTGGACATTTCAAAATATTTCTTCCCCTCGGGATCCCTCAACTGTCTCGGAACATGTTGCTCATGATCATCACAAGGATCAAACGATGCCGCTGTCCTCTTCGTCCTCGATGTCGCTCACAACAAACTCATCCTCCTCCGACAACTGCTCAAAGCATGTCAGCAAAACCTTACAAGGACCTCTTTCATCCTACCTGCTGCTCTGCCCTCTTTACAGCTTCCATCCTCCTCTCCTCATCCTCCGCGTCCTTGTCCTCTGGGTTGGCACTGCTAGTGCGGGAGCTCTGCGACACTGTGAGGACGAGAACAATCTTGACTATGATCCTACTCTTGTTTGCTCGCTCTCCTCCCTGCTAGCCTGCTCGCGGCGAACTCGCTGACGCTGTGAATCAAGTCATTCAGACGCGACGAGGGCAAAGGGGAAGCCAGACAGATCACATGCTGAGGTAAGGAGGAGGAGAGGGAGAGTTAGACTCACCCGCTCGTTGGCTTGTCCTCCCTGTCTTGCGTTCGCCTTGCCCTTCTGACCCTTAGGAGGAGCGTCGAACCAAGGCTTCCCTTCCAAGGGTACCTACAACAGCAAGCTCGTGTCATCCTAGGCTGTGAAGAGGAAGAAGGAGGTCAAAGTACCGTGTCCTTGTGGCTTGCTCCCTTCACAACCAGATCATGGACAAACTTCTCCACATCCTTCTCGTTCCACTCTCCTCGGTACTGCGTCACCCGGTACTTGAAGTCTTCCCCATCCTTGGACCGCTGCATGATAGCAAGACGAGGCTTGTCCTCGGCCCGTGACAAGCGCACCTGTCCACGAGCTCAGCTTCTTGAGACATGACGCGGCAACTAAGCCCGACCTGACCATCGAAGGAAGTTTTGTGCATCTTGCGATTGATACTGACGAACTTGGTGGCGCGATGGCGAGTCATCACCTTAACCAGCCATGCAGGCGCCTTGTACTTCCCCTTGGTGTGCAGCATTACACAGGCGTCCCGAAGGATACAAAACTTCTGGAAGGTTCGATCCCACGCCACCTCCTTGACACTCGGCTTGCTGGGTGAAGACAAGGTCAAGGGAAAACATGACATCAGGAGGAGAGGGGAGGAGGGGGAGGGGGAGAGAGATTCTGTTGGTCAGATGGCTCAGCCGATAAGAAAGTCTCAACACAAGTGATTCGGAAGTCTAACACATAATTCGGAGCATCAATGCCAAGTCTGACCAACAAAGTCTCGGAGAGCAATCGCATCCCCTCAGTAAGAATGGAACTGCTCCCCGATCCTCTCCAGCTCTGCACGAGCTTCTCGCATGCACCTCGATCGAGCACGACGACACTTGCACGGCTCAGCCCAGAAATTTATCTTCCCTCCACACGAGGTGGTAAGAGTCTAACACATATATGGGACATCATCGCCGGCAAGTAGAAGCGAGCTCGATCTGCGGGCCCGGAAGAATTTGGCGTGGGGGTTGGGAGGAGGAGGATAGGAGGAGAAGGAACCTGTTCTTCTCTGCCCAGTTCGACAGCTTCTTGGGCTCACTATAAAGGTCATCGGGGATCTGAAATGCGAAAGGTCACTCGCACACTGGGAGGTCTCGTTTCGTCACCTGCAGTGGCGAATCTCCGTTGGCGAACAAGAAGCCGAGAGGCCTGTTCTTGTTGAAGTCGTAGAGAGGGAGCTTGAAGCGCTCATAGAAGGTCTTGTTGGAAGGAAGCTTCCCACCGCAATCAATGGCTCCAAACTTGATCGACGACGTCACCGACAGCCTCTTGGCCGCCCCCAGGAAGCCGGCGGACAACCCTGTGGTGTTCTCGTTGGCGCAATGGACCATCCATGGATCTCCCCCGAAGAAGACCTGGAGAACATTCTTTCACTCCTCCACCACCGCGCTCGGACCTCCTACCTCCTTCAGCAGATCCGCGTTGTTCAGTTCTATTGTGCGGACGCTGGAGCGGGAGATGGTGACCAAGGAATAGATGCATGCGATGGTGATGACAACTCCAGCCGTGGAGAGACCATACTTCCACGAGAGCTGCTTGATACGCTCGTCTCTGCAGACTCAAGTCAGTCACATCTACCCTCCCCCTCTTGCTAACGAGTCACACCGTTTCTTCTGATCCTTCTTCTCAGCCTTCAGCTTCTGCTTCTCTTGGACGACATCAGGCGCATTGTTCGGATTCCCTGCCTTTCGGCGCGAGTGGCCCGCGCTTGACATGGTGCGCTAGCACAGCAGCGGAGGAGACCGTCCTTGGGTCAGCCCGTGGACGCACGGACTGAACCGAGCAAGGCTCGAGGAGGCCAGTGGATCTCAGAGGGGCCAAGTGTAAGGAGGGAGGAGAGGAGGAGGAGAGAGAGAGGAAGGGGCGGAGCAGGGGAGAGAGGAGGAGGAGAAGGAGGAGGAGGGAGGGGGGTGGCGGCGGGGAGCGAGGAGGACGAGGACAGCAAGGCGGCCTCCTCACTCCTCCTCCACTTGCCCCACCCCTACCTCCCCTTTTTACCAAAAAGACCCCAACCCCTCATTCGACACAAGTACCCCTCCATTCCTCTCTGAGTACCCCCACCCTGTGGATGAATCTCGCAATGCTGGCTCGACAGGGGTTCGGGAGAGTAGCCAGGGAGCTGGGGAGGAGGAGGATGAGCACTGGGGAGGAGAAGATCCTGAGCGAGGTGAAGGAAGGAGTTGCCTTCCTCACCCTCAACGACAACAGCAAGAGGAACGCCCTCTCCTTCAGCCTCATGACGGAGCTCCGAGACAAGATCCAGTCCTTCGAAGAGGACCGCAGCGTGAAGGTAGCGGTCCTGCGGCACGCGGGGAAGGTCTTCAGCAGCGGGCATGACCTCAAAGAGCTCTCCATGCTGCAGAAGACTGTCGGGAGCACAGAGAAAGTCTTTGCAGCATGCTCGGACCTCATGTTAGCGGTACGACCAGCACCTTGGAATCCGTAGTCGAGTTTTCTCTTGACGCAACATGCAGATACGCAAGGTGAGGTATCCTGTGATCGCCGAGGTCAGCGGACTAGCAACAGCGGGTGGCTGTCAGGTATGTCCTCTTCTGCATGCAGCGGTTGTCCTCTCATCTCTCGCCTAGCTGGTTGCAGCGTGTGACCTGGCGGTTGCGTCCGAGGAAGCAACATTTTCAACCCCGGGTGTCAAGATTGGGCTCTTCTGCACAACTCCAGGAGTTGCCATCGCGCGCTCTATGCACGCCAAGCATGCCATGTCGATGCTGCTCACCGGCGACATGCTCACGGCAGAGCAGGTGCGCGTGATGAGGGAGGGGCCGAGAATAATGGAGGACATCAGGCGTTGTCTTACGGTCTAGTGAACCAAGTGACCACCCCGCATGCCCTGCAAGCGACGACAGAAAGTCTGGCGATGAAGATCGCTGCGGTACATGTCCAGGGCTGTCTTCCCGTCACTTGACGCCCATGTTCAGGCTCCTTCCGAGACCATCTCCATCGGCAAGGCAGCGTTCTACAAGCAAGCAAGTATGGAAGACCTTGTGGCAGCATATGAGTACGGCAAGGTAAAACTTGCGGAATGAATGTCGAGAAGAGACGACAGGCTGATTGCTTGCTCACAGGGCGTGATGGTCAACAACATGAAGATAGCGGACGCCGAAGAAGGAATCGGAGCTTTCATTGAAAAGAGAAAACCAGTTTGGAAAACATAAAGTTAAAAGTCATCAGAGCAGAAATCTCGTCTAGCATGGCATGCATTGCTCATAGCGCTCTGTCCCTCTCGAACGCAGATTCCGATCCGAACTCGGAGTCAACGTCAGAGAAAGGCGTCTGATCCTTGCCGTGCGACAAGGCTGCCTTGACCAGCCTCTTGCCCTTCATCATCTTCTTTGACACAGACGCGGGCAGGGAGAGCTCATGGAGGTCGCTCACTATCATCTTCTGGTACGCTGAGATCTCCAGGGAGGAAGCTTCGAAGTACTTCTCCGGGTTCTCTCGCTTCTCCTTGGCCCGCTGGAGGATCGAGTCGACTTCGTCCTTGAGCGCGTAGTTGATGGAAACCTCCTGCTTCCCTCCCATCTCCTGCAGACGTAGAGGACCAGCATCGGCAAAGGAGAGGAGGTCGAGCTCGGACGACGAACTGTCGCTGATGCTCTCCGTGTCCTTGTTGTCCTCCTCGAGCTCACCGTCCCGTGATATTGTGCTGATATCCAAGTCCTGAGTCATGAAGAAAGCGTTCTGAGTTGCCTGCTGCTTCGACTCGTCAGCCATCGTCTTCTTGCCCTCTTCCTGTGTTGGGTCTGTCACTGCCAGCCTCTTCCCCGTCATCTGAGCTTGCAGGGTGAAGATGGGGATCCGGCTCGACGAGTCGTTCTCTGGCTGAACTTTGTCTTTGCCCGACTCTGCGACAGGGCTGGGACTCTCCGTCCGCTGCCCACTCTCCTCCTCTTCCTCCGGCAGCGAGGCATCGAAGGCTGCTTCATCCAGCCTGAAGTCTCGGAACATGTCGGCCGTCAGCTCCCATCCTGAAGGTTCACCGAGGATCCCCAGTCTGTGCCCATGGATCGTCCACACGCAGATGGTGCAGTCGCGCGATCCCGTGATGACGATTCTCCTTGAGTTGACGTAGCAGACGCTCGTGATGCTTTGAAGATGCGCTCGCCACTTGCTCCTCTGCACTGGACGACACAGCCGAATGTCTGACATGTCCGTCGCCTGCCCCGCGCTCTTCATGGTAGCCTGGATGTCGAAGACGTAGACGAAGCCATGGTTGTCAGTGAGGATCATAACCTTGCTCCTCTCGCACGAGATCAACGAGGACAAACCTGCGTCCCTCGAGTCCTTCATGGTGTACTCCAGCAGCAGCTCAGGCGCCCCCGTCACGTTCCAGAACCTCACGACCCCATCTCCTCCGGCTGTTACCAGCAGAATCAAGTCTTCCTGCTCCACCTGGCTCGGGCAGCAGATGATCACCATGGCCTCTATCGGCTTCTGCTCTTGCGTCATCATGCGGATGCCGGGCAGGACCAGGTGAGCTCGGGGGATGCCGAGCTCGTGGTTCCATATGATGATGTCACCGTCGTAGGAGGAGGTGACGATGAGGTTGGCCTCCTTGTGGCAGACCATGCACAGAATGTCCTCCCCGTGACCCTCGAAGTGATGCGTCACTGCCTTCTTGCTGCCCTGCCTCTCTGCCGTGCTGCTCCCTGACTCCTCCCAGAACGAGACCTTGTGGTTCCACCCTGTTGCAACGATGTAGTCGTAGGGAGTGATGCTGAAGTTCTGGATCGAAGTGACCTCTCCGCTCCCAAACCCCTCCAGCTCTCTCAGGTGCTGGCCCGTGCTGAAGTTCCACACCTTGATGCTCCCATCATGCGCTCCTGTGATGAGCCGCCGATTGGTCTGGTCGAAGGTGGCTGCCGTTATCTTGACTGGCTCCGACTTGGCGTTGGTGTGCGCGTTCTCGTAACGGATGATCGCCTTTCCTGTGTTGACGTTCCACACTCGCACTACCGAGGCCTCGTCCGTGCTGACGAGGATCTCAAAGGTGGGGTTGTAAACGCAGCAGGAGATGGGCAGAGCGTGCCCGTTGGGAACCTTGCGCTCTGATATGTGCCATGGAAGAATCTTTCGAGAGATGCTCAGCAACGTGTTCCTGCGAGCGTCGAAGATGATGCTCGACACTGGAAACTCCTGGTGGACTTTGGCTGCTTCCAGGCGTTGGATGGGCTCCATATCTCTGAGGTCCCATATGATGATTGTCTTGCTCGTGTCTAGGCTGATGAGTTGCCCACCTCCATACGCCAACTTGTGAACAGACGCCTGGTGCCCTTCTAGCTTGTACGCGGGGTTTTTGATGGGAATCTGCCAGATGCTGATGTACCTCTCAATACCACATGAAGCCAGCAGCTGCCACTTGGGCATCCACAAGAAATCCGCTACCTCCCCTCTGTGTCTGAAGCCATCGTGCTTGATCGTTCGGCGAATGACATCGCTGACCACAAGCTGCCCATCCGACGCTGACGACAGCAGCATGCGCGTCTCGTCGTGATAGTCCAACTTGGTCACCCAGGCGGTCTTGTCATGCGCCTGCCATGAGCTGATGTACGCGGCCCTAGCAGTCCACATCTCCTTGGACAAGCCGTTGGCAGTGAGCTCATGTCGGCTGGCTATGTGCACCAGCTTGTCGGCATCGTACAGATGGATGCTTCCGAAGTCGTCTCCGAAGGCGATCATGCTCTCATTCGAGCTTTCTGTATCGCCCTTGATGGCAATCATGCAGATGGAGAGGGGTGAGATGTCGAGAACGAGCTGCCCCACAACCTTGAAGCTGTCTCGGATCAAGTCGAGGAAGAGGAGGCGCTTGTTTGCAGCACACACGGCAAATCTATCAGAATGCCCAAATTTGGCAACATGAATGAGCCCGACGATGAAAGACAAGTCAGTTTGGTAAGCTTTCGGGCTGCGGATCTTCACCCCATCAATGGCGTCTGGCCACCAGACGAGCAGGTCTCCTTTCCTGCTGTAGGACAAGTACTTATCAACCTCGTCGAAGCAAATGAAACCAGCTGCCACTTCCTTGTGCCCCACGATCTGCAGAGCATTGTCTGCGATGCTCGGATATTGAAAAAGCTTCCTCGAGCTTTCAGTTTCGAGTTGAATCGCTCCGTCATCCTGCATGACGATGAAAGAAAGAAACTCCTCCCAAGTTATGGTGCCATCGCAGTCCGCGTCTATCCTCATGAACATCAGGTGAAGGTCTCCGGCTCCCGCGGCCAGCAACGGAAGGAAGGCGTTGATGAACTCCTGCATGTCGAGAGCACCACTGTTATCCACGTCGGCGGCTTGAAATGCCACATTCAAGATGCACAGGTCAGAGAGAGAGAGCGAGGAGAGGTCGCGAACTTGATAATTGGGGGTGAGACTGTCTTGCGAGGCCTCCAACAGAGGGTTTGACTGGATCAGAGTCTCAGCAGCGATCTTTGACAAGGCCTGAGAGATCTTCTTCTTGTCTTTGCCCTCATGGCTGTACTTGTTCAACGCCTTTCTCCATGGCTTCCACCCCTTCAAGGCCTCCTCGTTCTTCTCTTTCGAAGACGCTGCAAACAAGTCAGAGTTCTTGTTCGGCTTCAGGTTCTGCCTCCGGCTCTCGAAGGAGAAGGTAGCAGCCGGTTGATTTGTATGTCCCACAACAGAGGTAGACGCCTGATTCTCCTTCACTTTTTCTCTCACATTCGTGTCCCAGAATGGAGTCAGACTTCGTCTTTCTTTCCTCGCGTCAGTTTCCGCCGAAGAACTTGGAACGACGCTAGAACGAGACTGAAATGAGCTCATGTGATGTCGTCTTTCGCCGCCTCACTGCGCTTCGACTATCATACAATCCATCGCTAGTGATCCTACGCCACAACAATTCCTCACACGTTCATCAGTTGCATTAATCATGGCTGATCGATTCATCTCGGACTCGCAATCAGTGATCAAACACCCGGTTTCTCACTTAGTGGACCCCGGCTGCGCTTCTTCAAGTCGTGTAAGCCGCTCAATCAACGCACCGTGGCACTGTCGATACGTGACAGCGGGCTGTTGTCAGTATTGCACCCCACTGGCACCGTCTGATCATGGCAGAGTCAGTGAGGAGACTTGGGCAGTGACTGCCTGGACGGTGCGGCCAAGGAGATCGGACATCTCCACCATCCTCACTCAAGGCGTGCAGGCAACGCTGTCACTGCCGTTAGACCACTCCGGGGCGGGTCTGATCACATTTGGGCGCCTCACAAAATGGACCACATCCCCACTCATGTACAAATATTGAAGCTAGAAGATACAAAAGAGCAACAATGCGAATCGTTTCGATTTCAGCTTGACCTCGTCAGGATACAAATGAAGCGAGGGCAACAATCCCAATCGACGCGGTATTTTATAATCCCAATCGACGCCGGTATTTTATAATCCGAATCGACGCAGGCTTGCAAGATACAAATGAAGTAGAGCAACAATCCAGATCGTCGCGGTGCTGGAATTGATTCCCGTCGTTTCGTATTGTTGCCCTGCTCAACCAGGAACAGACGCTCTGGAATACCACGAACCGAAGGGCAACAATCCGAATCGAAATGTTTTTGTCTACGAGAAGCCAAATTCTCTCAAAATTTGGATTAAAATCGTTTAAATTACAGGGTAACGAGGAGCAACAATATGATTCGATGTGAGTTTATCTATGTTAAAGACAGGACGATTGGGATTGTTGTGCACATGTCGGTATAACATCAGCGTATCTTCAATTTCAAACATCAGCGTATCTTCAATTTCAAATTTCTTCTCGAAATCTTTTTCTTGCAAAGAAGCAACGCCTGGGATTGTTGTGTCGGACTTGACACGGAAGTTCACGGTTCTGGGGAGCAATCTTCAAATCCCCTCGTAAATCTTGAAAAGCTTTACAGGAGGCTCAATCCAGGATTTGATGAATCACAACGATTGGAATTGTTGCCCCGTCGGACCAACAGTAACGTGATTGAGGAGATGCCCGTCGGCATTGCCGAGAGGAGGAGGACAGCAACCAAGGACTACCTCCAGCATTACCTCAAGAAATACCCCGACGGACCTCCATTGCTCCTGCCGTTTCCGAACCGACGCACGGCATGTCGAAAGCGCAACAATCCCAAACGATGCGGTCTAAAGTTTGGGGACCCTTTCTAGTTTTGACGGGCAACAATGCCAAACGTTGCGAAGTTGCTCTACTCATTTTGCACCTCTTCGGATTGTTGTGGTCTGTCTGCCGGTTTCATTTTGGTCAACGGTCAAACCTGTCTCTGATGAGGCGAGCTGTGTTCTTTATCGGTGCGGGCCCGTCCAAGACAATGTATGTGCGGGGACGAGGGTCCCGGACGACGCTTGGGATGGTTCGCAATGCACCGGGGCCACCGGCGGTGGATTATGAGCCTGTTCAGAGTCTGTCATGGCTGCTCGGATCCGTAGAGTACGAGAAGACCGAGAGAGGAACCAGCGACTCCTGGGAGAAGGAGCGGCAGGTGGATGAAGTCCTGCCTTGCTTCGGGGTCAAGCAGGTGGGTCAAAGATTGTTATTCAGTGTGTGGTCGGGAACTTGGCCTGGGAAATTTGGTTGGTGGGAGAGGAGAGGACGGGAAAATAAGTTTGTATCTGGAATTGCTTGTGATCTGTTACTGTTCCCCAACCCTATCTGAGGTATGTTGCTTCCAGGAAGAGAACTCTCCTATCGATTTCGGGCCGTACAAGACTGATCGGTTCACCTTGAACAAGAAGAGCTGGCCTGGTCAGAGGCCACAGCCCACCCCTTACGAGGTAAACTCAGAGCCATATGATGGGAAAGCACTGTGGAGGCTGAATCACTCCATCTCCTGCAGACCATCACGGTGTTTGTCAATGATCTGCATGGAGAAAAGGTTCCTATCAAGTGCAGGATAGCGGACTCCGTCGAGTCGTTCAGGTTGAAGGTGTGGAACAAGATGCAGGCGCAGATGCACTTGCAGACTCTGGACGATGATGCGGATGCAAGGTACGGTCTCCTCTGCGGTACGACCTGTTGGTTGACTTGGCAAGGAAGGTTCTTCAGTGCCGTCTTCAATCCTGGGAATGTAGAAACGAAGCTTAGCATCGTCAGCGACGTCGGCTTGTCCAAGCAGATCCCCGGGAGCTCTCACTACTCCAAGGAAGTGCGCATTGACGGTTCGAGCGTCGTTCCAGGTGTCGCTGCCTTGGAACAACTATCGTGTGATGCTGATACATGCTGCCACTGTCAGACCGGATGCTCAGAAAGCCTATCCCTTGTCCGCGCAAGTACAATCCACCGAGACGCTGCCCTGAGGTTGGAAGCGAAAGTCAATGGCATGCAATGTGACTGGTACAGCAGAAGCCGAGCGATCTTGATCTCTTCATCGGCTCTGTGAAACTGGAGGACGGTCAACTCGATCTCTCCAAGACCATCAACACAGGTCCCATGCACCCTTTGCATCTACTCGTTCTGCTTCCATCCGCAATGAGTTCAACCCATTTCCTCCCCTTGATATTTCCTATCTCCTCCCCTTTGATCCTTTGATACTTGCTGGACGCATCACGGCTCAACTCTGATCTACCTGATGTTTTCAACATCCATCTCCGTCAGAAGCACTTGCCTACGATGTCCCCTTTGAGTCCTCTCCAAGTCTCTGACCTCTCTCATCAGGAGCGAAACCACCTTATCTCATGACCTACCTCAAGGACTATTGCGTTGCCCCGGGGTAATTTTTGTTTCCTCGACGACATCCCGGCTGTCGCCTTGACGTCCAGAACAGAACCGTCTTTCGTGCAGAATATACACAGACAGCAGCAGAATACAAGATGAAGAATCCTGAAATGGACGTCTCCAAGGTCCTTCACTTGGGTGCATCCGTCCAACTTTGACATGTCTCACAGCTCGGACCGATACCAGAAGCCGACACAGTCGTGACAAGGGCACGAGACACGGTGTGAGGAGGCAATGCCAGGAGAACAAAGTGACTGGAGCGTAGGTTCTCGATCCAGACTTCTACATCTCCTCCTTGGAGCAGGTCAGGGCATAAATCGTCTCCCGTTCTTTTGACGCTTCCTCCTCGTAACAGGCCCCAAGACTCATCGCCGACTTCTTCGCGTTCCCGGAGGACGAGGATGGGCCCTTCGTTGGCAGGTGATGACTTTGCTTGCGCGTTTCCTATCCATGAAGTTTGCTGTCACTCTACAGGCTGACTGAGATCGGTGAATCCTCGGCTTCCAAGACGTTCACGAACCACGGGCTCAGCAACCCTCAGGTCAGATGCTGTTTGTTGTAAATGATGATGTTGACGACTTAACAGGATATGACCAAATCCATCGTGATGGTGTAAGATTTTGTAAACTCAGAAGCAGCAACACAGAGATACCAGCCTTGCTAAGGGTGTGACATGCAACACTCTTGTAAGATTGTATTTGTGGCTTTCATTAAAGGTTGGTTCTCTAGTTTAAGGTAAAACACAAGGATGCAAGAGCGAGAGACTTTTGATCCTGTCTGTCTCTGTCTTGCTACCTAGGAAGCTTCGCACGTCTACATGCTGCAGTTGCGGTTAAGTTTGTGCTCAAGGAGCATATTGTTCTCGGGAGCAAGACCCAAACAAGCCCTCATGATGTTCACCATGCATTGCCTCTGGGTGAAGAGCGCGTTGACAACTGGAGTTCCAGGTGGGACCAAAGGAGCCTTCAGAAGGAAGCTAAGCACCGACAAGACCGGATGGAAGCGTTCATATTCCTTCGCTCCCTCCCGCTTGAGCTGTACTCTCTCGAATAACTCGCACAAGAGAACAAGGTCAATGATGATAGGAGCGGCAAGCAACGAGTCTTCGCACGTGTTGTGCATCACAATGGTGTTGGTTCCTCCCATGAAGATCTCGGAAACATACTCGTCCATCGCACGCTTGCTATCTCCAACGTTGGGGACGTACTTGATGACCACAACGTGATCGGGGTGCTCTCCTGGTTCGTACAAAATGTTGTTTGAGGCAACCATGTCGTCGACCACATTGGACTTGGAGATTTCCTTGGAGCGGAACATCTCGGGTTGAGACAAGTTTCTCCCATCGTTGTTTCCGAGATGATTGTAAGAGACGATGGATTTCACCTTGATGCCAGCGCTGATCAAGAAATCGACAAGGACAGACTTGACCTTGGTCTGTCCGGACTTGAAGTCATCTCCGCCGATGAACACCTGCTTCTCCTCAGCAAGCTCGAGGACTCCAGGAACCTTGAGACAAGTTCACGTCAGGAAGGGCGAAGTACAGCAGTCTAGGGACACTTACAAAGGTGTTCTGAGGAGAGCCATTGATGTAGGAAGCGCCTTCCAGGATACTGGCAATCGCGAAGACGGTGGAAGGAGAGATTTCTGACTCGCCACGCTGAACTGCAGCAAGGAGGTTCTCTGCAGTGTCGTTCACGCCTGTTTGGATCTTGATTGCGCGTCAGAGGATAAATGAAACCTAACATTCAAAGCCTCACCTCAGCAAATCTCTCTGTATTGGCAGTCCACAGGACAATCACTTTGTCCAAATTGTTGGCAGACTTGAAATCACGAATATCCTTCCTGATCTGGTCAAGCTGCTCTTGCTTGCTTCCCTTCAGGACATTGGTAGCTCTCCCTGCCTGGTTTGCGGCAATAAAGTCTGGGAAGTAAACCGACGGAAGTGGTCTCAGCTTTTGCATCTCGTCGTAAACCTGGCGCTGCAGGTCATAGTCAAGAACCTTGGCGTTCTTCATGGCGTCTCCAAGGGGGGTGCTGCAGATGTCCCAACCTCCAATGACCAGATCGTTGGGATTGACCATAGGCAGAAGGTTCTTGAAGGGAATGTAAACGTTGTCTCCGCACTCGTTGTTGCCGATCCGGATGGTCGAGGACTGAGTGAGAGAGCCGAAGTAGTTCGAGCGGACTTCTCCTTCCTTCTTGTTCCATACGATGCCATGGCGGTTTGCAATTATACTTGCCGTGACCGTGGTGCCGTTGTTTCCTCCCCATCCGACAAACATTGCTCCCACCCTTGGGACCTGGCGATCCGTCTTGAATTCGAAGTTTTGTGTCTGAGGCATGACAACCGTCTTCCCATTTCGGTTCTCTACCATTGTGGTCTGGTAGGAGTAGGTGGCAAAGATAGCCTCATCAGTGTAGTTGACCTTGTCGCTCTCGACTTCGAAAGGACCGTCGAAAAATGACTCCGTGCTCGTCATAGTTTAACTGTTGAAAGTATCAGCATGCAGTATTCGCACTTAGCATTTCAAATCACAAATATGTTATCATCTTGCAGTGTGAATCATGAATAAATGCTTCTAAGAATAGAAAACTGGAATATGACAACAAGTAAACCAAGAAAACCGTAGTTTCGAAACAGACCAAAAGTCTTCAACAACATTCCTATCATAGGTAGAACTAAACACATGATTTCCGTCTTGGATCAGGTAGCTGTCTCGTGTACAAACTTTGAGCAAAAATGGAGTAATCAAACCCCGCTGTTGAGCTACGAAATGAACACGAGACATTTCACTGAATCCATGAAGAAAAGTGATAAAATCTCTCTGGGTTCACAAAACTATCTGCAATGAAGGTTCGGAGCAAGACAACATCTCGTTCTATCCACTATCTATGTCAGTACATCTTCTCCATCCTCTAACTTTGTCCTCCCAGCCTTGGCACATGCCACTACTGCATCTCCAGTCGCGCGGCAGACTCTTTTCCACCCCCTAGAACCCCCTACCCTTTCTCCTGCCCTTGGTTCTACCCCCTACCCTAGAACACTCTGACAAATTCATTACCCTACCCCAGGCGTCCCCATACCTTCTACCCCCACCTACCCTCAGTGACTTCTTTAGAGTGCATACCCCCTTTCAACAACATTAGTCATATTCCCACTATAGGTACCCCTCAGAAGAGCAACGAAAGTACCCACTCAAACCCACCCCTACATCCTACCACCCCAAATTCATAATACCCTACCCATTCGGAAACAGTATACTACTAAAAATGGATTGCCCAATCAATCATTGCCTGAGACCTAGCAGACCCCTATCTCCCTCATGGTTTGAATTCAAATGGCGTATGACCGGTGGTATTCTCCACCCTCAGTTTCATGTAGATCCCAAGGTGATGGTGACTTCACAAGGGTAGGACCTATGTCACTTTTTATTATGGTAGCATTAAGAAAAGAACCCTCCATGGATGACCTCCGAACATCCTTCGAATTGGGTACCCACTTAAATATCCTGGTCCTACCCCTACCCTTCACCTCCGTTTGACCCGGTTGGCAGGACTTGCTTACCGAACATGGTTCTGCTACTACCCCCATATAAGTACCCTACCTATAAAGAATTCCTGTAGCATGAGTGTGGGACCCCGGTACTTTCTCCTCAAGCAGGACCCCCTTGTCAATACCCCTTCCATGAACACCCATGTCATTTGGTGTCCCCACTTTTCAAACTACCACCCACCTCTCATTATATCAGTGTTCGATTCCCCCGATGATGGGTGCCACCTTCCAGAGTTTCTAGTACCCGTACTCCAAGGAACCCGAGCGTTCGATGGCAGTCTTTCCAGAGCTAAGGACATACTATAGCGAATTGACTTATAGCTTTAATCGATGAATACCTTAATATGTCTAGACTGAATTTTGATCACTCTCTGAACTTGAACCCCACCCCACATTCTGGAGGACTTGCAAACTAGCCTCCAAGTGCCACCGTCAGCCACCCTACCCTTGACCCTACCTATAACTTCTGCCTCACGAGGCCTTCAAGGAATACCACCCCTCCTTTTCCTGGTCAAGGACCGGTTTTATTTGAATGGACCCATTCGATCGTCTGGCGGGGCATTCGGGTACTTGGCTCGGAGGGGTAGGGGGTCTCATTGAGGACGGGTCCTTTACAATGGATGTAGAGGGGTACAATACAGTTAGAGGTGCAAGGGGATTCATGACAGTGTATGGCTGATAAGGGGTAGGGTGAGGTACCCCACCCTGAATGTTCGATGCTTCTTCCCAGTTGGTGACTGGTGGAACAAAGTTTGGACGGGTTTGGGCAATCTGAGGAAGAACAGGGGTAGGGTGATCATGGGGGTGCAATTCTGCATGGAGGGGTGGTGATTCACGCACGTGTCCTTGTTTGAGACTCCCTGACCCACCGGTCCTGCTAGTCCTGATTGTGGGAAAAGGAGGGGTTCATTCCTTGTGTGGAGCGCTCGCCCCGCCCTGGCGGCCCTCGGGACTCACCGGGCCGGGGCAGCCGGGCCAGGCCGTAGTCCGACTGGCAGTACGGTCCGGGTCATAGCGGCTTTGAGTCAGCGGCTGAGCGCGTCAGACGGACTTGCCGCCGGCCCGTACTTGCTGCCTCACCGTCTGCCGGCGGGAGTCTCGGAACCGACCGTAAACGGTGTTCACCGTCTCAGTACCGTACTCCGTACTGACCGTGACACTACGGTGCCCGGTACGGTACCGTCACGGCAGTGGCATTGAATGATTCGGTCGGATTCAGTGGCAACTTCACTGATTAGTACTACACTGGTAAGTGCGAGGCTACATCAACTCGTACGGGCAAGCAGTATGCTTCATCGAAGTCTGCATCTCCGCCACCGTGCCCAGCAGCTGTGCAGGCTTGAGTGCCGCTGCGTCCATCTCCTGTCTGCCGACCTGTGAGAACGAGATGTATCTCACCAATGTCTCGGTGCGATCTGGCTCAGAGCTATTTCTCTCGCTCGCGCTCTGCAGTGATTTGATCAGTCTCAACAGCTGCACATGAAGTTGAAAGTTTGATGAACGCAGCATCACAACTTGCGCAAGCTGACCTGTGATGATCCACCAGGAAACGTGTTCCCCGAGTCCCTCTCTGCGCTGCTCGGAACAGAGCTGATAGTCAAGTCGACCTCACTGGACTCGCTCAGTGAGATCTGATCTATCAAAGTGCTGCTCAAGGACAGTGAGGGGTATTGCATGAAGAGTTCGAAGATCAAATCACTTGTTGTCTCTCTTCGGGCTCAACTTCGCAGAGTGATCGTTTGGCGACATTGTAACGTCATAGTGCAACCTCTTGCTTGCTGTCGGAGTCATGTTCAGATTGTTGTCCGTAAAGCTAGTGGCAACAGTAGTCAGGTGAGTTTTGATTTGACGCAGTGCAACAGCTTTCTAACACTTACCGCACGTTCAGCTCTGCTGGTGCCGAGCTAGACGGTGGTCTTTCCCAAGTCGTGACCATATCCCAAGATGGCAGGATTAGAGATGAAGTCTTGGCAGTTGTTGGGAAATTGCCATGATAATAATCGTGTTCAGGCTTCATCCCTGGAAGTAGGAGGGCCCTGAGCACAAGGAATCAGAACTGGTCACGACATCACTTAAAACAATGATCTATTCACCTTCTCATATCCTTCAAGAAGCATCGCAATAATTTACAATCATAGCCATCCGACATCATATTCGCTTGTACTTGGTCGTAGTTGACCAACAAGAAGCTCAGCGCCTCTTGCTTCGATTCTTTCCGTGGAAATCTTAGGACATACCCCCTTGCACACAACAGTCAAAACTTTCACAGCAGCGCACACAGCGTTCATGTTCTTACTCACCTCACGATCTCTGCCGAGCAGAGGCAGTCTTCGAGTTCTACCCAGAGAAAGTGATCGGATACCGCCCTTGAGAAGTAGAAGCATTGCGCGCAGATATCAACGAACAATTCCTCCATGGCTCTTTGACTCATCATCTCCTCAGCTCGAGTCAGGGTCAGCTGCAGCTCGAACAAGTCGTCGTAGAAGCGTCCGAAGGACATGCTTCTCAGGCTGATTTCTCAGTCCCTTCACCTCAGACTCATCTCCTCCTCTCCTCTCCCCTAACTTTGCCTTTCTCCCATCGCCATCCCTTGCTCTTGTCGTCTCCTCGGCGTTCGTCCTCACTCGCTGTAAACCTCCTTCCCTCTCTCTCCCCCGTCCCTTCCTCCACCAGACGTCGCCATCGCAGCGCTTTCAAAGTAAAAACTGACTTTTTACTTTCCCCTCCGTCGAGCTCCAACATACCACTTTTTATATGTGAGAGGCATAGTAAAGAGAGCCATGTCCCCACCCTCCCCCTTACTTGTTGCCAGTGCAGATTCTAGTCTTGCGAAGTGCTCACCCAGTCCTGCTCCCTTGACGAGCTCACAGGAGGTAACGACATGATCTGAGGCGAAGAGCTCGGAAGAACGAGAAAGAGAAGCAGGGAGGGGAGAAGGAAAAGAATCGAGATGAGAACCATGATCTATGCTTTCAGCTACAATCTTGACAATACCCAAAGGTCACTCAAGTCGGTCAAGGATTTATTGTACAAACTGCCAAAGAACTTTTACAGCATTACAACGCTCAACAAGCCCAGTCAGCCCTCAAGAGCGTCTCTTGCGCTTAGGGATCCTCTTGAGAGACTTGGCCGTGGTGTCTTTCGGTTTCCTCTTTGCCCCACTGCAGCAGCCAGTCAGTTCGCTACAAGTCTTTGCATGATCGAACGAACCCTTCCGTCCGAGCAGCGGTGGTCCTCACACGCCCCAGCGTCGCAGTCCCTTCCTGCTTCGTCGTCTTGACACGTTTGATCTCCGTCTTGAGCTTCCCCGGCATTCCCTGCACGTAGTCGGCCTTCCTCGAGCTCAAGGACTCGATCGGCTGCCCCAACTTCGTCGCTCGCTCGATTGCCATAGCGAGGGTGTAGTCCCTCTTCGTGATGAGGTTGGTAACACGTCCCGTGCCTGGCACAGCGTCAGGAACTAGGAGGGAATCCGGAGCCGGCGCTACCTCCTCCTCTCCCTGTCCTTCCGATCCTGTGGAGATAGTCCACGGGGTTCAAGGGGAAGTCGAAGTTGATGACGTGGGAGACATGGACGGTGTCGATGCCCCTTGCGATGATGTCTGTAGCAACAAGAATCTTCTTCTCCCCGGACATGAACTCTTTGATCTGTACAACCCTCTCATGCTGGGCGACCCATCCATGGCCCTCTGCCACGTCATAGTCGTTCTCCCGGAGCAGCTTCGCTGCAAACATCGCGCTATCTTTGGTATTGCCTGGCAAGACACAGGATCAGCGCGCAATTGCTGTATTCTGCAACCTGATTGTCTCACAGAATATGATCGTAGCGTCTCGAGTCTTCTCATCAAGCTCTCTGGACTTTGCCCAAGTCTGTGTATTCATTCTTCTCCCTCTGTCGAGTACCTGCATGTATCATCAAACAGGGCAGAAACGATAACTTTCCGTCTTCAACAAGATGCAAGGTTGTTCTTACCTCCAAGAGCGTTTGCGCCCTGTCTCCCGCCGAGACAGACACAAACTCCTGGAAGATCCTATCCGAGACCTGCCTTGGGGTCAAACCGAGATTGTCCTCACTCGAGCTCTCACTCTGTGGGCTGATTTCGTCTGCACTTCTCTGTAACGAGGGAAAGTGGACGAGATAATGTTCTTGACGGATGCGGGAACGTGGCGGCAGCGAGCATACACTGAACGATCCCGCGATCCTTGGGATGGAAGGGGCCCCGTCTGACACTCATCTGCAATCGCAGAATCAGCAACCCTGCCCCCCTGACATCGTCGCTCTTCACTTGATTCTTGATAGATTCAATCTCCTAACAGGAAGCGTCAAAGGATCAGGCAGCGCTCGGAGCAACCATGGCTTACCACCACATCGGACTCGACAGCAAGCTTTGCTTCCAGCTTTGCTCGCAATTCTTCACTTTTAACGTAGTTCTGTCCAAGAGCATCAGTCCACCGCCGCTCTCAGTTCCTCTCCCACACCTCCCGTGCGGCTGTGCTGGCCCCGCTGATGGCCTCGAAGATCTTCCTGAGCTCTTCGCCGAAACCCTTGAAGCTCGTCACACACGCAGGTCGCAACTTTCTCGCACCTGAGCAGCCATGGTGTCTGCCTCGTCGGCCACGACGAACCTGACGTCTCCCAACGAGAGGTGGTTGTCATTGATGTGATCCAGCAGCCTCCCTGCAGCAACTCGCTCAGCTCTCCCTTCCCACCTCCTCAGCTGTTGCCCACCAGGTGTCGCAATCACAAGATCGACTGGCTGTTCCAGGCGCTTTGCCTGCATGGCTGAAGAGGCTCCTCCCAGCAGGCCTAAGCTGGAGAACCTGTTGGGAGCAGGGTCTGAGGACAAGCGAAAGGGCAACAGAAAGTCGAGAAGGACTACTCACTTGGCATGCTTTGAAAGACCCTTAGCTACTCCCAAGATCTGCGATCCAAGCTCTCTCGTTGGGACAATAACGACTGCAACAACCAGAATCAGAGGCATGCAACAGCTACTAGTTACATCTCTCACCCGCTCTTGGACGTTTTGGCCTGGCGTTAATGCCAAGGACAAACTCATCGACTTTCAAGCGGTTTACAAGTGGCAGAAGAAACGCCAGGGACTTTCCCGATCCCGTCTCGGCACAGAGCAAGACGCTTTCTCCCGCAAGAGAGAGCGGCAACGATTCTTTCTGAATGGCTGTAGGCGTGTTGATGTTCATATCGCCGAGCGCCGCACACAACTCTGGTATCAGCCCAACGGTACTGAAGTAAGAATTATCCGCCACGCTAACTTGTGCATCGTCGGTCGTCATCGACAGCACACAGTGAACGCCCTGCCCGAAAGTCTCTGTCCTCCTCCCGCTCGCAGGGATGAAGCTCCTGTGAGGGAGCTTGGATGCTACGGGCGGCAGACATCTTGGCCTCAAGGAAGAGAAGAAGCTAGAGGTGGGGGAGGAGAAGGAGGATAGACGTCCTGGAGCATATGCAGCTGGTTGGAAGGCATCGAGCCGTCCATAGAGGACGCCGAGGAGGATGAGACGTAGCGGCGCCGATGCGAGCATGGCCCCCTGCCTGAGGATGGGTGGTCTGTGAATCGATAACGTTAAAGTGGGGGGTCAAGTGTTGAACAATTGAAAATACAGAGTATAATATTGAAGAAATTGCGAAATCATATTACACAAAATTAAGTAATATTGAAAATTTTGAGTAAGATATTGAAATGTCGAAAATAAGGGGTTTCGGGGGCCGCTCGTGAAGCTCTTGCGCCCCACACTATGAGGCGACAGGCAGGAAGAGGAGGAGCCGAGGCGAGAAACATGTCAGTGAACATGTCAGTGAACATGTCAGTGAACATGTCAGTGAACATGTCAGTGAACATGTCAGAGAGTGTGAAGAGAGGAGCTGTCCATCCTTGATGTTATGTTGCTAAGTTTCAAGACCTTTGTTGCCGTGATGAAACATTGTTTTTGCTCCGGGCCAACTTTGTACATGTGTTCAATGTGTTGTGGTAGCTTTTGATATAATTTCTTCATTGACTCTCCTCGTATCTTTTTGTTTTCATCCTGCTATGTCTGATTCAGTCCTTTGCACGTCGCCTTTGCTCATCGTGTTGTTTGACCGATTCGGTGTTTGAGAATCAAGGGAACACAGGAGAAATTCTTTACTAGTAGGATTGAAGATTTCTTTTGCTCCAATGGATGAACATGCATTATGTTGCACGTAGTCTGATCTGCGGACTGCTGCTATGCTAAAAGAATAAAATCGGAATTGAGATAAGATTCAACACGCCCTGGCGCTGTGAATTTTTGCTTTTGTCCTGGGGACAAATGACTTGGAATCACCTCAACCTTGATGTCAATACATCTTTTGCAGCTTCAATGCAGACGGTTCTCCACCTGTGTCTTACTCTCTTCTTCTTGATTCCGAATTGTCAACCATCATAAATTTCTTTTGGAACAGCTGTCGAGCACGGCTGCACCAGACAGCCTTCACGATGAATGGAAGTGATTGAGACAAAACCCCATGGACTGCAATGTTTTTCTTGAGATTGTCTAGCGAGGAAGATGAAAGAAAAAGGAGATGAGAGAAGTAAGATACGCACACTTGAAAATGCAGGGCTTCTGAAACATATCATACATTCCCGACGTTTGAAACATCTAATACACCTTATTGGGCAACCTTCTCATGTCTGACTATGACCTGATTGCTACTGCATTAAACCCTCCGAGGGCTGATGACAAAAGAGTTCCATCTGAGCGAAGTCGGAGGCCCTACGGTGTTGAATGTAATACCGCTATGGTGGCAGGTACAAACTCCCTGTTTACACTGAGGTCTCAGATTGGAAGCAAGGAGGAGGCGAGGAAGGGGCCTGAGAGGAAGAGAGAGGGAGAGAGAGGGAGGGAGAGAAAGGTCGAAGGAGCGAACTAGAGAGGAAGACAGCATACCGTACGAAGGGAAATCTGCCATCCAGGCACGGTCAGGAGCACTGCGCCTGGAAAGAAAAACATCAAACTAAGAGGTACCCCCACCTCCTCTTCCGCCCTGTCACAACTACTACAGGAAAATCATTCAGTACCCCTACTAAATCCCCACGTCGACCACGTATGATAAAGTCCCGTCCACCCACCCACCCCACCCACTAGTCTTTAGTTTTTTATCTACTTTAGTCTAACTAAGCAATGGCTTTGTTGCCTTGGTTTCATATCGCACGCTGGAGAGGGAGGAGGGAGGGGGGAGGGACAAGAGGGCACTGCACAAGAGCAGGTCCTTTGCAGCTTCTTTGCGAGTGATTGAGATTGCTTCTGCTGTATGAAGTCAAACAACCTGCTCGATTGAAGGCAAGGCTACACGAAAATTGTATCAAGCATGCGCAGAACTAGCAGAACATTTGCAGGGAAACTACGTATCATTTACGTGATCTCTTTGTTCTACATGTCTATGTGGTCGTCTGCAATGACCACACAAACTCCTGTCCTTCTCGTCAACCCTCAGTTTGGGGGGGATCTATCCAACATACTGAAGCTTGATTCCGAGGTCAGGGACAAGATGAAAAGTAACTTCTATGGTCCGATTCATGACGGCGTCTCGATGCTTCCTCATTTCAGGGCTGAGGCTCGAGGAAATTCTATGCAGAGACGACAAGTCATGGTGCAAACATCAGGAATCAACAGGTCTCGGATAAGGCAGGAGATCGAGAAAGTCTTGGGCAAGAGGGTATACAGGTATATCCCGCTGAACACCTACGTAGTGGAAGCAAACCAAGTGGAGATGAAAAAGCTTCGCACAGTTCAGGAAGTTGTGAATGTTGTTGAAGTTCCGTCTATTATGAAGCTCTCGAAAGTACTTGCTGAGAAACTCCTTCATGCTGAGCCGAAGCTGCGTGAGTCCCGCAGCCATGTTTCAGATTCCTTCCAAGGGTGCAGCACGACCCAAGGCTCTCGTTGTGGCACTTACTCGGCACAGCTTGCCACCGATGCCGCATCATTCCTTCAAGATATAGCCCAAGTGTTGAAAAAAGTGGGGAGTGTGGCCAAGTTTCAAGAGCCTGAAGTGAATTCGTCCGTTGTGAGTTGATTTTGTTCTTGCCGCATCGGGCTCTGACCTGGCTGACCATCTCAGGTCTTGATTGACGTTCTAGACGACTACTCTCTCGAGACTCTGAGTTGGTTATCAACGCTGATAGAAGTCAGATGGATTGCACCTCACTCAGGTAGGAGGTTGAGGCCCCTAGTGAAGCAGAATTCCGAATTGCCAACGAGCTCAGGGGCTGCAGCCAAGCTACGGAATGTGTACGTGGTAGAGCAAGTCCTTGGCGTCTCTCGATCGAAAGTCCTGGGTCTGTCGGGGAAGGACCAACTGGTCGCAGTGACGGACACGGGCATCGATTACAGCCATTGCTTCTTCTACGATCCCAACCACAACGTTGACGTGTGTTACGAGACAGGTGCGAACAGCTGTAGCTCCCAGAGCTCAGGGCATCGCAAGATCTTGTCCTACACTGTCATGGTAGACTCAACGGTGGGGGACGTGGTGGAAGGCCACGGCACGCACGTGTGCGGGATTGTGAGCGGGAACGCCAACGGACAGGCAGATTCACAATTCCTGGCAGCTGAGAGCGGTGTAGCTCCGGATGCCAAGGTTGTGTTTCAAGACGCCGGGGACTCGAGTGCGTCAGGGTATCTGAACATCCCAGCAGACCTCGAGCTCGGCGTCTACTCGTTGGCACGCGGGGGTGGGGCGCACGTGCACAGCAATTCGTGGGGTGGATTGAACAACGAGTACAGCATCGATACTTACCACACAGACGACTTCGCCTACTTGCATCCTGACTACCTGATAATCTTTGCTGCGGGCAACGACGGGCCGTCCTATGCAAGTGTGTCGGAACCGGCAGTAGCGAAGAACATCATCTCAGTCGGGGCCTCGGCGGGGATCCCCGAGAACGGCTGGACGTCTCCTCAAGTCGGGGACATCTGGTTCCTGGTACAGAACGTGCGGTACACTACCAGTATGGTACCTGCCATCTTCGGTCCTCCGATCTACGGGAGAGAACGAAGGAAGGGGCAGATAGTCCTCGCTGAGCCACTAGAAGCCTGTTCTCAGCTCACCAACGCAGCAGTGGCAGCGGGGAAGTTTGTGCTTGTTCGCAGGGGCCAATGCACGTTTTCGTTGAAGAGCTCCTTCGTGCAGGACTCGAGCGCGCTTGGTATGATCCTCTTCAACAACGAGGCCTCAAAGCCCGAGGACGTGGTCGCTATGTACCCAGCCAACGACTTTAAGCCTCTTATCCCCTGCCTCGCTATCTCTTACAATGATGGGAATGTCCTCAACGACGCCATCCAGGCTCATCCAGATGCTGTCCAGGTAGAACTTCCTGCCATCACAGACCTTGCCACCAATGTCGCCTCTTTCTCCTCCCTCGGCCCCACCTACGATGGTCGCTTCAAGCCCGACTTGCTTGCTCCCGGGCAGCAAGTCGTGTCTGCTCGCTCCGAGGGCAATCTCGGTCAGTACCACTGCGGCATTGACTCTTTGATTGACAAGTCGGGAACCTCCATGGCAGCTCCAGCAGTAGCTGGGCTGGCCCTCCTGCTAAGAGAGTACTTCTCTACTGGACTCTCAGCCGGGAACGCTCTTTCCCCCTCAGCGAACACTGTTACAGCCTTCGAGCCTTCCTCTGCTCTCCTAAGAGCTATGCTCCTCCACAGCGCCAACCACGTCGGGCTCGAGACTGGCTCGCTGCCCCCATCCACCAAGCAGGGATACGGCCTGGTGAACATCTCCACCGTCCTGCCCTCCCCCGACAAGCAGGGCTTCATCCTCCGCGTGCAGGACAACATCAGCATAGCACACAGGCAGCTGTTCTCCTTCTGCCTGGATGGTCGAGGAGGCGCCGAGCTGCGTGTCACCATCGCCTGGACGGATCCTCCTGCTCACCCTGCCTCCTCTCAAGCTCTTGTCAACGACCTGGACCTGACCGTAGTGGGGCCGGACGGAGCGACTAAGTATGGGAACGGGAAACAGTTCTATGAGTCAGGATTCTACCAGGTGCGGGACAGGTTCAACAACAACGAGCAGGTGATAAAGAGCCAGAGAGAGAACGAGAGGGAACGAGAGGAGGGAGGAGGGGGGGAGGGGGGGAGGGAGAGTTGAGCTGTGTTTCATGTAACTTCACTGGCAGGTGGTGTGGCCCAACCCTGGTCAAGGAACGTACATGATATATGTGTTCGGATGGGATGTTCCCGTGGATCCTCAACCGTTCTCCATCGTCGTCACAGGAAATATCGAGATGAAGGAAAGTTGCCCTAGCCCTTACTGCCCTTACGGCTGCAACGGAGCAGGGCAGTGCGAAGGAACGTACTGTCGTTGCGACCTGTTTCACACAGGAGAAGCATGTGAGTTGAAGACAAAGCATTTGGACAACAACCTGTTGCTTCAGTTGAAACTTGAACCAACTGAAATCTCCTACTTCTTCTGGAACGTTTCCGATGATAACGACACATGGCGGCTATTCCTTGCTCCCCGTTATCCCACCAACATCTCCGTGATGCTGTCATGGAACAGCAAACCCTCCTTAGAACATCACAACTTTCTGCTCAGGGGAATGTACCAAGTCACAGATATCTCTAGTTCTCAGTTCTCTGTCACGACAGGAGGGGTTTGGGTCCTGGCCATCCAAGCTCCTCTTATATATAGGAGCATCACCGACTTGTATCTAGAAAGGGGGACAACAAACTTGAGTACCAATTGGTTCTCTGACGCCATGGCGACTACTACTACTTCCTCCACCTCCACCTCCACCTCCACCTCTACTACTATGCCTTCTCCAGCATCAACGACGGTGATATTGCAAATCACGTCATGCGGTTTCTCAATCGCATCTGCAGCCACCACCGTCATCGAGGATGCCATCTGCTGTGGTCGTCACCTTCCAAGCGCAGATGCGGATGTCCCTTGTGACCTTCCAGGGCATTTCGACTCGCTTCTTGACAGCCGTTGCATTGACAGCCGGCGTCTTTCCGGATAATGTCTGGTGAGAATGCTCTTCCACTCTCTTGCTTGTTGCTCTTGACTATCCCGCCAGGATCGTATCGGCCGAAGAGAACCAGATCGCTGCGCCTCCTTCCGGCAGGAGGCTCCTATCCTCGGCGTTCATGGTTGTCATCACAACCTCCATCAGCTCTCCCTCTCTCTCTTCTGCAACTCAGGTTGCAAACAAGATCACAACAAGCAACCTCAACGACAACTTGAACAAGCAGGTTAGTGACGTCTCGTTACTTTCTTCTCTGCCTCCTGCACGCTTCTCATCGATCACTTCGGACAGAATCTCCCCAGAGCTGAGATCATTCAATCAGCCTACATCGACCAATCTCTCCTTCCGTCTTCATCCACCTCCCCACCCCCGTCTACCATCAGCGGCGATAATACGAACACTTCAGAGCATTCCTCATCTTCATCGGTATACCGAAAGATCCATTGCTATCACTTCGACCCCTGACCTCGCTTCTACAGTCCCCCTCTCTCTTGTGGATAGTCATAGGATGCGGAGCAGTCTTTCCAATCCTCGCAATTACTGGATATGGCTTCTACTTGTACATAATTTGCCGTGCCAGTGAGATTGTGGTGTGAACTGGTTCTCCAGGAGAAGGAAGCGCGTAGCAGGCAACCCTTTACGACGTGCGGTACAAGCGGTAGTTCGAACGCCCATCACTGTTCGAACCTGATGTTATCAAATGCAGGAAATGCGCGTTCCCGGCGATATTGGTAAACTTTAGCTCCAAATGTTATCAACTTTAGAATATCTTCTTGCTCCTCCCCTCCTCCCCACCTTCCCTCCTCCTCCTATCCTCCCCTTCCTCCCCTTCCTCTTGCATGTAGTCACTCATCCTCATGCTCGCTTGGCTAGCAGCCTCTGAGTGTATCCTCATATCCTGCGGCAGTGCCCTCACCCTATCCCCCCTGCACGATCTCCTTTGTTGCTTTCTCTGCTTTGACGTTCTCTTGCCAGAGATGCAGACTGACGAATACTTCTCCATCCGGACGGTTCGCGGCGTCAGCACCATGCCAGCCCCGTCGGCACCTCCTCTACCATCAACAATTGCACTAGCGGACCTGACTCCCGGCATGCCGCTCAACGCGCAGCGAGAGGCGTCACAGTCGACAGAGAGCAGTGGCGAAGTTGCGGGAGCTGCAGGAGGCGATAGGAGGTCCGATAGTTCACAACATCCTTTCACCATTGCAGAGCGAGACCAGGCAAGAGGGCCGACGTGCCATGATTGAACTTTCACATCAGTGACTCTCAGGCTATTATGCTAGTGTCATCCTGAGTGTCCGACGGTCATTGTGCGTATTATGCGGGGGCGGCCCCAGCGGCCTTGGGCGTCCGATCGGACTCGGCTGCCCCCCGGGCCCCCCGGGCCGCGGCCCGGTCACCGTGCGGCCCCCGGCCCGGCCGATCTATTGACTCCCGGAGGCTGCCAACTACTTGAGTGCTGCTGACCGTACTGACCTCGGACCGTGTCTTCATAATCATCATCGCCCTTCCATGAGTTTGCCGCGCGGTGACCAATCAAAATCTCCCGCGAAAACCTTTAAGAGGTACCCACCCCCCTACCTACTCTACTGTTTGTGTCAAAGGCCCAAGACAGGGTGTGGAGTCCGGCTTTATGGTGGTGGGGTGAGGCGACTTCGGGAATGTTCTCTGAGAACAATTCAGGGGTAGGGTATTTGTACACCCCGACAAAGTACTGTCAAATCTGGGGTACTTAGCAAAAAGAAAGTTCGGGAATACGGCAGTGTGGGGAGGTGGGGTGGGGTGAGCTGAAGTCAAGGGCTCGCGGTCATATTGAGCTCGCTGAGGTCCTAGGACATGCGTATGGGTTTCTAAGGACACGTGCAGGGATTGCAAGGTCAGACGAAGCTAGGGGTGTTTGTTGTGAAGGGTGGGTACTCAGCACGAGGGGATGGGGCGTTATCGATTTCCATGGGGTAGGGTAGTCACATGCCGATGGGGCGTGGGTCTTTGTGCAGGTATGTTGTTGATGTCCCAGAATCTACTAGTCTGGCAATTGAGAATTTACAAGCTTGAGGGGGGGGGGTCGCCCTGACCCATTCCAACCGAAACGCATGCGGGCTCCAGTAAAGATTGGGCATATGGGATGTTGCACATAGGTGTAGGGACTTGAGGGATCTTAAAGGTGGGTGGGGTGTCTCCAGGGTCCAACCAAGAAAGGAAAGGGACCTGAGAAGGGGGTGGGTATTCTACGAAGTACGGGTGATGAATGTTTAGCAGAGATTTATGTCTTGAAGTACCGGGTATAAATACATCGATTAGAGGGATCAAATATGGTGGGTGTCTTGTCTGGTTATCACTTGGGGGTGGGGTGCAATCCCTGAGCATCCCAGGGTGGGGTGGAAGGCACTAGGGGGAGGAAGGCATAAATTGGCGGGAGGGAACCAACTCGGCAGAAGCAAGGATGTCGGACGTTGAGACATTCGCATTCCAGGCGGAGATCAACCAGCTCCTCTCCCTTATCATCAACACCTTCTACTCCAACAAGGAGATCTTTCTTCGTGAGCTCATCTCCAACGCTAGTGATGCCCTTGACAAGATCAGATATCAGTCCCTCACCGACAAAGCTGTCTTGGACAGCCAGCCGGAGATGTACATCCACCTTATCCCCGACAAGACCAACAACACCCTCACCATCATCGACTCCGGTATCGGCATGACCAAGGCCGACATGGTGAACAACCTCGGAACCATCGCCCAGTCCGGCACCAAGGCCTTCATGGAGGCTGTTCAGGCTGGTGCGGATGTGAGCATGATCGGACAGTTCGGTGTTGGTTTCTACTCTGCCTACCTTGTCGCGGACAAGGTCGTTGTCACCTCCAAGAACAATGACGATGAGCAGTACATCTGGGAGTCTGCTGCTGGCGGATCCTTCACTGTGCGCCCCGACACCAGCGGAGAGAACCTGGGACGTGGAACCAAGATCCAGCTCTTCCTCAAGGAGGATCAGCTTGAGTTCCTCGAGGAGCGCCGCATCAAGGATCTCGTGAAGAAGCACAGCGAGTTCATCAACTATCCCATCAGCTTGTGGATCGAGAAGACCACCGAGAAGGAGGTCGAGGACGACGAGGAGGAGGAGAAGAAGGAGGAGGACAAGCCCGAGGGTGACGAGCCCAAGATCGAGGAGGTCGACGAGGATGCCGAGAAGAAGGACAAGAAGAAGAAGAAGGTCAAGGAGGTCTCCCACGAATGGGAACTTGTCAACAAGCAGAAGCCCATCTGGACTCGCAATCCTGAGGACATTCCCAAGGAGGATTATGCCGCCTTTTACAAGGCCCTCACCAACGATTGGGAGGATCATTTGGCTGTCAAGCACTTCAACGTTGAGGGACAGCTTGAGTTCAAGTCCATCCTCTTCGTTCCCCGCCGTGCTCCCTTCGACATGTTCGAGAAGAAGAAGAAGCAGAACAACATTAAGCTGTACGTTCGCCGTGTGTTCATCTCCGACAATTGCGACGAGCTTTGCCCTGAGTGGTTGAGCTTCGTCAAGGGTGTCGTCGACTCCGAGGATCTCCCTCTTAACATCTCTCGTGAGATGCTCCAGCAGAACAAGATCTTGAAGGTGATCAAGAAGAACCTCGTCAAGAAAGCCATCGAGATGTTCCAGGAGATTGCTGAGAATGCTGAGGACTACAAGAAGTTCTACGAGCAGTTTGGCAAGAATCTCAAGCTCGGTATCCATGAGGACAGCACCAACCGCTCCAAGCTTGCGGACCTCCTTCGCTTCACTACCACCAAGTCTGGTGATGATATGGTCAGCCTGAAGGACTATGTCAGCAACATGAAGGAGGAGCAGCAGAACATCTACTTCATCACTGGAGAGAGCAAGAAGGCTGTTGAGAACGCTCCCTTCCTTGAGCGCCTCAAGAAGAAGGGCTTCGAGGTTCTCTTCCTGACTGATCCTATCGACGAGTACATGGTCCAGCAGATGAAGGACTATGACGGCAAGAAGCTCGTTTGCGTCACCAAGGAGGGACTCAAGCTTGAGGAGTCCGAGGACGAGAAGAAGGCCAGAGAGGAGCTCAAGGCCAACACCGAGGGGCTCTGCAAGCTCATCAAGGAGACCTTGGATGACAAGGTCGAGAAGGTTGTCGTGTCTGACCGCCTTGTCTCTGCTCCTTGCTGCTTGGTGACTGGCGAGTACGGGTGGTCTGCCAACATGGAGCGCATCATGAAGGCCCAGGCTCTTCGTGACAACTCCATGTCTACCTACATGACCTCCAAGAAGACCATGGAGGTCAACCCCGAGCACCCCATCATCAAGGAGCTCGTCAAGAAGTCGGATGCTGACCGTGGCGACAAGACCGTCAAGGATCTCATCTGGCTCTTGTTCGACACTGCTCTCTTGGTCTCTGGCTTCACCTTGGAGGAGCCCAACACCTTCGCTGGTCGCCTCCACCGCATGATCAAGCTTGGTCTCAGCATCGACGAGGATGGCGAGGATGAGGAGCCTGTCCCCGAGCTCGAGGAGACTGGTGACTCTGCTGAGGGATCCAAGATGGAGGAGGTCGACTAAGCTGTAGACTGAATTTATCGTTCAATGTACTGTTAATAAAGCAAATCTCATCTACGTGAATTCTCTCATTGCCACTTCTAAGATTGGTCTGTGAAGGAGTGTTGATGAACTTCTTGTCCTTCTCTCTGTACCCTTGATTTATTCTAACCGCACCCATACCGTGATGCTGACGCTCGTCTTGTCTTTTCTCTTTCACCCCCCCCCCCCCCTGAGTTGAAGTCTGTTGTATCGTAGGTCATCCTTTCTTAGCACCTCTCCCTCCATCGTCCTTTCTTCTGTCTGCCGGCATGGCCGAAGGAACGACCGACTGTGCTAGCTGGCAGGCAAGCAGCAAGCCAGCCAGCCCTCCGCGCTCTATACTCACTTCTTGCTCAAATCAAACAAGAAGCATCATCTGAACTGAGTGTGTTGCCGATTCAAGGAAATTTGTCTGTTCCCGAACCGTTCATATCAGGGCACTCAGCACATCAGCTGCATGAAGTTCGACAGGCTACTGCATGTTTCATCGGTTGCAGCAACCACTACTTCCTTTCTCTCTTTCATCGGTTGCAGCAACCACTACTTCCTTTCTCTCCCTATAACTCTTCAGGGCTCAGTCCTTCTCTTTTCTCCAATCATGTCATCTCATTACAGATCAAGCTAGTAGCACAAGATCCCTCCCTTTGCGCGGCGGGTGCCTTTTTGACCTACAGTGAGTTGAGTGGGCGCAGTCACTGGAAAAAGCAAGTCACTCCTCCACCTGTTGCTCGCGTATCTCAATGAAGTCAAAGACTTCTTCAATCATCCAGAGAATCTCCTGGTCCTCACTAAATCCTTAGCACTTCCTTTGCATTCGTAGTATTAGAACGACTTCTCCCTCTGCCTAGATTCAATTTATCCGATCGATGTGAAACAAGGGTCTCTATGATACATGCTTTATTCATGCCTAGTGTTACATTACATTCCCTCGTCGTCCAGAGCTCATAGCATGAGCTCCTCCCCCGTTGCTGAGATCAGGCGGGGCCTTGTGGAGGCCCCTAGGAGTTTTAGGGAGCGTTTCAGAGCCTGCAGCTGCTTGCTTCTTGAGGGGCACCCGTACTTGGCTCTCCTCTGTTCCTCTTGGCGCTTCTGCTCCTCCCGCAGTGCATCATGAATATCTGAAATGCTCAGATCCCCCACGTCCGGAAGGCATGAGAGCTCCTCGCTCGTGATCGCAATGTCTCTGAAGCTCGGTTGGTCGATGCTGAGCAGACCGCTGGTGCCAGTTGTGAACATTGAGGTCACGTCGTGCATGTCGATGAAGGCTTGCTGTGATAGGGGGAGGGGAGGATGCCGAGGAGGATGCGAGGTCACTGAAGGTCTCTAAGATGGTCTGGGTCGCGAGGCCGTGGTGGCTGCTGGCGATGCGAAGCTGCTCTAGCGACAGGGATCGCAGCGGCTATTACAAGGGCCAAAAGGTTCACCCCTTCTGGTCACGTTACCAGTCGGAGTCCGTCACGATTTCGACCCGGCCGAGAGGGGCCGGGGGCGAGGGCAGTGACGGGCTCGATCGACTCACAGGCGGTAGGAACTTTGGTGCCGCGCTGTGATTTTATGATGCGGCTCTGAGGCTAACCTGGTACGGTCGTTGGTTGTCCGACTCAGTCCTCGTGACCCTGACCATCTCAGGGCATGTGGTCGGACCGTGAGGTAACTTAAAACAGTCGCTTGAGTTACTCCGAGCTCGCCGGCGGCGGCGGTGAGGGCACCCGCCGGTCACGGCGTGCTACGGTGGGCAAACTTTCAAAAGTGGACCAGTCACGTTACGAGGCTACTGGCAAGTTTTACTCCTACCGTCGTACTCGGCCGAGGGCCCGATCGGGCGAGTCGGACTCCTGAGTCGCGGCCGCCGGAACGGCCGGGCGGGGCCCGGCCCGGCCCGGCCGCCGCCGGGCCCCGGCGGCCCGGGGGCCGCGCCGACCGTACTCGGAGTCGGAGCGCGGCGGCGCCGACCGACAGACTTTACTCAAACAGACCGTACAATGTACACTGGCTGTGAGCCCGATCAGCCCAGGCCAACGCCGGACGGTGCCACTGGGCCCGGCCCCGGCCGGGCCCGGCGGCCACCGGGGCGGCCCGGCGGCCACCGAGTCAACTTGGCAAGTCCGACAGTGACTGTCACTACTAGACTTGAACAGGCCGCGGAGCTTACTACCGGGCTGCAGTACGTTTACTGACTAGTAGCCTCCGAACGCCGGTTACTGATTGAAGCCCCGGGCCGGGCACTGCGGCAGATGCTCAGTGCTTGAAAAATCCGACTCTGAGCCGCTGCCCGGAGGGAGTTTCAAAGGCCCGCCTGAGCGGGTCAAGTTAGGCTGCCGCTCCCCGGACTGAGTCCGGCGGGCCGCAGCCACTGTTGGCCCTCCGGGGCTCAGCGGAACTTGACTTTCGTGTCCGGATCATGATCCGATGCCATGATCATCGGATGGGGGTCCGAGCCCGGGCCCGCGGCGCCGCCGCCGCGCCGGTCACGGCCGCGGCTGGCATGGGTACTACGCCGCTGGCTCGGACAGCCAAGTCTGTCGCCGGGCACAGTGTGACGGTGAGTCGGCAGATGAGTCGGACAGTGAGCCGGGCCTGCGGGGGGACGTGGATAAAATACATTTCGGGGAATGAAAATGCAGAGCTTGCAGGTAAGGAGGCTGATGATGAGGAGGGGATGGAGGGAGCGACAGGAAAAGTGCACAAGGACATGGAGGGATTGGTCATCGAGGACGTGAAAGGATTAGTTGTTATGTCGGCAAATGTTATCTCGGAAAGGTGAAGACTGAAGGGCCCGGTGATTTTGAGGGAGATCATCCACTGAATCGCCCTTGTTTGCAGTATGCTGTGGTTGTATTCAGCCTGATTAGCATCGGATTGTCGCATGGTCTTGTGTACAACAAGTTTGATGCTGCACTAAGACACGGTGCAATGGGGGATGGAAGAGCGTGCCCACATATTTCAGATCCCATGAGATCCCCGCGGATCAAGAAAGGATCTTTGCGAGGGGGGGGATCAGGACAGGGAGGGAGTGCCCTCGTGGGTGTGCAGGGTGGATTCGACTCCAATATGGTAGAGCTCATGCTCGGACTCTGCAAAAGTCTGATAGGTTGCGCGTGGTGTTCAAACGTGCATCTTACGATTGGACAGGGGGGACCGTTCTCATCTTGAGGTGTCTTCGTTGATGTTGATGAATGCCGACTCTCTTCTTGACATGTTGAGCTTTTGTTGATCAGTGGCGGCTTGGCTCAGGTCACCAATGCTCCATGGATGTCTGCTCCAGCTGGAGCACTTTGCATGCTCTTTGCGGTCTCTTGCACAGCAGAAGCGTTTTTGAATTGTCTTTCCCCTCAAATAGTCGCAGATTTTCTCTGCTCACACTTACTCCTTGCTGGGACTTTGCTGCCAAATGCTCCATGCTAACAGCTATACTGAGGTGAGCGTGCCTGCCAGTTTGCTTTCTGATCTGTGGCAGCTATGGTCCAAAACCGTGTCTCCTAAAACAGCTTGGATGCCAAACACGGCTTGCTTCACTTTTGTGATATAGAATCCGAGACAACTATCTTGGATGCTCATCATCCTGCAGACTTGGTTGTGTTGCGCAATGTACACCATTATCATCAGAGACATGCTGAGATCGCTGCTCCTTGCCATCGGCATGGCTGAGGTCTCTGCCGCCTCGCAAGCAGAAGGAATCTGGCGATTCATGCTTGACAGGCATGGACCAGCAAGGAGTCTGTTTGTGCCATGATGGTCTTGTTGCTACTTCCTCTCTGCTTGTTGAGATCCTTATCATCACTCGCATACACAAGGTATCATTCGTTTTTTTACAATCAAACGTGCACCTCACTTCCTCCGAGCTTCTTCGGAATGTTAGGTTGTCTTTACACCACGGGATTTGCCATCTATAGACACGTGAAGGTGACAATGACGCGTGTCAAAGCTTCGACATGAACATTTTGATTTCCTAGGGAGATTATGCTAAGGGCGGGAGGTTCTTTCAACTGCTTGCCTTGGAGCGAGTGAGTAAAATCTCTTTACGGTTACAGATTGCTTGGCTAAAATGAGCACAGAGACCGAAGTTCGGAGACGAGGTCCTGAGTCAATCAATGCTTGAGAGGCAAGTTGATACGAAGACAGATCAACATCAGTAAACTGCTTGTGCTGATCTCCTACTTCCACGGATGCTATCAGGTATCTCATGCTCGCGATCGATTCTCAGCTCTTCTATCCGCTAGGTCCATCTTAGATTTCTTCAGGTTCACTTCGATGCGCCAAAGTTCTTCCATTCTCTGGTGTGGAATAAATTGCCAATGCTCTTGTGGTGGTGACCGCTTGTCAAGTCGCCATCGACCTTGAGACGTTTCAACGTCCTCACCTACAGCAGGTGCTTCCTCGTCACCCTTCTCGCTGATCCGCCAGATGTTACCTCACCTAACTCATCTCCTTGTTTTTCGTCCCCGTGATGCAGTTTTACGATTGCGGGATTGGTCGGGGCAGGGCTCATGTAAGGCTTCTTAGAGTGACCATCCTTCTTCTATCTGCACGACTTCTCCTTGGTCACCTCACCCTCCTGCACTTCTGCAACACCGTCTCCTTCAAGTTGTGCTTTTACTCTCATTCTAATCTTCACGAGCCCTCTGATCCGATTCTACTTCTTCTCCTTTCCTGACAAGACCACAAAGGATCGCAGGATTTCTCACCTTCGGGGAACATAGCGAATCTCTTCTTCTCAACAACTATCACTCCAACGGTAGTTCATCCAAGTTGTTTCCTTGCTGACAACGCCCTTCCAGACCAGCTTGCAACATGGGCAAGACTTGCTACTCTTGTGTCCATTCTTTGCAGGCAAGAATTTGCCACTGTTTCCATCTTTCATCCTCCTTCAGCTACCCGCTCTTCTTCGGGGGGTTCGCTTCGGGCATCATCGAGCTGACGGCTGACATTCTGCGCTCGTCAGACCGTCAGACAGTGAAGGTAGAAGGAGTACATTTCTACTCTTGTCTCCCTCCTCTCCCCAGGCTCCTCCGTGCTCCATGCTCCCCTCCCTCCGACGGGTCGCTTCTGCGCTGGCTCTCCTTGACTGACAACAGGACGTTCTGGCGTTTGTGATGGTGGCAGTGAACGTGTCTCTCGCTTTCGTGGGCTTCTTGTAGAATCGTCGCAACGTGTGAGAATATGCTGCAGGTCTTGGAGAGACTTGGCATCATCGCCAGCCTGAGGTGCGGGGCTAGAGGCACAGATCAAGCTTCCTGACTGTGTCTCAGCGGATCCATCTTGGGCGCCTGCATCATCTTTGTGTTCCCTCCCCTTATCCACATGGGATGTCTGGATAAGAAGAGAAAAGAAGGGGCGAAGCTCTCTTTAAAGGAGGAGAGGATGTACGTCACAAGCTACATCACGCTTATCTTAGGCTTGTTGTTTGGACTGTTTGGTGTAGTAGTGTCGCTTGCTTCCAGATGAAATGAAGACTCAGCTTTCATCTCCATCACTTCAATCTCAAACTTCCTACACTCATCTCTTCGTCGCTTCGAAACTGAGAGTGTGAGGGCGGACACAAATCCAAAACTGATCCTTTATTGTCAACGACAAGCCGTCAGTCTCGCAGTCAACCCTCCTGCTGTTGTCTGGGTTAGACGTACTGCTGGGAGGACTGGTTGAGAGGAACAGACTCGCTCTCAGGAGCATCAACGTTGGCAAGGAGGTAGAAGCCGAAGCCGATCTTGGCGATGAGGTCGGCAATGGTCAAGATACCAACCTCCTGGGAAAGGCCAAGAGCACCAGTACCCTCAGAGCCAACGATCCAGACGATGGGGTAGACGATCCAGACAAGGATGGTCAACCAGGTCAAGCCCTTGAGAGCATCACCGCCGTATCCCTCAGCGTTGTTGAGGCGCTGGAGGAGGAGCATGAAGACGATGATGAGGAAGATGAGTCCAGCAACCCACCACATGTACTTGTAGGGGGCGACGGTGAGGGCTCCAATGAGGCCGCAGATGACGTAGAGGACCATGTTGCCAACAAGGGAGATGATGGTTGGGGTGTCAGACTTGGACAGGAGGGCCAAGTCAGTGAGGATGAGCTGCAAGAAGGTGTCATAACACGTCGCGGCTCGGGTCACAATAATCAACTTACAGGTCCAGTCACAACCCAGTCAAGGTAGCGAGCCCAGAAGATGACACGAGGAGTAGTGTCGGTGGTCTTGTACTCCACACCGAGGCCAGCCCACTCAGCATAGTAGGAGCATGCAGAGACGGCAGCGATGAAGAAGGTGAGCACGTGCATCACGGTGTTGACCTTCCTGGAGATACCCATGTAGAAGAACACAATGGCTCCGATGAACATGCCCAAGAAGCCGATGAGCAAGAAGTGACGAACGGAGTTGGGGTAGTCATCAGGGAAAGTAACAGTTGGCTCTTCAGCCGCAGCTGCCTCCTGTTTCGAGAAAGGAATACATCAACACGTGATAACACCTTGAATCATACATGTTTCCTCTATAACCATCAACAGGTTCAATCAATCATAAGAACATTTCTTTAAACCAACATGAAAGCATGTTCACATTGCAACCGATACCTCAGACATAGATTGAGCTTCAATCAGAAAGCATGAACCCTACACATGCGACAAGAAGCAGGGCAAGCACAAAGATAAATGAAAAGGAAAGAGAATCAAACACATTCCAAGAGGAATTTGTCTTCACATCATCGGCCTGAGCTGCCATTTGCCGACTTTCATCTCACCTGAAGCAAGTGGCGCATGGCGGCTTTTCAGGAGGGTGACGCTTCGGAGAATATTATAAAACTGCCTGTAACGTCCTTCTGATATCCCGAAACGGTTTATAACCGTCCGGATCTTCGGGGCTTCCGATTTCAGGTCAAAAACCGTGTCCGCCTATGTGAAGTGATACAATGTTTCCGTTACATGAATGGCAACATCTGTAACCGTCAGCTTCACACGAAGAGGCGCGGGATGGCATCGCAGGTAGGGTGTCCGCGTATGTGCGAGGGCGCTACTGACCTGCCATGCAGATGACCACCATGCTGGTGGGCGAGGGAGCCAAGCTTGATGTTCACGGATGCAAGACAGTCGATATGGCCTCTTCCTTCGGAAAGGCTCTTCTGGAGTTCGTCTTCATCGTCTTTGCTTGCATCACGTTGCTGATGGGTATCAATGCTGCTAAGAGCAAGGCTTCTGGAAGAGTTTTGTTCCCCGCCACATTCGTTACCGGAATTGCTTCCATCGCATACTTCTCCATGGCTTCCGGAGGTGGCTGGGTCATTGCCCCTGATTGCAGACAGCTTTTCGTTGCAAGGTATTTGGATTGGTTGATCACCACCCCTCTCCTCCTCCTTGATCTTGGTCTTGTTGCTGGAGTGAGCCGCTGGGATATCATGGCCTTGTGCTTGTCTGACGGTATGCAGCTTCTCTTCTGTCACTCAGCACTTATCCTGTTTTCTAGTCCTCATGATCGCCACTGGCGCCTTTGGCTCCCTGACTGTTGGCAACGTGAAGTGGGTTTGGTGGTTCTTTGGAATGTGCTGGTTCCTCCACATCATTTTTGCCCTCGGAAAGTCCTGGGCTGAGGCTGCCAAGGCCAAGGGAGGAGACTCTGCGTCAGTGTACAGCAAGATCGCGGGCATTACTGTCATCACATGGTTCTGCTACCCTGTTGTGTGGGTCTTCGCTGAAGGCTTCGGAAACTTCTCTGTCACCTTTGAGGTATGAGCATTCTTGCTGGAGTGGAATCCACATCTTGCACACTCCGATCTTACCTCATGATGCAGGTGCTCATCTACGGTGTGCTCGACGTCATCTCCAAGGTGAGAAGAGTCCTGAGTGCCTCGTCGTTCCGTTGACCCTCTTCCGTTTCTCTTTGCAGGCTGTCTTTGGCCTTATCCTCATGTCTGGTGCAAGCACAGGATATGAATCCATTTAAGTACAGTAGGAGTTAACACGCTCAATTCCATATCTGGGTTTTCCCACGCGAATTTGTGCAATAAAATTGCAGACTAGACCTTGAGATCTTTTTTGGTACGAGTTATTGATGTCGCTGTGGTGGGAAACTTGCACCATCCACATCACGTTCTGTTGCGTTTGTGATGGCACGCTGCACTGTTGTGGTGATAGAATTCAACGAGAGAGGATTTGTCGAGTCGTAACGCACGAAGAACTGTGCTGAACCAATCTATCTCCGCCACGTACCTCGTGACAACGAAAAAATTCCTTATTCAATCAAAGAGCTAGATACGACAAGGACATGGGGTCTCAGATCTTAAAAATACTCAAACGCATAACTGGCACATGGCGGAATTGAGGGATTTGATATTGGCCAGGGACTGTGAACAAGATATGGGGAGCTAGAAAGCACGATGTGATTGGCAGGAAATGCTCTTTCCAGCACGACGTGTTATCTCCATTCCAGTGGACTGACTCATAAATAAACGAAAACCGTAGCTCCGTTCTTGACCACAATGCACTGGCCAAGGATTCGAGGAACTCGAGCAACTCGAGCGAAGGCAGGAAGCGACAAGATTTTCCTGGTCACACATGTTGTTCTCTTCACTCAGACAGTTATCCATCATTCAATTAACATTATCTGCTCTAAAATTTGATTCGGATTCTTCATGATGGACACGTTCTTGTTGATTCATTTGGGTTTGCATTTTCTACACAGAAGTGCAATGTGTGCCATGGTCGATTTCATGCGATGACAAAAGGTCGAATGAGGTAGTTTTCAGGTACAAATCCGCATCTTGTGAGTCGTTTTGGAAGATTCGAACTCATTATTGAACCTAACAAGGATGATGTGTCACCTTTTCATCCATTTCCGAGGTATTTCTTGAAATATCAAGTTCCGTGAAAGCGTTACTGGGAGCTTATTCCAATGATTTGTCTTATGACTCAGCAGTTATGCGTTTTATGTGAACTCATTCATGTTAGCCAGTTTTGCCTTCACAACACCCATCCCGCATATTGCTCCTTCTGACCTTCCACTTACGTGCGGTCATCTGCCACTTTTTGAAAGCATAGTTCTGCATCGATATCGCTGGGGCGGGCTCTTGAAATGAAGCTGGCAGTCACAGACGGGTGTCCTTGGAGGGGTACTTTCCATAGTGCACTTTGGTCAAAGGGGTGGGTAGAGAGCATGGGGACTTTCGAGTTATGACAGGGGTAGTTGTGGGAAATTTGGCTGGTCTAATCAGGGGGTGGGGTGAATTATGTGGGCATAGCATATTAGGGGTACTATCATGCCAGGAAGGGTGGGGTCATCAGCTGAGGCGAGCCGGCCCAACGGTTCGAAAAAATGATCGAACAAGACCAAGACAAGACAAAAAAGAAAAGGCAAAATATATAGGGTACCCCCGATGTCACTACAAAATACCATGAATAATGGGTGGTGGGGTAGAGTGGTCTAAGCTGCGTTCACTCTCAAAATCTCTCCAAGGCCATGGCAGATGCAGCGACTGTCCGCAAAGGAAGGTCGAGGAGGATGGAGCTTGAAGATATGGCAGAGGAGGACGAGGAGAACAGAGCAACTGAGAGGTGAAAGATTCCCGTCCAATCCTACAAGAGATCAAAGCTTGGAAGTACGTGGGCCCACACCTCTTTCCCAATGCCCTGTTTGACCTCGATAGCAAGTTGATTGCAATGAGCGCGGCCAAGTTGTTAGCAGTGATGGGTGGGCTGGTGCAAGGGAAACAGAATCCAGACACAGAAAAAGAGCTCATCCATGAGCTACTTGGTTGCTGGGCAGAGAGTGACGACCGCAATCACCTCCTTGAGCAGCAGCTGCTTCTGTCGCAGTTTCTCGCCTTCACGTTCGAAGGGCGATACGGGTGATGAGAGATCTGGTGTCCTCCTTCCATGTGATATGATGATGCAGGTGGACTGACGAACCAGAGGAAAACCATAAGCAAAAACTAGATGATCGGGAAAGAAAAATCCTCAATGATGCTCATGAGCAGGTATCGATCGCCTGTGATGGAGGCTTCTAGCATATTCCTTCTATCTGACTATTGACTTGAAGATACACATCAAGCTCTGTAATGAGACTGTGAACGACTTGCTGATCCAGTCGTACACGGATGCGGTGACTTCTCACGATCTCGGTTCATTTTACATGGTTTGATAACTGTTTGTAGATTGGCATGTGTGCAAAACCGATCGTTCGACAGAAGATAGTCAGTCATGTCTATGGATGGTTGGAACAGAGCTTCAGCAACGCTTCAAGCACACCACCCAACGTTGTTTCGCCGTCATTGTCTGACATGGTCTAATCATTCCAACAGGAGCCCACCATTCAGTCCTTTCATCGGTTTGTTATTTGCAGTCTGAGTGACGTTTGGAGCGCCACAAGGCAAGAGCCATTCAAATCTTCATGGCATCCGCCTGTACCGTCTTATGTTGATCTCTGCAGGAAGATTTCAGCCAGCGGCCTGGAGAAGCTATCGTGCAACCTGAGCGTAGAGCTCATCCAAGGCCTGATATTCACGTCTCCTCTCCTGCCTGCTTGTTTCCTGTGCTGATGGCCCTGCAGCTTGCTCGAGTACTACGATGGAATGGAACAAGACACGACCTCCCACGAGGCTGCACAAGATTCGAAAGACGTTTGGAAGTCGAAGGAGGTCCAGTCTGAGTCTGGGAGCGTGCTGCTCTGATCTGTCTGCAGGGCATTCTGCTGGGATTGCCAGTCCTGATCAAGACGCTTGATCGGTTCCAAAAGGGTCCCGTGACACCAGATGCTGAGGGTGCAGGAAGGGGAGAGACCGCATCCGCAAGCAGCGGCCATGGGTTCCTTTCGATGCAAGGGACGAGGCTGAAGCACATTCTCTACCGCGCTCTTGCTCATCCTCAACTGAGGTTTTTCCTTGCATGCACTGGTGAGCCTGGTTTGTTGACGTTGGTTGTGCAGTGTGAGGGAGTGCGCAACAAAAACGTTCTCGGCTTTCCTTTCCCGGAGTGCCGTACACGAGACTGAGGCATGCCTAGAGGAAGTCATGGGGAGGCTCTCGATCTTCAGCGCTCGGAGTGATCGGGTGCAGTCGGAGTACACTCTCACTCGCAGCTACAGCCAGATATCGAGTGGGATCCGCGTGCTCGACGTTGCGACTGTGAAGCCCGACGAGCTTGAGTTCGTCGAGGCCTTCGAAGCCCAGGGCCTCCTGTCACTTGTTGCAGATTTACTCGAGAGGCTTTCATCCTCCTACCTGCTGTCACAGCTGGAGACTTTGCTGGAGACTTTCAGTCTCTACCTCGCCCACCCTGCCAGCACCGTCCGGCAGGCTTGCAGCTCGCTGTTCTTCCAACTCGCGGCGAAGTCAGACTCTGGTCCCACTCGCTTCCATCCCTTCTTGTTGTCCGACTGATCTCGATCTCGCAGGCTCCATCTCACTCCAGCGCCTCGTCCTCCAGGGGCTGTCCGAGGCGTGGAAGTCGCAGAATGATCTGGTGTCCTCCAGCTACGATGCTGAGTATTCTCCCCCCGGTGGCTCGAGATTGGAGTACAACTTCATGGACTCCTTCTCCCCCACCAGCTCGTTCGAGGCAACCTCCGTTCCTCATGGCAGTTCGTCCGAGGATACGCCGGCACGGGTGAACATAGGGAGTGTGAGCTCGACGTGGGAGTGGCGCGAAGGAAGGCTTCTCGCATACGAGTTGATCTTGGGTCACTTTGTGAATGATCACACGATGAAGCTGTTGCGGTCAATCCCTTCGATGCTCTTCTCTCCCAGCCCCAAGAAGGTGACGCCAGATGAGCGACAGTACAATTCCAATCAGTTTCGAGACTTCTCGCTCGACTCTCAGTCCAAACATCACCATCTTCGTTCCAGCTTGTTCTCTGACTCGTCCTCGTACCCTCCCAGACCCAAGAACTTTGAAGAGAGCGTTGACGCTGAGAAGCAGCTGAACCCGGAGGTTGCCAGGACTATGGCCACGATACCCTCAAAGGATTCTCCCCGCCGCAGGTCCTCGTCGTCTCCAGTGAGCGAAGGAGATCAAGGAGCCCCGGCGAAGGGCAACAGGATGTCGCCAGAGGCCTCGCTGATCGAGATCTTTCGCTGCATGGACGGTCATGGTAGTGAGAACGGAGCTTCCTTGGAGTTCTCCGAGACCTTCAGCAACAACTACGAACCTCTGGCGAATGTGCTCACGAGAATCTTTGAAGACGTGCTCGACTGTGTCGCTGATGAGCGATGGGAGCTGCGGAGGATGGGCGTCCAGATCCTCCCGCTCCTCTGCGTGATGCTCATGTGGTTTGACCTGCATCGCCTCGAAGCGATCCTGCTGTACTGCCTGATGAAGAGGAAAGTGAGCACAAACATCAACTCGCAGTCGCTGCGAAAGTTCATCGGGACACTGGCAGTCCGGGAGATCGTGAAGAAGGTGAAGAAGTGAAGCAGCTTTCTGCGAGTGACAGTCTTGCAGGTCGATCAGTACAAGGATTTTGTCACATCACAATCCAACTGTCTTGTTCGCGATGACGCACAAGCTTGCATCGAAAGCATCTCAGTGTGGATTGAAAATCTCTTGCCTGGTAACTCCTAGACTTACGTTCACCCCTCCCCTCTCTCCCCAAAGCGCTCTAGCCATCACCACCATCTCCTGCTCCTGCTCCTGCTCCTGCTCCCCCTCCTTCCCCGCTCCGCCCTGCTGCTGTTGCTGCTGCTGCTGCTGCTGCTGCTCCTCCTCCTCCTCCTCCTCCTCCTCCTCCTCCTCCGCCCTTCTTGACGATGCCGGCAGAGTTGATGCCTTCGATCGAGTCTCTGCTGGAGGAAGGGATGCCGCTCAAGGCAGGGGCTGTGAGCATGGAGGTGATGATGGTAGTGCATACTCGCTTCCCCGCCGTCGTGGCGTCTCGGCAGCAGCAGAACGTTCGCGCCATGATCTCGTGGTTCTCGTCCATCTCGCAGCTCGGCCCGGGAGAAGATCCTGCCGTTAGCCCCATCAGGTGAGCGGATGCCGGCAGAACTGCAGCGAGTGAGCACGTGGGGAGCGGAAAAGAGTGAAGGTCGGAGGGAGGGAGAGGGCCCAGGAGAGATGAGGACGAAGTTTGGCATGCGGAGCAGGGAGTGGGTGAAGGCTGAGACAGCCATGGTACAAGTTGAAGGCGAGGTAGAAGCAGCAAGGCAGGAGATGGACTAGAAACCTTGTGAGGCTGAGGGACAGGGGAGGATCAAGGAGGTGCGAGGAGGGTTGGCTGATGGTGAAGTCGCAGAGTGATTCAGCGAGGAGCAGAAGCTGTTGTTCTTGAACCTCTCAAGATCTCATCGCCGCTGTTCGCTACCACCAGGTCTCGACCCGCCTGCTTTCCTGACCTCAGGCATGACGATGCCGTGCAGGACGGGGAAGAGAGCAGCAGAGAAAGTTGAGAAGGCGCTCCTGATCTCCATCAGCTCGATGCTGCCGGACTTCATAGCGACATGCAGCATCGATCAGATGCTCTGCTTCTCCTCCACCCTCAGCCAGTTCCTCAAGAACTACCCGGAGGAGCTCAACGTGGAGCTCAACGTGGTCGAGGCCATGCATCGCATCATTCACCTCCCACTTTCTTGCTGGAGCGACTATATATCGAAAGATTCTCAGGACAGCAAGCCCAACAACCAGCGTTACCTCGTCTCTCCGAGCAAGGAGGACCACAAGGTAGTGCTCTTTCCATCCTTCTGTCCTCCTCCTCCTCCTCCTCCTCCTCCTTCTCACCTCCTGTCATTCTCTTTTCCCGTCTGTTCCTTCACTGCTTTTTCAGTCCTTTTCTCCCTCCGCTCTCCTTCTCTCATGCGTCTTCTCACCCCTCTCCTCTTATCCCATCCTCCTCGTCCTTTCCCTTCCTCACAGCTACCTGACTGCTGCTCAGCACGCAAGCCACGTGCAACCTGTACATACAACTCCTCCTTCTCTCGACACCTCGAGGGAAATGCAGGGCAATCACATGGAGGCTGCCCGGACATACGCCTCCTGCTGCACCCCCGGCAAGTCGCAGAGGCGGTACACCTACCTTCGTCCTCAGTACCTCGACGTGCAGCTAGCGGAGGAGCCAGCCTCCCTCCAGTGCTCCATCCATGAGTGCGAGCACAGCTTCGATGCCGCACTGGATCAGTTCATGGAGAGCATCCTCAAGATCCTTGAGATGCACGACATGGAGATCGTTCTCTTCCGCGCCCTCCTCACCAACTTGTACTCTATATGCTGTGTCGTCGGTGACGGACGGTACCTGGGAAGGATCTGGCAGTCCCTGGCTGTCAGGCTGCGCAGTGGTAGCCGCCATGGATCGTCGGGCTCGGAGCACGCGAGCTCGAAGCAGGCAGCGGCGGCGACGCCGTCGTCATCATCGTCAGCAGCAGCAGCAGCGACAACACCTACAGGGCTCAGGGATGGGGACAGGGAGGGCGGGGGAGTGCTGGAGAAGAGGCGGTCCAAGTCAGGCAATTTGACCATCTACACTGGCTGTGATGGGAATGAGAACGAGGAGGCGGGAGAGGAGGAGGACACGGGCTCTGACTGGGATGACTCCGACGGGTGGTCCGACGAGGAGGACGTAGCGGCACTTGAGCTGGAGGCAGGAAGCTTCTTGTCGTCCCTCAAGGAGTTGAGCAGGCAGTGGGTCGGGGAGACGTCGATGCCGGAGAACCGGAGGAGCCTGAGGAGGATGCTGAGAATGGAAGTGGAAGCGTCCCCTTCATCGTGGGAGGACATGCTGCTCTGCATGCCAGAGACAGTAAGTTCGATGGTGAGGAAGTTGACGAGTTGAGAGGTGTTGTTGAGACTTCACTCTTGGTATCCCATGACCTCTTGCATGAATGACAGCCGTTGATACGCCAACTTGTTGTCTTGTAGCAGCGAGTCCATCTTTCTCGCAATGTCCTCGTAAAGTTCTGCCAAACTACCTTCAGTCTTGACCCCTCCTCTCCTTTCTCAGCTCACCTTCCGTCTCCTGCTTGTCTTTCTCTCGCACCTCAGCAGGATCGACATTGAAATCCTTGCAGTCGTTCTCGTATGCATCGCACTCGTCCACCAAGGAAGAGAGTTCGGCTTCAGAGAGCTTCCTGTCCAGCCTCTCCATCAGCTCCTCGAACATCATGTGGCTCATCCTTGGCCACTTGTCCACCTCCTCCAGGAACTCTCGAGCCAGTCCGACGCGTCTGCTCGCCCACCTCCTGGGCAACCAGAGCTGAATCCCCAGCAAGAGCTGACCGATCAGGCTGTCGTTCATCCTCCCGCCCTTCTTTCTCCTTGCCTCCTCAACTTTCGTCCTCAGCTTCAGGAGCCGATGGTACAAGACGGCGATGAACAAGGGAACGAGGAAGAAGAAGAAGCAGAGGATGAGAGGGAGGTAAAGGGAGTACAAACTAGTCGGGGAGATGTTTACAAGCTCCTTCGCCGTGCGATGTCCGTGGAGGAGGCTCAACAAGGAGTTGATGGAGGCACGGAGGTTCGAGAAGAGGGGAGAAGAGCGGCTGAAGAGCATCATGCCATCCACAGCTATGGTGACAACGAACAGCACCATCACGAAAAAGAAGGCCACCATCACTCTGAGCTCGGCTGACAAGGTTGCTATCACCATCTCCATGCTGGGGTTGAAGCGGAGGAGGTCGAGGAGAATCATCATTGCGACAATGAAGTTGCAGGCATGGAGGGCGAAGTAAGCCTTGAAGGTAGAGGAGATGTCATACAACGTGAACATCGACCCGCCTTTCCAGGAGATGCCTTGCTGATCGACCTGCAGACTGTTGGCCATCGACTCACCCTTCACGATGATTCGAATCCACAGCCCGATGCAGGTGACAAGCAGCAGGCCCTGACTGATAGCCAACAAGGTGATGGGCCGCACGAGGAGGATAGCTTGAATCCGCTCCTTCCTCGTCCTGAGGAGGACGACCTGCCTGAGGGCGAACGCAAGGTTGCAGAGGAGGAGCAGGCATTCAAACGCGAGCCGGACGAAGTCAGTCGAAGTGCGATAGTAGTGCAACCTTCTGCTCTCGACCTCAGCTGAAGGCAGCATCTCTCCCGTCGTTCTCAGCTCGACTTGGAACTTCGTGTAGATGAAGAGAGAAACGTCGGGGGAGTAGGCCGAGAAGTCCAGCCTCCAGTAACGAGAGGACGCGTTGATCCATCCATCCTGCTGCAGAGTCTGCAGCTGCGCAACGGCGCTGTCCTTGTTGGAGGAGAACGTCTGCAGGTATCCGGAGTCGTACCAAGGAGCGTCGGTGTACTTGTACGTCTGCCCTGTGACGGCCCCAACAAAGGATGCTTTCTCCACAGCACCCTCCAGCCCATCGCTCCACGTCTCTCCATAGCAAGAGGATTCAAACGCAGGAAAGCGCATCTTCACAGCGCAGGTCCCGTTCCTGCTCCTCCTCTGGAGTACCCTGAATGTTCCCATCTTCTTGATGTGCTCGAGCAGGTAGTTGGCGTCGAGGCTCGAGAGTGGTTCCCCGTTGTAGTATGATTGGATGTAGAACTTGTTCACAAACACATCTATCTGCCACTTCCACAAGTCTTGAGGGAAGATCGTCAAGTCAGCGATCATCACGGTGTCTCAGCAAGAACTCACCTTGCACGCTCTGAATGTCGTGAAATGTGAGCAGAGTCGTCGCAATGCTCGAAGTGAACGTCTGGTCCGCAAAGTAGCTGAGGACGGCAGCTCGCGTGCTGGCTGAGTTCCAAGGCGAAAGTTGCAGGGTGACAACAACTCCGTAGATCACCAGGAGCACAAGATACAACAAGAAAGACGGAGCTCTCGCCCCTCGCTCAATCTCTTCTGCTAAGATCTCTTGGATCTTTGACACGTTGACCTGATATTCTTTCTTCTTGTCAATCAGAGTGGTTGAGAACTCCGGCAGACAATTTTTCATACAATTCAACAGATACAGTTTGACGTCTGGGGTCATGAAATCTGAGACCTTGAAGCGTTTTCCATCATTGCAACGTGACATCAGCTGCAGAACCCTCACAAAATTCTTGTAAGGAATGTTGAGTTGTTGAAACAAGAGCTTCGCTTCATTGAAGGTGATCTCCCCGTCTTGATCTGAGTCGATCTTTGCAAACTCTTGTTCAAACCTCGTTGACAACTCAGATAGCATCTCTCCTGCCCTCATCGTCCTCAGTTCTCCGTTAGCACGTCAACGCTTCCTCAGTTGACAAGCTTCTTGTCCTCGCATGCCGCAAATATCGCAACGATTCGTCATCTCTTGACCAACAGACTCAGCTTCGACATCTCATCGCACCATCAACAAGCTCTTTGCCAAATCTCGCAAGATTCAGTGACCTTGCAGTGATCAGTAAGTGTACACTGTGATCAGACCTGGAGCTATAGTCAGCAACATTACAACCGTAGCAGAATCTTATTTTTAAACACCAATGATCATCAGTTCAGAGAAACGAGGGAGAGTGAAAGTAATTCATCAGATGCTGCCTGGTCTCTCAGGCATGGTTTTGTTCAGCATTTCAAGCCAGATCTCTTCTCTCCCTATCATCTCCTCAGCATCAATTTCAACTTGGCCAGGCTCAGAGCCGCCCGGTGGCTTGCTCTTGCCTTGCCGATGGCAAGGGACCATGACAGAGGTCACTCGGTCAATCTCCTGTCCTGTCCTGTCCTGTCCTGTCCTGTCCTGTCCTGTCCTCTCCTCTCCTCTCCTCATCCTCCTTCTCAGTCTAGTTCGCTCCCCCCGCTTCCCGTCACTTCGTTTTCACATGATTTTTGTCTCCCCGAAAGCCGGACCGTACCGAACCCGGTTGATGACGTTACAAATAAAGTTCAGACGTTACGACAGGTTACATTCCGTTACACTGCCCCTTCGGCCTATGGCTTGAGGCAGGGAGCCAGGCACACATGGTCGAGGGAAGGAAAGAGAAGATGCGACCGGCTTCTGCCTCCTCCTCCCTCCTCTCCTTGACTCTCACCGTTGCTGTGCTGCTCGTGCTCTCTTGTGTTGCCTGGCTGACGCCCAAGCAAGCGGTTGTTCAACTTGTTGGTGGGGATGGAAGACCGGCTCGCGATCTCAAGTCATCCCTGAAAGCCATCACAGAAGAGCTGACACAGGACGAGAGAAGAAGACTGGGAGGTCTTGTTGGCGCTGCTTTCAGTGATGATGCTGCCCAAGTAGTTCCGCATCGAAGCAGCTTGGTGTCTTACAGCGGAAATGGGGCATGTGGGGAGGCTTGCTTAGAATCGCTTGCAAGCAGGTTGCCAGCGACCAGCTCAACCTCTTCCTCTGGTTCTGTGCCAGAAGGTGAAGGGAAGTATACAGTGGGGGAGGAGAGAAGAAAGAGAGAAGAGGCTCAGAGCGAGGATGGCAATCTGAAGCAAACTTTCATCCACGCGCAGAAGCGACGGCTACGACAGTCTATCAGTCAAGGATGGAAATATCTCAAGAAGGGCGAGGTGAGTCGAGCAAAACAAGAGTTATCAGCTGCCAAATCTTTTCATCGACGGATGATTCAAATCCTTAGAGGCAGCCCGCAGGTAGCGAACTACCTCAGCACACCTCATTCCATTCAGCAGCTGCAGAACGCGATCGATGATAGCGAAGCCAAGAGCGCCTCTGCCTCTCTTTCTTCTCAGGCTCTAGGCAACCACCTGCCGAAGTTCGTCGTGGCGCACAAGTCTACCCACCAAGGAACTCCAAGGAAACTGGAGGAGATCATGTTGAAGCACTATCCTTCTCGTCAACCTGACCATAGTGCTGGTCTCAACAAGATTTGGAACCATTTCTCAAAGGACCAGTCACATCTCTCAAAGGAATCGCTGGCTCAGGTCGATGACGTCACGCTCTCGCACAAGTCACATTCTTCCAACGAGGGCATAGCAAACTTGGCTGCCAACTTCGAATCCTTAGCCTCAAAGCAGATCTCCAAAGGAATCGAGGCGGCGAATGCTGGCTACATTTCTGACGCTGAGCACTCGTTGAAGAAGGCAGATTTCTACATCCAAGGTGCACTGAGTGCAAAGAAGGGCTCATCAGAAACAAAACTCCCGAAAGAGCTCTTGTCCAAGATGGAATCTTTGAGGAACATGCTACAGAAATATGTCCGAGATAGGAAAGCAAAGCAGAGAGAGCAGCTTGAAAAGAATCTCCAAGTTCTAAAAGCCCCCATTCAGTATGAATCGCTCAAGGAGTTTGCAGTTAAGACAGGGCCAACCACGGAAGAAAGATTGAAGAGCGACAAACAAAAATTCGCCCATGAGATCCGCGGAGGAGTAGATGCTGTCAAGGCCGGAGATCTTGAACAAGCTCAGTCGGACCTTGTTCAGGCTCGTTACTACGCAAAGAGGCAGGGACTTGTGGGAGACTCGTCAAAGTTGATCACTGACACTGAGAAACACAACGCCCAGGTGGCTCAAAGTGCCCTCAAGATTCTCTCGGACGACATCGCCAAGGCGGAGGTGAAGAAAGACGATTCGTCTCATAGCAAGTGGTCTCTCAAGAGCTTGATGGGCCCTCTATACTCCTCACGTACACGTGGGGACGGGAGTCGTGGCAATGATAAGAGGGACTCGTTCGATGGAAAGATGTACTCCTCAGGATCATGGTGGAAGCACAAAGTAAGACATGCAGGAGATCAGAGCTCGGGTGTGGAGGGTTCCTTTGCCAATCTGCCAGGCCTGCACACGAACAAGGATTTCTTCGAAAGAGTCAACGGGGAGCAGGAGGATCAACAGCTCGCAGATCACAAGGCCATTGCCAAGTACAAGAGCCAATGCAATACAGTAGATTGCTTGTTCAGCAAGGTTTGTGCATGCAAGTCCTCAGGGACACATCTCATGATACAGCCCATTGATGGTGACGGTGTTGACTGGAACATTGCAGGTTGCCACGGACGAAGAGAATGATGGGACTGGGTTCGGAGTAGATCGTTCAGTGGATGATGTGCTGGACAGCGATGGATTGAAGAATGATGACTTCTCTTCAAAGGGAACTCACATGCATACCGGGATGCACTTGAAGTAGGAGACCCTTTCCTCTCTTGTTTGTACTCTGACCAACCTGCCCAGCTATCGAGTATCTCACAGAGGGATGACACATGGAGGAAGCGGCATACCCAAGGTTGACCTGCATGGCGTCGGCGATCTTACAGCGACACCACGATCGGATCTTCAAGATGGGGGGGCTACTTCAGATGCGTCTGTTCACTCAGTGATGGACACGGGGAATGTAAGGAGCTTGCCCAGCCTGCTGCCGTCGACTGACATGAGCATGCAGCTTGTTCGAGGCCAAGAGGCCGCGGACTTGAGCCACAGCATGCAGCGGCGATGAAGGATTATCAGAAGCTGCTGAAGCACGAGGTGAAGAAAGAGGAGCAGCGCAGCTTGAGCATGCCCTTCCTGGCCATTGAGTCACCCAAGGGCACTCCCCTTCTGCCTACCCTTTCAGGTTTATGACGATCATGATGAGGAAACGGTTCTCAGTTCCTTACAGGCATTTCTGCCAATCCTGCCCATGTCAAGCTCTCAGCCCTCAAGCATCAGGGGCAGGCCCATGGTAAGGGGAAATCTCATGTAGCCCCCACTCGTTTCCCGCAGGCGGAAACAGACAAAAAGGTCAGGCAGAACGTTCTGTTGGCCCTTACTGACTTGCAGCAGGCGCAAGGGGCAGAGGCCTTGATGAACCAGCTCCTGAAGAACGCCAAGTTTCAAGGAGGGCCGTGGGACGAGCAGGAGAAGTCTGCAGTAGCTGAGGCTCCGATGAAGGCAGCGGGCAGGCCGCACGTCGTTCAGCATGTGGAGATGCCCGTTAGGCAGCAGGCAGTGAGAGTAGTGAAGCAAGCGCCTCCTGCTCCTGCATCAGCTCCCGTTGAGCGCCGATTTCCTGCGAGAAGGGAGACAGACCCTGTGGATGTAGCTGGAATGTTGATCAACGACATAGGACAAGATTTGGGGTTCTCATGATTAAAGCGAGAAGAGTGTATTCTTCGTGGGAATATTCATACAGATGTTACAGGTGAAGGAATGCTCTCCTCGCTCCTCTCCTGCTACAAACACGCTCACCAGGTACCGGTGTTGGCGGCAAAAGCTGAACAGCAAGCGTTAGTAACCTCAATCTTCACCACGGGACGCAGCAACTTACAGCGATCATAGTCGCGCACATCCGCGTCCGGGCCATGGCCGGCAGGAGTGCCGAGGTAACGAGGCCAGAGGCTTGCACCCATGAGGTTGGAGCTGTTACGAGCCAATAGATCAGTTACAATACAGAGCGCCTCGCCGACATTACTATCCTCTCAACATGAGTTGTTGTAAAGCAGAGGGTTTTCTCTGTCTTGAGGCTATAATGCCCTGTCCCTGTCTCCGCATGCCAGTTTATCTCTCAACCCTCCTTCCTGCCAGTCTACCCGCCACCTTGCCTGCCTGCCTGCCTTCCTACCTTCCTACCTTCCTACCTTACTGCCTTGCTGCCTTGCCGCCTTGCTGCCTTGCTTCCTGCCTTGCTCTTTACCAGCCATCCTGTCATGAGACAAGGAATGCACTTCATACACAAACTTTCTCCTCCTCGTCGTCATTCATCGTCACCGCGAACAACTCTGACCAATCTCTCCTTCATTTTCATCGCATCTTCGCCGCAATCGCCATACGCGCTGAAGGGTCACTCACAGCATGTCGGTCGAACGTTCTGGCCTCTTTCTTTACTCAAAGTTAAGTTAAAATCAGTACGAGGACAATCAGGAGAGTCGAGGACTCTTTACCGAGCGGCCCGGCCTCGGAGGGAACCAGTGACCCCGGGCCGGTCGCCCGGGGGCCGTGGGAGTCCCCGGGCCCGGCGGGGCCGCGCCGCGGCCGCGGCCGCCGGACTCCGTCGGACTCCCCGGACCGGGCCGCCGGCACGCCGATCATCGGACTCGGAAGTCACGAGTCATCGGCCCACCGTGGTAGTACCGTAGTACCCGGCCGGCCGGGCCGCCCGGCCAGGCCGCGGGCCGGGCCGAGCTGCCTGCCAGTCCGATCACGCCGGAGAGTACGGTCACTCGGAGACTTCGGGAGGCCCACGGTACGGTACCGTACCTCACTGTCGGAGTCCGAAGTTGCCGTGCACACTGGCAGCGGAGGAGGTGACGTGCGTGACGGCCGCCGTGACGCGTCCGCGATGCCAGTGGCACTACTGCAGTGAAGGACAGGGAGGCCTACTCGGAGCTGACAAAGTCGGATCCTGGACTGGATCCGACTTTGTCAGCTCCGAGTAGGCGATCCGCCAGTCATCCACAGGAAGCCGCGGCAACGCGTCATCATGGCATCCGGACCCGGCAGACTGAGATGGTCCCGGCCCGGGAGTCCGGCCGGGCAGTGCGGCAGGTTACCGCCTCACTGTGAGCAGCCGCTGAGCGGCTCGCTGACTCGTACGCCGGGCCGGGCACCGTCGGCGGTCCGACGGAGTCACCGCAGTGCGTGAAGCGACCCAGGCTGAGAAAGAAACAGGAGGGTCACGGTACTGAATGAAATGGAAGGCACAGCCTGCTTGTATCGGACTTGAAGTAACTTAAAGGGTTTATTAAAATACAAGACGGAATCGGAGATTCAACGCAACTCCGATCACGGTTCTCGACTGAGAGCATCCGCAGCTATGGTCTACATATTTATGTCGAACTACATCGTTGGAATCATCTTCTGACTTGATCTCAACCCGACATTGCAAGGTGAACCTATGTTCGCAAGTCGCAGCACGTTGAACCCACCCGACGGACCTTAACAGACAAAAAAAACTGATTGCAAGATTATCACTGTTGCTGCTACTTCTACTCCCCTGCCTCCAACCTTAACACTCTCTTGAGCTCCCAGCGCTGCAGTACAGGATCCTCGTCTGTCGCTCCAACAAACCACTCGATCCACTCGGCCTGCCCCTCCCCCATCCCTACCCACACGTCCTCCTTCGCCGTGCGCATGCAACCTTCCCCATGACCTGTCGGTGGCTCCCCGCGGCCCTCGCGGCTGCTCTGAAAGAAGGCGACGAGGTTGTCGTCCCACACACCATGTGTGCCAAGCTCGGAGGCCCTCCTCGCCATCTTCTTTACGCCTTGCGTCCTGGTGAAAGGCCATCGCTTGATGCCGAGCCTCCTGCAGGCGGCCTTGAAACTGGTGAGGCAGACTCCGAGCTGAGCTGCGGCCTTATCCTGACGGAGGTGGTAGAGCTGCTGCACGGCATCGACGGTCAGGGTCACCTCTTGGTGACGGGTCTGCGCGCGGGGGAAGATAGAGACTTGACTTTTGCCGGACATGGTGGAGGAGAACTTGAAGAGAGGGAGGAGGAAGTGGGGAGGAGGGAGGCGAAGGGAGGCAGGGAGGCGATGGGCAGGACCTGAGTGAAGCTATGAGGAGATGGGCGTGGGTAGTGCAGAGCTCAGGGAGCCAGCGATGGGGACCGCGGGGGCAGGAGGAAACTTATATTTGCGGCATCTGCCATGGCCTTGACGCTGGAGGAGCATGACTTGTCATAAGGTGTTATGAAGCGATGTAAAACTCGATCGTTTGGAGTGACATGATGGTACACGGATTCCACTTCACAACGTCAGATCAGTCAGCAATTATGGCACGGGCAGTGGCACGGTGACGGTGGCAGGCTCATTCAAAGTTAGAGTCTTTACTCAAAGTTAAGTTTAAAATCAGTACGAGGACAATCAGGAGTAGTCACTGTGACGCCGGTGACTGCCGCCACTGCCCGGCCGGGCGTCCCGAGTCCGATCACTGAGTTGGCGGCCCGGCTGAGCCTCGGAGGCGGCCGCCCAGTGTGACAGTGTGTCGGATGCCGTAATTGCGGAAAGTTCCGGCCTCCGACGGAGACTCGAGTCCCGGCCGCCCGGCCGAGGCCCGGCCGGACCTCTTGGCATAGCGGCCCGGCTGACTGAGCGGCCCTGCCGCAGTGCGTGACAGCCCGGCTGCCTCGGAGCCTGGCCCGGCCGCCGGGGCTGAGCCTAGGCCGTTCACTTTTAGCCCTTTCGTTAATTTCCACTCTTCTTTTCGAGAAAGTTTTTTTGGGGTGGCGTGTGAATTCAAACAAGTTTTCAACGGCAGCAAGAGATACCTCCAAAGAGTACCAGTGCAGTTTAGTTATCATTTCTGCTAGGCCTTTACATGTATTTTAACTTTCATTTCAGAGGGTTGAAATGTTTTCAACCTCGTACACGCCCGACTCATGTCTCCCCTACACGCCGGCACGTAGCACCAAAGCTGCTCCTCCAACGATGCCGCTGTAAGACCATCCGCTGCTGTAGCCAGCATCAGATCTCAGCATGCAAGGCTTTGTTAGGTTTGAAGCTCTCTAGTCAGCACAGTTTGAGACCTGAGACCGCTAGGTTCGTGGTGATGCGTTCGGTGACAACAGAGTGTGCAGCAATGGCGTTGTGAGATCCATGGTTCAAAAGGTTATTATGAAGAACAAGATGATAAAAACATGAGGTTTGAATCCAGTGTAGGAGATCGCTTGTCATTTTGACTTTACACCAACCTTATGGCAGCGCAGAATAATCATAAGATACTTCCCTGCGATGAATGATTTTTGAATTGCATATTTTCCACATGCGATGCTTGGAAGATTTGTTTGATGGAGATTGCATCATGTTGCAGATCCACGTAATTAGTCAAGCCCACTTGTTATATTAGACATCAAGCATTGCATAGATTGTTTCACAAGATTTCTGCATGCATTTCGCCTACTGCAGTGAGGATGTTTGATTGCATGTAAACACTGATGCCGCCAGAGGCAATCAAGACATCTTAAGCCTTGAACACCGTCGAGAGTCTCCACTTCTGAGATTTGCAGAGTGTGTTGATTTCTTGATGCGTGGGATTAGTTTTGAGCGTTCATCTAGCTGTGATGTCGGACATTTGAACCGTCAACACAGTATGCACACATGTATTATTTGTTCTATTGTGAAATAAAGTGATATCAGTCTTGCATTCGAGGCCATGCTAAAGAGCATTTCTGTATCTTCTTTCATTTCGCATAAATGCAGAATGCATGCAAGGGTTGAATGATGATGAAAACATCGCTTCCCCTGTAGACCATTCCGACTCACTGTAAGCTTGGGATCGACATCACAAGTGGTAGTGATCTGATTGCAGAAATCTTTATACATTCATGAGGTATCATTCTTTGCAACAATCTAATTACAATGACAACCGCAAGTAGCATCAAATACATGCGCAATGGTCAGCACAATAAGCCTCACATTGGTTTCTTCGTTGTGCCTGCATAGCAGAGATACATCAAAAAGTTGCAAATAAACCTAATTATGCACAATGTATGCTTGTAGCTCTAGTAAGCCACATGGATTGCTATAGGATTCTCATCCTGTGGTTGAAACAGACTTTCCATGTCGCCACAGCTACGTGGAGCATGTTGATCCTTGAGCATTTTGAATGCATGCTCAAGCAGAAATAATGTGAAGATGTTGCTTTTGAGGATCTGAACTGCAAATACTTGAATATTTCTAGCATATTTGCAAGATTGGAGTGCATGAAAGCACCTCATTTGCAAACTGATGGTGCAGCTTTGTAAACCATACTTCCTCTCTGAATCCTCGTACATACGGCTCTCATGCTTGAAACAACGAATAAGAGAGCAGAAAAGGTGTATTCATCTTTTGCAATGTATTCTAAAGACATCTTCATTCCTAGACAGCTTTCTCTGTCATGCAGTCATGTAAGAGAAGCGGAATTCAAAACTTTCTTTCAAAGTCAGAGACTAAGAAAAGGTCTTAGTCTATCTACATGGATACATTAGACGATTAAATTCTCATCCACATTCAAGCAGCAATAGATTCGAAGCCTCTCACCATGATGACTTGTCGTTGCATGCGGGTGAAGGATCAATCAGCCATCTCTTGCTTGCCCAGGGAGGGGGGATTTGGGGAAAGGAGAGTGGAGATAGCACCCTACCCCCTATTTCCCAATTTCAAACTCTTGAATCAAAGGGTAGATTTGTATTCTTTGCTAGCTACCCACCCCGCCTTTCGTAAAGGTGATGAAGGGGAACCGGGGGTATTGGCGTGGTGAGCTCCAACGGCAATCGAAATGCCTTCTTTTCCATTAGCACCCCCACGTACCGTGATACAGTGAAATGCACGGGTATGAGAGAATCTTTCGGTCCTCTACCCCTCCAGACAAAGGAAGTCACTAGGGTGGAGGCTGATTCGAGACGCCTGTCGAAACCACTTTAAAAGAATAGTACAGACTGTACCAGAGGCACTTCATCCGTACATAGATGTGTACGATTGAAGCGCTGACTAAACAATTAAAATGAAGTGCTTCAAAAAGTAAGGCGGGGGACAGGGTACCACGCCAGTATAATTCAAATCACCCCACCCTACTTTATCCCTGTCTCACTACCCCCCAGTAAGAGAGCAAAAACCGGGGTAGCTGAATGGAAGTGTATATATGAACCCCTTCCCAAGGAGAAAAAAAAAGACCAATTTTGCTAGAGCCTGCATATGGCCTTGTGAACGGCATCCGGGGCCGGCCGGCTGCCAGGCTGCACCGTTCACAAGTCACTGTGACTGAGTCAACCTCGGACTGCCCGGCCGCAGTGCAGTGCGCCGACTGACCCCGGGCCCGCGCCGGGCTCGGCGGGCCCGGCCGGGCGGCGGGGTCCGACTCACCGTGCGGCCCGTCCAGTGCCGCATCGGCCCTGCCAGTCACTGAGCGGTGCGGCCATGACCGGCTCGGAAGGCCCTGAGCGGCTTGACAGTGACGGTCACCCCGGTACTCTGTTTCACCAGCAGTCGCCCCTCAGCCGGGGCCTTCAACTTGGCAAGCTGCTGGGCATTTGATACGGCTTTGACTCACGGACGGTCTCCGTGACCGTCGGACCGGCGAGTCCCGGACTGGGATCACTGGTCACGGGTCGGGTTCGAGTCAGCCAGTGACTTTCCGAGTTCTGTACCCGGCAAATCGAGCATTTTACTACAGACATGTCTCCTTGTGATGTGGAGTCCGTGTCACAGGTTCATTTTGAAACCATCTCTTTTCAACAAAGTGATGACAGACCTTCTCGTCAAGGCCATGGCAGATGCCGCAAATATAAGTTTCCTCCTGCCCCCGCGGTCCCCATCGCTGGCTCCCTGAGCTCTGCACTACCCACGCCCATCTCCTCATAGCTTCACTCAGGTCCTGCCCATCGCCTCCCTGCCTCCCTTCGCCTCCCTCCTCCCCACTTCCTCCTCCCTCTCGTTTCTCCTCCACCATGTCCAGCAAAAGTCAAGTCTCTATCTTCCCCCGCGCGCAGACCCGTCACCAAGAGGTGACCCTGACCGTCGATGCCGTGCAGCAGCTCTACCACCTCCGTCAGGATAAGGCTGCAGCTCAGCTCGGAGTCTGCCTCACCAGTTTCAAGGCCGCCTGCAGGAGGCTCGGCATCAAGCGATGGCCTTTCACCAGGACGCAAGGCGTAAAGAAGAAGGCGAGGAGGGCCTCCGAGCTTGGCACACATGGTGTGTGGGACGACAACCTCGTCGCCTTCTTTCAGAGCAGCCGCGGGGGCCGCGGGGAGCCGTCGACAGGTCATGGGGAAGGTTGCATGCGCACGGCGAAGGAGGACGTGTGGGTGGGGATGGGGGAGGGGCAGGCCGAGTGGATCGAGTGGTTTGTTGGAGCGACAGACGAGGATCCTGTACTACAGCGCTGGACATACTGTATAAATAGAGCAGCAGATAATTGAGGGTTGGAGTAGCTGCAGCAATTTCGACTACGTCCGTGTGAAACCTTGTGAGGATTTTGCGGTCTTGGTGCACGGCAGGACGCGTATGATGCATATGCCAGTGAGTCAACTGCGAATACTTGTGTGTGATGAAAGATTTCTTAAATCTAGCATGTGATAATTGATGGCTAGCAGTAAAGTATTTTTGTGTGCAGAACGTGTACTACAGGATTACAAGTTGAAAAATCATGTGTTTGGAATGGTTTCTTGAAGCCGATTTCACGTAGCAACAATCGTGCATTTTATCACCACTGTTCCCATGTCTACTTATAACAAATGCTGCACTATATTTCAACAAGCAGTCGAGAATGTTGATGGTGCTGGGGTTGACCAACTCACCGACGCGTCACGACCTACGTCTCGTTAGGGTTGTTGGAAGCAGCTGCTGGAGTGTTGTTGGTCTGAACCGAGTCCCTCATGGGAACCATTCCACGGATCGGGTTGAAGTAGGGATGCTGCATTGCCTCTTCCGCCGTGAGCCTTTCCTGATGGTCATATCTGCAAGAAAATATCATTCAATACGTGCCTACAACATGCGAAATCAAGCACCTCAACAAGTGATCCAGAAAATCTATTGCATCATGTGAAACCAAATGCTGATTCTCATGCTTAATGAAAGATGACCAAGGTTTCTTCGTGTGCCTGCGTGAGAACATCAATATGCTCGCTATCTTGTCGAGATTGACTTATCATAGTATCAATTACGCACCTGCCCAAAATGCTATCGTACCGATGATCCAGAGCTATTCCATACTTATCGATGTACGCAAACAAATCATCTGTGCCCAGAACTTTCGCGATCTTGACAAGTTGATCGTAGTTGTCCTGACCGTGGAAAAAGGGCTCTTTGCGAAAAATCTGGAGTGCAATTCAGCATGTTGATGGATGCACAATTACTCAGAAACACACCATTCCAGCAAACATACATCCAAGTGACCACATGTCCAGTGAGTAGTCATATTCTTGCATCTCCACAAGCAGCTCGGGTCCCTTGAAGTACCTTGAGGCTACCCTGACATTGTATTCTCTCCCCGGGTGGTAGAACTCCGCCAGTCCCCAATCAATCAACCTCAGCTTTCTCTTCTCATGATCGATCATGACGTTATGCGGCTTCACATCACGGTGCATAATCCCATTTGAATGCGAGAACTCCAAGGCAACCAACAACTCGTAGATGTAAAAGCGGATATCCATGTCTGAAAGCATAGGATAGAGGATCTTGAAGTCCACGTTATTGACATGTTCAAAGATAAGACTCGGAGTTTTAGATTGAGGATCCCTTACGATGTCTAGCAGCTTTATGATGTTTGGCCCCCCGCAAAGATTCTGAAGAATTTTAATTTCCCTCCTTATTTTCTTTTTCTTCACAGGTTTCAATATCTTGATGACGCATTTCTGTTCATTCACAACATTGATTCCTTCAAACACTTCGCTGTACTTGCCCCGCCCAACTTTTTTAATCACTTCATAATCCTCCTGATCACTGTCATCGTTCATCAGTTCGGGTCCAAACCACAGGTATAGATCTCTTACCCCCATTGCACAGCTATCGATTCGTAGTCCCAATACTCCTTCGGCCTAGTTACATTGACATCGGCGTACACACGAGCTCTTGACTGTGCTCTCCTCATCTGGAAATCAAAACGTCATCGTTCACGCTCAGCGTGTTGAATAGGAGAGAATCAAATATATTTCAGGTGTAAAATTCATGAAGTTTAGTGAATTCATTTCAAACTTGATCGGCCCCCATGGTTATGTAAGGGGAATGATCATCTTTCAATGGATTTCTTGATGTAATACAGAAAAGATCAAAACAAGAAAATCGATTGGCTTAGAGCCAAAGGGTGCAACAAATATCGTTCTACGGCAGGTTCGGATGGGCTGTTCAAATCAAGTTGGCGAACACCATATATGAATGAGCTGAGAAGAATGAATCACGAAGGGTTAAAACTGTCTCCACTAATGTCCAAGTGACATGAAATCTTGTTCATAACTTCTCTTCTTCCTCTAACATCCTGCACACACACATACGACACAAGGGGGTCGGCTGGGAAACGACGTAACGAACAGCACGCGCCAACCGTTCAGCATTTGAGAGTACGGAGCAAAGCACGGGGGGGAACAGTACAGATGCGAGCTCTGGTTCAGTGGTATCGCAAGGAGGACGGTACAGCTGCTTGTGCTGCTGCCGTGGTGGGCGCGATGCTAGGAGCGCATGCAGGGGTTCTTCAGAGCGGGAGGCGGAGAGGGACCCAAGGGCTGTCGAAACTTTAAGACTTTGGAGATAAACTTTGAGCTTCCCAAAACCTTCAAACTTTCAAAGTTCACTTTCAATACCGTACCGGGCGGGCCTTCTGTGTGCTCCGCCGCTGGCGTGCACTGAATATTTCTGTTAAAGCCTCTTCCTATGCTGCTACACTAGGGCCGAGTGCTATCTATTGGGTCTAGATAAGATAGGACCACACTACAATCTGATTCGTTGTACGGGTTGATAGAAGTATTTGGTACTGAGTTGTTCTGATAGGAATATCAAATATAATAAAATTACTATATGATAATTGAAAAAAACAGATGTCTGTTTGTCATTCCTACACCTTCCGAATCACCAAACGAATTTGATGCTTCTGAACTTGTTAAATACATAGTACTAAAAAACTTTTATTTCTCAGGCAATGCCATGTCTACACAACTAGCTTCGGCCAAAAAGTTAGGGTAATACATATATATATCATATTAGTTGTACATATTTCATACAAATAAATAAATACTTAATTTAGAGCATTATCAAAAGAACTCTATAGTCAGATATAAATTTAAAAGTGAACATTCTAATTGAAGTTGTAGGCAGATAGGGCCTTCTACGACCTCGGAAGCATCAAGCTGATCTGATGGTCCGTCGTGTGGTGGTGGTGGGTAGTCTGAGTACCTACCCTATATTTACCGAGGAACAATAGCGAAACAGTACGGGTAAAAGTAGTAGGTCTTCTGATCGAAAACTAAGGGGGTGGTGATACATCTGGAGGTGGGGTCCTTCAGTATCGAAGAAAGGTTTTACTCAACCACACGCGCCGCCGCGATGGCGGCAGAGGAGTAGAGTCTGTATATCAGGAGGATGGGGGAGAGCGGGGATTGAACAAGTTATGGGCCGAGGCGATCATTCATGCACATGATGCATCATAGAGTACTGCGGGTGAACTCAGAGAGTGCTCTATGTGCAGTTGATCCTGTTGCAAGCATGAGGTGTAATGGCTTGAACGGATCGGAGAAGAGCTGTTATGAATCATGATACGCAACTATTTGTTTTGGAAACCATAGGGTTGGCAAGGATCAATAGAAACACCGTTGATGGAGTATGGTTTAATGATGTCTAGAGGACATGATCATCATTCTTTTTGTTGTCGTGAATCCGAAGAACTTCCCTGATTACTTCTTGTATGCAGTGCTGGCACCGAAATGAGGCGCGCAGGGAATCTGTTCATTTCTCGTGTTGGGAAAACCTCTGCTCTGTCCAAGAGGTTTGCCTCTACAGTTGCCCACCCCAATGAGGCAGACCTGTACTCAGCAGGCATCTTCACTGGAGTGAGTCGAGCTGCTCACTTGCATTATGGTTGACTTACATTCGCTCAGTTGCGCAAGTCCTACTGCGGACCGCTGCCACCATCCTATCAGATCGATCCGGCACTGTTGAAGCTTCCTGCAACCAAGGTCTGTACGTTCATCTGTGATAGTCGTTGCTCAAATTCGTGCAGGTGACCACCCTTCCCAACGGAATGAGGGTTGCCACGGAAAAGACGCCTGGGGAGAGCGTCGCTGTTGGAGTCTTTATCAAGTCTGGAAGCCGCTATGAGACTGATGATGGGAACGGAAGTGCTCACTTCCTCGAGCACATGTTCTTCAAGGGCTCTAAGAACTCGACTCAGGGACAGGTTCCTATGACTTCCCTCAGTTGGTTGGTTCTGAAGTTGTGTTGTATTGATAGTTCGAGAAGAAAGTGGAACAGATGGGATGCCGCCTTAATGCTTACACCTCCCGTGAGCAAACGGTCTACTACGCAAACGTCTTGAAGAAAGATGTAAACCCTTTGATCGGCATGGGCGTGTTTCTGACTTCAATCAGGTTGGAGAATCTCTCAACATCCTGTCAGAGATGCTTCTCAACAGCACCTTTGATCCTGCTGCCATCGAGAGAGAGAAGAAGACTATTCTGCAAGAGATGGAGGAGGTCGAGAAACTCGAGGAGGAAGTCGTCTTCGACAACCTTCACTACACTGCGTAAGTGGCATCTGTGCTGTGAAGTTGAAGATATGTAGTTGAATAATGCTTGCTTCAGTTATCAGACCAGCCCTCTCGGCAGGACCATTCTCGGGACTGAGGACAACATCAAGAACATGACTCGTGACTTGATCCTCAACTACATCCAGGTAGACAACCGAAATGCACGAATTCAGGATATATGAATCTCCCTCTGCTCCTTCTTCCAAATTTTTCATGTCTCCTGGTTATCGAACTCATCTATTCGAAGATATTATTGTTTTGCGTACTGTCTTTGATGACTTGTTTTCTAGGCCAACTACATCGCCTCAAGAATGGTGATCGTCGCTGCTGGCCCTGTCGAGCACGACGAGTTCGTCAACATGGTCTCCAAGGCCTTCGCTGCTACCCCAACTACTCCTTCTGGTCCTGGCGTGGTTTCGCTTGCCCCAGCTTACTTCACCGGCTCGGACATTCGTGTCAGAGACGATGAGGTGATTCTCAATGATCTGCAGCTGATGTTGAGGTTGATACCTGCTTTTAGATGCAACTTGCGTACGTTGCCACTGCATGGGAGACTGTTGACATCTGCCACGCTGATTCGCCGGCAACTATGGTCATGCAGGTAGAGCCGTAGACATCAATATGCCAGCAGCAATTTACAAGTCTCCAGGCAATGCTCGGAAGCTTCGACCCCAACTATTCTTCTGCCATTCATTCCGGCACTGACATGGTCTCGTTGCTTGCTGGAGATAACCCTCGTGGATATCCGCTCGTCCAGAGTGCCATGACCTTCAACACCCAGTACAGGTTAGTAGGAGAATTGTGCTCCGAATCTCATGGCGAGGATGCTGAGATTGTTGACCAGCGACACCGGCCTCTTCGGAGTCTACTACGTTGCTGAGATGAAGAACGTGATGGAGGCTCAGTGGGCGATCTTCCGCGAGTTCCAGCGTTTGGTTCACAGTGCTTCTGACGAGAAGGTCGAGTTGGCGAAGACCCAGCTCAAGTCCACCATCGTTGGACAGTTGGACAGCTCGCTTTCTCAGGTTGATTGTGGGTCACGTGGTTCACTTTGGTTGATTTGTCGGGTTTCCAGGTCTGCGAGGACATTGGCAGACAGATGCTCAACTATGGAAGGCGTCTGTCCATGGCCGAGTTGTTTGCTCGTATCGACGCGGTTGATGCTCCTACCGTGAGGTGAGATTGTGTGCGAGATCAAGGGCGAATCTGACAAATGGCGTGTCAGGCGTGTTGCTGCTGACATCTTCGACGACAAGTGCATTGCTGTCTCAGCCAAGGGCAACATCAGCACCCTTCCCGACTACTTGTGGCTCCGCCGCCATACATGGTCTCTGCGATATTAGGCAAGGACGAGATCTCTCTATCGAAGCGCATCAAGGCACTGTCGATCACTTCCATTTCTCCTCTACCGAAAATAGTTTCCGAATGAACGACGTGACATGTTGATGTGCCGGCACTACTTATCCATGGACAACAGCGCGAGGCCAATAGTCGCTGTCCACTTGACCTCCTTGAAGCTTCCCTTCACTACCTCGTTCCTGAGCTCCTTCACATCCAGGTAGGTCGGAGTCTGAACTTCGAGATCATCTGACTCAGCCGTCTTGGAGGACTTTTGACACTCCTGCCCCAAGAACGCGTACAAGTAGCCGAAGCCTCTGTTTGCGTCTGTTCGGAAGTTGCCCAGAAACTTCATGTTCTTGCACTCCATGCCCGTCTCCTCGAGGACCTCGCGGGAAGCTGCGGCGTCTGCGCTCTCCCCAGCCTTCACGTATCCTCCGAGAAGCTGTAAAGAGATTGTGGGAAAGCAGGAAAGGTCAGAGACGATGCTGAAGACATGAGCAACAAGATCTCACTGCCAGACTCTCCCCATCAAGGCCGTACTTGGTCTGTTTGAACACGAGGAACTTCCCATCAGTCCCTTGAGCGAGGACGTTCACCTTGACGACACATCCAGCAGTCAACATCCATTGCGATGCAGGAGGGAAGAGGAGAGAGTGAAGGAGCATGCTCACACCATGTCTGGCACTTCGCACCACATCCAGTCGTTGATGACGTGGTTGGGGCTGGCTGCCTGCACGACCGAGTGCTTTTCCAAGCGGAAGAACACTCCGTCACTGAAGAGCTCACGCACTGATCGCGTCCATCCTTCCTTGCGATATCTCTGCATGGAATCCGAAGGAGGGAGAGCCCTCGACTGGTCCCTTCGGAGGACAACTCCTGCTCTAGGATTCAGGTAGGAGAGGGAGAAGGATAAAATGACCAGAGCAATCCGTTCTTGTTCCAGCACCGCAATTCCCTGCTCCCAGGTTCCTCTTCCACCATGTTTCCGGGATGTTCTCGAGCTCTTGCCGGTGGGACTGCGGCTGTCACAACAGACAAGTCAGTCGAGGAACCACTCCGATGATGAAATCATATATCGACGCCTCCATGGTAAGCAACCCTTGAAAGCATGGCGCCATGGCTCTACCTTGAGGACGACCATGGCGATGACCAGCATGGCAACTCCGACAACCAGCCATGTCGTCTTCCCCCGCACCATCGACCTCTCACCATGGTGTACCACCATCCCCAGCTACTCTGCCTGGCTCCTCCTCCCCTCCTGGTCATCCTCGAACCGCAGCCCGCCTCAGAGGAGACTCACAAACAAGGACACCGCGCGGCCGGCATGCAGCGCCTGTTCCTCCTCCTCGCGGCTTGCGGAGTGTGCGAGGCCTTCACAGGCGTCAGCCGATGCTGGCAGGGTCCATGCTCTCCTCTCGTCGCCCCGAGATGCGCATGGAGTGCATGGAAGGCTCTTCCCGCGCAGCCAACGACGAGCCGTCGGAGCCTTGCAGTCATGGCGCTCAAGGACGAGGACGGGATCACGAGGAGAGACGTTATCTCGCTCCTTGTTGCCGCTCCAGCTGTGTCCCTGTTGGTTGACAGAGCAGATGCAGCTGAGGAGCAGACTTTTCGTCGAGAGTCCGAGAGGCTCCGCAAAGGCTTGTCAACTCCTGGAACGAACAGAAACAGGATCTTTGTGAGTGACGACTCGTCATGTGAAACATGTCAAGCTTGCAGGCCCGTTGACGTCCTTGCGATTAGGTCAAGGGAGGCGGGAAGGATTCACCCACTGTTCAGTTCCCGACAAGCGTCAAGGACTTGGAGTCCTACACGCAGACCAAGTCGGGGCTCTACTTCAAAGTCTTGAAGGCAAGAGAGTGACGCTGGTGGTGGGCGGTGCGATGACGGCAGTGAGCAGGTTGGAAATGAGACGTTGAAGTCGCCGCAGAAAGGAGACGTGGTCGAGCTCCAGTATATCGGCACAGCCTGCACTGCTGAGAGCGATGGCACATACGAGTGGTAGGGCATAGTCAGATGTCGTGCCGCCCTGACACGTTATGCTTGCTGATCATCCCAGCTCTGAGCGGGAGAGTGATCCAGAGATTTATCCATCTATGCCTCAAGTAAGTGTGCCGAGGAGGAGAAGGAGGAGGAGGAAGAGGTGGTGGAGGAGAAGGATGATGATGATGAGGAGGAGAAGGAGGACGAGGAGAAGGATGAGGATGAGAAGGAGGAGGAGGAGGAGGTTAGATTCTGACGTGCAAAAAAGGGCATCCTCAAGGATAGTCCCCGCTTCGACTCGTCGTATGACCGCGGGAGGACGATGAAAGTCAGGTGACTGAGAAGCGCCTTTGATCCTGACGCCTTCGAGGCGGAGCAGCATGTTGAGAAATGCTCTCTCAGGTATGGAAAGGCACAGTTGACGCTAGGTCTTGAGGAGGCTCTGAAGGACATGAAGGTCCATGCTCCCTGCTCCCTGCTCCCTGCTCCCTGCTCCTGCTCCTGCGCGTCCCTCTCCTTCCTCTCCCTGATCCTGCATGATGAAACCAACACTGAACTCATGGCTCTTACAGCCTGGAGGAGCCAAGCTTGTCTTTCTGATTCCCGAATTGGCCTTTGCTTGCCCTCCGGTTCTCTAGCAGCACTTTCTGTTTTCCTCTCCTCATTTCACAGCAGGGTAAAACCTGTGTGCCTGACATCGAAGCGAACGAGCGCCTTGCGTTCTACATAGGTGAGTTTGAGTACGATACAAGGAAGGTTTGCGACTTATCTTACAACAGAACTCATCTCTGTGAACAAAGTGAGCGAGGTTGGCGGATGAGTGTTAGTTGAATGAAACAATTCTCTACTCTGTCTTCCCCCTGCTTCCCTGGTGTGCCAGCTGAAGGCTGACTATGGTGATCCTTTGTTATCTAGTCGTTGATCTAGCATTGAACTTTGTCGACCCCTCGGAGAAGATCGCGAAGAGGATCAGGATGAGCATGACGAGGGCTATCCCAGCCACGGTCATCGACTCTCTTGAAAGCGAGGAGGATAGAACGGCTCCAACATTGCCTCCCCGCTCCGGTCTTTGTGCCCGGAGCCTTGTGTGATCCTTGGAGGAGGATGGCGCCTGTCGCTGCCGCAGATAGGAATCATGCTCCTCATCCGTAGGAGGAGCGGGATAGATACTGCTATATCCTCCTCCCTGACCACCCCCGGCCACACCTGAACCACCACGTGGCACCAGCCCCTCCCTGCGCCTGCGAGCCAGCTCCATTTGCAGTTTCCTACCAAAACGGAAAGCGTACTCCTCAAAAGATATCTTGCCATTGCGGTCCTGGTCCATCTGATTCCTCAGGCTCGCTGACGTCCTTCTGATCTCCTCTATCGTCGCCCTCGGGCAGCAGAACTGACTGAACAAGTCGCAGGCCTCCTCCGCGTCTATCTCCCCCGACCCATCCTTGTCAGCCATGTTGAACTGCCTCCGAAGTTCTGTTATTACCTGACCGACCATATGTAAGCAGAAGAAGCCCCCGACTAGCTCAGCTGCTATCCCACTTGCATGTTCGTTGCTGCCTCCAACTGTACCTATCCTTCTCCTTCCGCATCAGATTACTATCCTGTCCTGCCGTTGTCCTGCACTTCCTCTGACCATTCTAATGAAACCAGATCAAGTTCACGCACAGTTCTTCTCCTTGGCTCCCACTCCCGCCCCCTTGCCTGTCCCTTCACCTTACCTCCGCATCGAACATGCTCTCCAATTTGGGCGGCATGGCGACTGGACTAGTTAGACCGCAATCCTGCAGCAAACCTGCGAAGCTTCATTAAAATCCTTCAGCATGAAACCACTATTGCCCGCCAGCCCGACCGGGCCCGGGCCCGCCGGGAACCATTTATGACGGGTTTCGCCCCTGGCCTCCAGATTAAAAAGTGTTTTTGCATTGCACCCAGCATTTCTCTAAAATGATGTATACATTAAAAACAAATTTGCATTTTTAAATGGAATGCATGGTGGGGGTAGGGTCCGCAAAGCTGTGAACGGGGAGGCATACACGTAAAACCGGTATTATGACGGGCAAGGGGTAGGTGGGGGTGATCCTTTCACTCGAATAACTTGAAACAGAACCGAAATGGAAAGACTATATGTGTTTTATAATAAAACAAACATATAAATTTCAAGACATCTGATACATGCATTGATACAAACATACAAGAGAACTTTGAAGGTTTTATTGTTTTTTATTTTAGTTTCTTTGAGGACACATACTGTTTAAATATTATATTAACTCAAAAATGTTTTAGAAACATAGATTTAGCCCCCCACGCCTATAAAGCACGCACACATACTCACACCGTCCTCCCTTTCGCCACTACCTGGGCATAAGGTACCCTTACCCCCTATTTTCTTCATCAAATAACCGGTACTGAAAGCAGAGTTGTGCTCCCCACCCTCCTGTTTCAAAAGATTGGAATGGGACCCAAACCATGGCCACCCACCCCCGTTAACAAAAGAGAACTCGAGGATGTGGGTAGGGTACACGACATGAAGTGTGAAGTGAGGGTGGGGTACTTGAGTACCCCAGTACATAAGGTAAACCTGTATATGATTCCAGGGGTAGGTCCCTCGATAGAAGTTTGACCTCGGGTGTGGTCCCCCGGTCAAAATGCCAGGGTGGGGTAGTTTGGAGCAGAGAGCTTTTTACTAGACGACCCCATCATGTACCACCCCATTGACTTGTTGATGACCCCTCATGTCCGTGATAAAACACTCGACTACCCACCTTTATTTGAATCACCCCTCGATATCCTGTGGTTTTCTTTTCTATAGTACCCTACCTTGACCCATATTGAACTGGTCTACCCCATGGATGAATCGAGTACCCCTGATAATTAACCCTACCCCTTTCCTTGCAAGCTGCTTGCTTACCATGCAGGCGCCAATGATTGTGTGCCGATACGAGCAAAGAGAGCCTACCCAACGCCATGGCGATGATTTGATTGCTAGACCATTCATATATTCCATTGAGGTTAAGCAATCAGGAGTTTGTTTCAGTTGAGAACCGTATGGAAGTCCCTCAATAGTGTTTGTTTTCAGCATTTCAAACGATAGATTCTTTGCGCTTGCTAGCAGTGCGGCATTTTCAATGCTATGCAGCTACTACTCCATGCGTTCCACAGCTTCTATGCTTTATAGATTCTTGTGAAGCAGCACATGATGCACGTGTGATTGATAACATCCTTGTACTGGTCTGTTGGGAAAAGGCACAGATGTGCGATTGCGTGAGAGCGTGAATACTTGGTTGTCTGCTTCCTAAGTTTGACTGGCTCTATCAAAGTCGTCTTGTTTCACTTATGTCGGTGTCCTCCGTTCGCTGACCATTCTTTTTGTTGCCAGTTCACTCGACTTTGCAAGATGCTACGAGCCAGCTGCCGGTGGCTTTCTCTGGCCATCTGTTTCACTGCGGTCTCCTCCTTCCAACATGCTCCCTCCCTCGTGCTGCGGAGCACACGAAGCCCCGCCTTGTCGAGGAGGTTGCTGATCAACCCTGCCATGATGCTCCCTGACATGACCACTCAGAGGATCAGTAAGTAGCGCAAGAATGGCGTTGGGTGCGGACTTGGGCAAGCTTTTCGGAGGGATTGGGCAGGCGAACAGGATAGGAAGCTTCAGGCAGGAAGCGTCGCCTGTGCAGGCCAAGGTCAGTGGGATGCGTGAAGGCGACAAGTTGGGAATATTGTTTTTGAATCTTGGAGGGCCTGAGAAGCTGGACGAAGTAGAGGATTTCCTCTTCAACCTCTTCAACGACGAGGATATCATCCGCCTTCCTAACGCTCTCAAGCCGCTACAGGGCTTCATTGCTCGCGGGATCGCTTCCCGTCGCGCTCCTGGGTCAAGGGAGGCATACGAGTCCATCGGAGGAGGATCGCCCATCGTGAAGTTGACAGAGGAGCAAGGAGACAACCTTGAGAAAGAGCTCAAGAAGATCGGGATCGACGCTAAGGTCTACATCGGGATGCGATACTGGTACCCCTTCACGGAGGAGGCGACGGATCAGATCCTGTCTGACGGCGTCAACCGGCTGGTCATCATCCCCCTCTACCCCCAGTACTCCATTTCCACCACAGGAAGCTCCATCCGGTTGCTGGACCAGGTGAAGAAGCAGAGAGGGAGAAGGAGGAGGGGAACGATGGGGTTGGGGGAGTTGGGGTTCAGGAACAGGAGGAGGGGAGAAGGTAAAGGAGGAGGGAAGAAGGAAGGACTTGGGCCTAGGGGGAGTGAGCTGTGGAGGAGGAAAGAAAGCATTTGACGGCTGTGTTTACAGATTATCAGGCAGGATCCGAAGCAGTGGGACCCTCGTCGAGTAGATCACACGGTCGTACCCGACTGGTACGATCATCCTGGTTACCTCGCCACACAGGTGCATCACCATCCTCAATGGCTCTCCCACCCCTTAGTTTGTCCCTGCAGGCGAAGTTGATTCTCAAGGAGCTCGACGAGTTCAAGAGAACCCCTAAGGACGTGAAGGTGAGGAGAGGCGAGAAACAAGGGGGCAAGGGGGAGGCAGGCAGCATGGGAGGACGAGGACGAGGAGAGGATGGTCTTCTTCTGTTGCGATGACGGGGATGGAAGGTTATGTTCTCTGCCCACGGAGTCCCAGAGAGCTACGTGGAGGCTGGTGATCCTTACAAGGGACAGATCGAGCGCTGTGCCGAGTTGATCATGGAGGAAGTGAACAAGGGGAGGAAGGAGGAGGACAGATACGACTACACCCTCTGCTTCCAGAGCAGGGTTGGCCCGGTGAAGTGGTTGGAGCCATACACGGACGACGTGCTGAAGCAGCTGGGCGAGGAAGGGCTCAAGAACCTCGTGGTGGTTCCCCTGAGCTTCGTGTCTGAGCATGTGGAGACTCTAGAGGAGATCGATCAGGAGTACAGGGAGGTGGCAGAGGAGGCAGGCATCACCAACTTCAAGAGGGTTCCTGCTCTCAACAGCGATCCTCTCTTCATCCAGGCTCTTGTTGACATCACCGTCGGGGCGCTGAACCGACCGTCCCTTCGGGTCAGCGAGACTCTGGACCTCTACCAGAAGTCCAACGACATGCCCGGCTACCCCTGGGAGTTCGGGGTGACCCGCGCGGCGGAGCAGTGGAACGGAAGGCTTGCCATGCTCGGGATTGCTGCGCTTGCTGTGGCACAGGTGAGGAGGGAGAGAGTTTGTTGCTCCTATCGTACGCTATGCTCGTTTCCTCCTGGCTACCCTCCCCTTCGCTTCGCTTGCCTCTCCTTCTGTTCCCTCCCCTCCCCTTCGCTTCGCTTGCCTCTCCTTCTGTTCCCCTCACCTCCCCTCTTACCGCCTTGTTTTGTGCTTCCTCTTTTCACTTCTCGGTTGGCATCTTATGCTTGCTCAGGTCTACAAGTCCGGCCACTGCCCCACCATCGACGGGCCAGCAATCGCGGGCAAGGTGAGAAAAGAATGGAGGAGGAGAGTTGAAGTGAAAGGGGGGCGGGGAGACTCGTTGAAGGGTGGGAGGTTTTGAAGGAGAGACAAAATGAGCAGCAAGAGCCAGCATAGATAACTTCCTTTCCCTTTCCCCCCCCCCCCCCCCCCCCCCAAGGAGATGAGATGAGATGAGATGAGATGAAAGAGGGAAATGCATTTCAAGATGGCTGATGTTCAAATGATTGCAGGAACCTTTCTGTGCAGCATTTTCTGCGGATGGTTGGGAGTGGCTCTTCGGTAACTTTATGTCTTTATGATGCGAGGATAGATGTTTGTAAGCTCTCAATGAAAACCGACCGATTTCATGTTCTCCTTGACGTGGTTGAATTGTTTGTTTGCAGTGAAGATAGCTACAAGTGAAAGAATGTGATGTCGCTCTTACACTCTTGATTTTTCATTTGTTGTTTCTTCTGTTGCTTTCCCTGGTTGAGCTCTCTTCCTGACAAGCACGTTTTGCAGCTGCTGTGCAATCTTTGTACAACTGAAAATTTCTAGCACGTCTTTGGATGTGACGATTCTGTGAGATATGCAAAGATACTTCCAAGCAAAGATTTGTTTGTAAAATGTTAAAACCTGAGATGTTTGCACACAAGGCAAACAAAAATATCTCGACTTCATTCCTCTTCTTGTCATTCCTTGTCCTGTAACGTCGTCACGTTCGCTCACGCATCTCATCATTCATCTCACAATCCTCTTGATTGCAAGCAGAGCTCTCATCTTCGAGCTTGAATCTTTGGGCATGTCAGTCGTGCGCGAACAACCCTCTTTCTTTCCTCTCCATCACTCCCCGCTGTCTCCTTCATACTTCTACTCCCCTCCTCTCCTCCCCTCCTCCCCTCCTGCCCTTCTCCTCTCCTCTCCTCTTCCCTCTCCTCCTCCCATCTCGATCCTCCATACGAGCTTCTTCCTTTGTAAAGTTTCGCTGAAGCACCTGAAAGGGAGGAGATGACTTGTTGAAGTCGGGAGAAAACACTGGTGGTTCTCAAAAAGAGAAATCGATCCTGTGAGGTCTGAGGTCAAGGATGGTGAGCTGAGAGCTGTAGACCTCAATGCTGTTGAACTTCCTGAGGATCGAGGCAACAACCCAGGATAGTCGTTGAGCTCTGCAGAGTCAACTAGTGAGAGGAGAGGATGGAACGACAAACAAGACAGGCAAGACAAGACAAGAAGAGGGGAAGAAGGGAGGAGAGGAGAGGAGGGGAGAGGAGAGGAGAGGAGAGGAGAGGAGAAGAGAGGAGAAGAGAGGAGAGGAGAGGAGAGGAGAGGAGAGGAGAGGAGAAGAGAGGAGAGAGAGTAGGGTAAGAATGGAAGGAACACGATGCTAGGGATTGGAGACAAGGTAGGAAGGCAAAGAGAAGCGAGGAAGAACGAAATCAAGAAGACGAAAGCAAGAGGAGAAGACAGCAGGAAAGACTCAGATGAGGAGGTCGGAAGAAATATGTCTTCAGTACGCCAAAGGAGGAAGAGGATATGAACGGGGTTTACCTCCTGCTGATCGGCCAGTCGCTGTTGGCTGACCTAGGATGCAGTTCTTGGAGCTGATTATGAAATATGAGAAGGGCATAGGAAACTGGAGAAGGGGAAGAAGAAGAGCAGAGCAGAGCAGAGGGGAAGAAGAGGAATGGGGAGGGGAGGGAAGAGGTGGCAAGGGGAAGGGAGGGGATCATAACAGAATTTCGGACCTCTTGAGGAAGAGAACGAAAAGTTGAAGACGTGAAAAAATCTTGTGACACATTCGCAGTATCACCACCCTGTAGGAGAAAACATCAGCACCTACAAGCGTTGATGCCCCATCACCTCGAAGACTTGTTTCAATTGCAGAAAAGTGTCTAGTCTCCTCCATGTCAGTGCCTGCAACGTTAGTTACACAGCTCAAAGGAACGAGAAAATTCTCCAAAGACCTCCAGGCGGAGCAAAAGTTTTTCTTTGTTGGCTGGAGACATGTTGATTCTCCTCCTTCTTCTCCTCCACTCCTTGACCTCACTCCTCCTCCTCGTCTCGTCTTCCCTTGCTCCAGCCTCCATGCTCCTCCCCTCCTCCCTGCTGCTCAGTATCCGCTCCAGCTCTCTCTTGGTCTCCCCATACTCCCCACTGTTCATCCTCCTCCTGCTCGGGTCCTCTTCTTCCAGCCGCTCTTCAAAGTGATCCAACACTGTGAGCAGAATCATTCCCTATCTCCTCCTCCGCATTCTCCTCTTCCTCTTCCTCCCCCACCCCATATCCTGGTCTTCCACCATCTCCTTTCCTCCTCAGTCTCTATCCTCGTCCTCCTCTGTCGCTGGCACCACTTGCTCCTGCTCCTCCTGCTCTTCCTGCTCCTCCGCCTCCTCGCACCTTCCAGCCAACTCGGCGGCATCGTCTCCTCTTCTTGTAGTCCGGGTAGCTGCCCCTAGGCGAATGTCATGGGCGATGGTGAGAGATGGAGAGTGATCTGAGGGAGAGCAACCAGGGAAAGGGAAAGGAGCAGGAGCAGGAGCAGGAGCAGGAGCAGGAGCAGGAGCAGGAGCAGGAGCAGGAGCAGGAGCAGGAGCAGGAGCAGGAGCAGGAGCAGGAGCAGGAGCAGGAGCAGGAGCAGGAGCAGGAGCAGGAGCAGGAGCAAGTAGTGGCCAGGTCTGAAGGAGGATCGAGCCTCAAGTTTCACAACAACATAAGAAACGTTGGATTGCGCTGACCTCCCTCATCATCGGTCGATAACCAGAACGATGGAGCGCCTCTGAAATGAAGGATCAAAGGTGACAGCAAGCAGGGAGGAGAAGGGAGGATGTAAAGAGAAGGTGGGAGGGGGGGCTATCAGGGGGCAAAGAGGAGGTACCTGAGACGATCGAAGAGGAAACATTGTTCGAATCAAGTGCAATCTACATTCCAAATGTTCATTTGATCCGTGGACAAATCCTTTTCCCTTTCCAACCTCTCCCTTCTCCCTCTTCCCTTCCTTCCCCCCTCTTCCATCCCCTCCTCTCCCTTCCTCCTCCCCCCATTCCCCCGCTCCTATCCCCGCCCCTCTCCTTTTCCCCTCTCGTCCTCTTCTTTCTCCACCTCCCCCCAGCAGCACCAGCACCAGCACCAGCACCAGCAGTTACCTCGTTTGCAACGACAAGAGGCGAAATATTTCGATTGAGCAGCACAAACGATTGAGAGGCCTGCAGGGGCAAAGAAGATCATCGAAAAGTTTGACCTTCTATTCTCCTCTTCCTCCTCCTCTACCATCATCACCACCACCACTTCCATCTCCTGCTCCTGCTTCTCTTCCTTCTCTTTCCGTCCTCTTTTCCCTCCCCCTCCCCCCTACTCCTCGTCCTCGTCCTCCTCTTGAAGAACGAACCCTCCCCAACCCTGACCAACAACCTTCTCGTGAGGACCATTCCTCACGAAGTATGTCTCAACAAACCACTCTCTCCTAGATCACCATCTCCGTTCTGACTTGCTCCTCCTTTGCATTGCTCTCATTACCTTTCCCATGCTCGCTGATGCGTTCATTTCAAACTTTCTCCACATCAACGACTCTCTGCAAATCAGCATCGTCACGACATTTCTTTTTTGCATGTAGAGACCTTGACGCCATTGCAGTTGCAAACAACCTGAATGAAAGTTTCAACAAACGTAAATCCTTCCACCATCATCTTACCGAGCTGCATTCTCAAAGTACCCATCATGAACTGTCGCAATCACATCCTGAGACGCACAATCACTTTCCATTATTCTCCTCCTCTCCTCCTCTCCTCCTCTCCTCCTTTCCTCCTCTCCTCCTCTCCTCTCCCCCTCACCTGTCCAAGGGGCTCCAACTTCCGCACCTTGGCCATGATCTCGCTTCTTCCTGCCTGCATTTTTGCTTCCACCTCCTCTTCATCCACCATCACTCTGCAATCTTTCCGTGCTGCCCATAAGTCAGCTCCTTCCTCCCGCCTCCTCCCTCCTGCCCCTGCCTCCCCCGGTCCCGTCCTCCTGTCTTCCCGTCCTCCGCTAACCCTCTCCTGCTCTCCTGCTCTCCTCTCGTCTCCTCCTCTCTCTCCTCCTCTCTTCCTCTCCTCTCCTCCTCTCTTCGTGCCTTCGCTTCTCTTCTCCTGCTCCCCAGCTCTGCTGCTCTCCTGCATGCTGGCCCCTGCCTCCTCCCCTCGTCTTCCCCCGTATCATCATTTTGGGCCTCACTGTATGGAATGGCCGATCTTGTTCGGAGCGCCTCGATCCTCCCGATGGTCACGACTAGGAGGAGCAACGACCCGTCTTCAAGCTGCCTCGACCTGCGAGAGGCGGTGGGAAGTGAGGACGAGGATGAGCAGGATGAAGAGAGCAAACATTGGAGGAGACGAGGAGGAGGAGGAGGAGGACAGACAAAAGAGTTGGAGTAGAGCGAGATCAAGACCAAGGGCAAGAGCAAGAGGACAAGAAGAAAACGAGTCGTGAGAGGGTAAGATACAGACAGGAGGGGAGTTTACAACCTGACAACCTCCATGAGATTCCCGAACGAGGTCTCTTCCTCCGCAAGAGAGGACGATGCTTGCGGGAGGAACCCAAAGAGGTGAGGAGGAGGAAGGGCCAGCAAAGTCTCCATCATGTGGCACTCGTTCGGCTGCTCTATCAGCAGAATCTGCTTCATCCCAGGGAACATCACAGTCGCTTTCCTCGCCTTCCTGTCGACAGAAGACTGACGATTCTCTGTGAGGATTGGGACATTTCTGATCTCATCGAACACTTGCACTATCGATGTTTCCTTCTCCTGCACTTCAAACTCATTCGCAACACCCTTGAACTTGGCCGAGTCCTCCTTCCATCCAGCTCGGAAGGAGTCTTCCAGCTTTCTCCTGTCCTCATCGGAAATCTTACACAGCAGCTCATGCCTCTGACTTCTCCACCTCGAGATCTTGTGCTTATCAACCAAGGCACAAACTTGACTGTAACTCTTTCCACCGATCCACCATCTTGTCACTTTGCCGCCAACAAAACAAGCTGATTGCTCGGAGCAATGCGCTGTCTGCTGCAAGATCACCAGGAACACCTCAAGAAGTGGCAAGTAAGATCGCATGATCCCCGCGTAAGATCGCATGCTTGTCGCTATCGCCCGCGCCCTCCCCTCCATACCGCATCGCCACACATAAAGAGTTCTAGTTGAGTAAAACATCTGAGCCCTCATCCCGCAACGATGAAGTACCCCTCATCCCCACGCAACCCGAGGGGCGCTGGCGCTGGCGCATGCAAGGACAGGGGAGGGGGAGGACGAAGGCAGCGTGAAGAAGGCGGAGGAGGAGGAGGGAAGAGAGGAGAAGAGCTCGGGAAGTTGACCACAAGGAAGGAGATCGCAGTGAAACAAGGAGCTCCTTGACACGATATCTAGCTCCGTCCATCCTAGCGAACCGTCTTTAGCCGGCACTGCAAGACAGACAGTCGGCATTCTTCATCCAGGTGAGACGCAATTCTTTTCACAAAGGGACTGACGGATTTTCTTTTGGGGATGTAAATGCCAGCAGCGGATCTCTTTTCTCTCTAGCATACTCAATCAAGATGGGCATCAAAGAGAAGATAGCCGAAATCCAGCTTGAGATGGCTCGAACGCAGAAGAACAAAGCGACAGAGGTCGGCATGCTCGTCCTCCACCCTCCCTGCTCTTCTCACCTCTGTGCTCTCTCAGGGCCATCTCGGAATGCTGAAAGCAAAGCTCGCCAAGCTCAGGACGCAGCTTCTCAATCCTGAAGATGGTGCGGGAGGGGGGGGTGGGGACGACAAGGGGTTCGAGGTTGTCAAGTACGGAGATGCGAGGATCGCCCTCATCGGCTTCCCATCTGTCGGCAAGTCGACAGCCTTGTCGCTGCTCACAGGAACGGAGTCGGAAGCTGCCGCCTACGAGTTCACGACCCTCACCTGCATCCCGGGCATCATCAATTACAAAGGGACGAAGATCCAGCTGCTCGATCTTCCTGGTATCATCGAAGGAGCTGCTCAGGGGAAGGGAAGAGGAAGGCAAGTCATCGCCGTTGCCAAGTCAGCAGACCTGATCCTCATGATGCTGGACGCCACGAAGCCAGACGCCCATAAGGCGATCTTGGAAGCAGAGCTCGAGTCAACTGGTGGCGGCAGGGTGGAGGCGGTCCCATGACTGATGGATGAGCAGGAATTCGTCTGAACAAGAACCCTGCTGATATTTACTTCAAGAAGAAGAAGACGGGAGGCATCAAGTTCAACACGATGGTTAGTGAAGAGCTCAAAGCTCAATACCTAGTCATTTCGTTCTTTCAGGTCCCCTTGACGAAGATGGGTGAGAATCCTTCGGACGTGGTGAGAGATGCGTTTTGATCCTCTCACTTCTTTGCAAGATTCTCTCCATCAGCTTACCTCCTTGCATGCAAGATTCTTCATCCCCTCTTCCTGAAACCTGGGCAGGTCTACCGCGTTTTGCATGAATACAAGATCCACAACTGCGAGGTTGTGTTCAGGGAGGATGCTTCCATCGACGATTTCATTGATCTGGTACGAGTGCATGATGATCTCACCTGGCTCAATCTATGGCAAGGTGGAAGGGAACAGGAGATTTATCAAGTGCCTGTATTGCTACAACAAAATCGATGCCATCACCATGGAGGAGGTGGACGTGCTCGCAAAGCAACCGCACAGGTTGAGAGCTTCACTTTCTACCATCTGCCTTGCCTGACTCTCGTTCCCGTCAGCATCGTTGTGTCCTGCCACCAGAACTTGAACGTCGATCGGCTCCTTGCAAAGATGTGGGAGATGTTAGCGCTCGTCCGAGTATACACTAGAAGGAGAGGAGAGCCTCCTGACTTGAATGAGCCGTCCGTGTTGACTCACGGTGAACTGACTTGCTCACTGCGTCTGCCTATTTCTCTCTCCTCCTCACCTCCTGCTCAGGACGAGGCGGCGTCACTATCAAGACCCTCTGCTCGCATCTTCACAGAGATATGGTAAAGAGACAAGCAGAAAAGACACGTTCCCTGATAGTTGATCGCAGCTCAAGGAGTTCAAGTATGCTCTGGTGTGGGGACAAAGCTGCAAGCACACTCCTCAGCGTGTTGGCAAGGACCATGAGTTGATGGACGAAGATGTTGTGCAGGTTGGATGAGAGAAGCTGGGAGAACTTCAAACTCAACTTGATGCAGATCTTCAAGAAGACTGCAAAAGAGTTTGGCATGCAGAAGAAAGGAAAGACTCTCACCAAGCAAGGATGTCTGGCAGAGCCCAAGAAAGAAGTTGACAAGAAGGAAAAGCGAGGACCCTCCTCCAACAGGTCGTCGTTGCTGCCCAGCTACCTGGCATCCCAGTTACTGGCTTTGCAGGTTCGACGGAGGGCCAGCCAAGAACACTGGAAGGATGGGCAAGAGTGCTGGTTTTGCATGAAGACGTGCAAAACGGCGAAGTTTCTCTACAAAGCTCTTTCAGTGTATTGAGAGTTCATTAAATTCGATTCGTTTAAACTAGACACATGGGCTTTGCTGAGGGTACAACAGGCGGTGAGCATCGATCAAAGGGCGAGCTCAAGTCTATCTTAGAGGTTTGATACATCATGAGCTGTATGATCCTTTTCTGAAGCTCGATCTCCTTGCCACGTCTGGTGAGCTCGTTGAGCGCCCTATGAAGCTCGACCTCCTCCTCCGTCTCGTAGTCGCATTCCATGTCAGTGTCAGAAGAAGAGCTCGTCTCGTCCTCAATCCTCTGCATTTCCAGGCGGAACTCGTGATGTCCGTATTGGTCACAACCCAAGAATGATGCCAACAGCTCCACGCAAACGGAGTCGCCGCACTTGGAATAAAGAATAACGACGTCTCTCTTCGATTGGTACTGGCTGGACGCAACCTGGTCCAGAAGGGCGTCGATCTTTGAAAGATCTGTCTCCGGGCCTTGGCAGATCCTGAGTGTGCGCCCAACTACTTCCTCGTCCTTGAATCCAAACATGTCCTTCCAGCCCGTTGAGACCGACGACACCAGGCATGATGGAGAATGCCGAACAACTTTCATATGAGCCGCTTCTGTGTCCTCTTCTGATCCTGTTGGGAAGATCCATACCGTCTGCTTTCCTCCAACATTTGTAACAATCATTTCTTCGCAGCATGAATCGTCGATGTCGTCAATGTCGATAATATCCTCGGCCCTCACCATCTCGCCTGATTCAAAACGTCCAGTTTGTACAGGGCTTGCCTTAGCTTCGAGTCCTTGCCTCGTTGACGTTGCTGACTACCTTGTGCTTGCTTTGAACACTCCTGCACTTCTTGATTCTCTTTCCTTTCCTCCTGCTTGATTCCTTCCGGGTCCTGTTCCCCTTGCTTCCCCTTCTTCCTTTCCCTCCTTTCCCCCCCGACCCCAAAACCTCGAAATCTTCTCTTTTCGATTCCTAAAGGTCGTCCAGGAATGCTCTACTCTCCAGATCACATCGATTCACTATACACTCCGATGGAAGGTACCACAAGTTCCTAGGACCCGGTCATACCTTCAATAAAAGCTCTCGGCACCAGCGCTCCCCGAGGGGACCCAGCCACCCCCTCGTTGCTATGAATTTAAGGTAGGGGTCCATTACAACATGGAAAGACAATTTTTCATGTATTTTTACTAAAACTGTTTTATATTGCCGGTCATCTTTACTTTATATCCGAGTGCACTCTTGAGGACCCACCCTACTCGATACCGAATCGAAAGGAGTGTGTCCGCACATCCATATGGCCCACTTTGGCTAGTAAAAACCACCCGTCCCATGTCTCCTTGACCACCCCAGCACCCAGAAAATTGAATTGCTGCCCTGATCTCGGAGCTCCGCCTCGGAATCCGACCTTTTTATACGAAACCGCGTGTTTTGGCAATCAGAAAGGGCATGTGCTCCAGCCTGTATGGGGGTCACGGGACCAAACCTCCCGGGGCATGCTGAAGGGCACGGGTGCAATTGAGCGGGGATGAGGTCCTGAAGTAAACGGGGCCGCCCGTTATTCTCTGGTACCAGCCTACTCTGCCATGGATAATAATAATGATCATGGACTACCGTAGTATCAGTAGCGGTTCGGATTCGCCGCTACTTGCTGAGAGGGTGGGTGGGTCCTCGTACTTCCGCCACCCCTGCAATCCGGCAGCCGGGCAGCGGTCTCAAGTCGCAAGATTTCGATTGGGAGACGCCAACGCCACCGGTAACCCCCGGCCGCTATAAAATCGAGTTGTAGCCGATTTCGCGCTTCACTTTACTGCACTCAGTGTGCTGGCAGTGGCCCGGTTGAAGGGCAGGTCACGGGCCAGCGGTCCCGCCCGGCCACCACTGAACGGTCCGGTTTTGAAGTTTCAGTCAACACTGACCGTGACGGTGAACAGGAAGTTTTTACTTGGTGATCGCATGTGGTCAGTATTACCGGAGCATCGGAGGTCCGGAGTCACGAGCTCCGGTAAGTCTTGGGTAGGCCCGAAAATACAACTTTTCATAGACGGATGGGTCAGCTTTACTTGTGGCCGTTAAGATATGACTGGTCGTTGCCTGATCGCTGACAAAATCTAGCGTTCTAGTGCATGAAAAGTATATTGTTCGAGTACATATCTCCATGGAATGCCAGCAATGCAGGCTTATCTCAAATGTTTTGATTTGGATTCTGTAAGCAGCAACGAGGATCCCGAGACGTACCAGCCGGTTGCAACGCACTTGCACCAGTCGCTCCACAGGAAGCGCATTCCATCCTTCCTGCTGAGCTCTGGTTCCCGATTTATCTCCACTTCTCTCTGAGTTGCCGCTGATATTTCAACCGAAGCTGGCGAACGCATACGGTCCCCTGTGGCAAGGTAGACAATATCCCCAAAAACCATCGTCCATACAGTAATCGCTGTCCCGGCGTTCGGATTTTCATAACTTTGAAGACAGAGTTTTGCGCTAGCACAGATATTTCTGCATGCATACGTTGATATGTGTGTGGCATCCGCCGTCAACATGTGAGCTTGCTATCTTCAAACAAATTGGCCTATCGTCTTTGTTTTGAACCGAACTTCACATATTATGTAAACCTTTGCCTGTTGACGTACTCCATCCCGCCCTTCCCTTTTAATGTTCCTTAAATGTAAAGAGATCGCTACACATCTTTCCAGCTTTATCTACTGAGTTCCCGGTATTGTAGCAGGATCCCTTTAATAACCAGTCCGATCCGCAGTGCAGTTTCTTGAGAATGATCTCAAGTTTCTTGAGAGTGGTTTCGAACGGGTTGATGTTGTGCATTGTGATGCACATACTACGGAAGTCACTGTTGTTTGCTGTGCTGTTTAAAGTTCAACGGTTGACTCTGCTTTCACTTCACCTCTCCTTTGTCCTCTTTGCCTTCTTCCTTTTCCCCCTACAGTGTGAAATTTCGCACTTTCCGAGGCTGGCCCGGGAATTGCAAATTTTGCGGGACCTCAGGCATAATGGCGGCGCAGGTACCATGCAGTGAGGGGAGCGCAGGATTGCGCAGGGAGAGGATGGAAGGGGAGGCGACAAGGGCGGGAGAGGGGAATTGTAGATCATGGGAGAGGCTGCTTCATCCTGCCGCCATTCTATGACACTAGAATCCTCTCTCCTCTCCTCTCCTTGAAAGTTGTTTTCAGGCGCTTGGCCTCGCTGGCTGGTCCGTCTGGGGTGTCTCAGTGGGGATCTTCTGCGACAAATGCACAACCTTCAGCCTCAAGTTCGTCCTCTCCAGTGCTGCGACCCTCTCTGCCATCCTCGTCGGCGCTGAGCCCCCGGGAGCCCTGCTGGCTCTCGTGTGCATACCCTTCTTCGTGGTGGGGAGCCGGATGCGTGTTATCGGCCTGACAGGAGGGATAGCGAGTGGAAAGAGCTGCGTGTCTAACAGATTCCGCGCCCTTGGGTACCCCGTGGTTGACGCGGATGCCATCGCCCATGGCGTGCTCGAGAAGGGGACAAGTAGTTATCATCGGGTGTTGAGGGCGTTCAAGGATCATGACATTGTTGACTCCTCGGGGAATATCAACAGGTGAGGAAGAGGAGGGTACTGCTGAAGGAGATTATGAGAGAATGAGGCAGGAGGTGTAAGGTCCCATGATTGAGATGAAGTGGAAGAGGAGTCGCAAGATGCGTGTGGCTGAGGAGGAAGAAGTGAAGGAGACGAGGAGAAGAAGGGAGAGAAGGAGGAGCAGAAGGAGGAGCAGAAGGGGGAGGATAAGAATGGACTAGGGGTACTGTGATAGATTGCATTTCGTATCCACAGATGTACAGGAAAATGATGAGGGGAAGAGTTGAATGAGAATGAAATGAACTTTTTCCACTCCACCAGGGCGGCGTTAAGAAAGCTTGTCTTTGGCAATCGTGATCTGAACCGAAAGCTGAAGCAATGCACGCACACGTCTATTGCACTTGAGATGCTTCGACAGGTGTTGATTGATCTGATCCGAATTATGATTTGCTGACGTACGTGAGTAGATTTTTCTCCACAGCGTGATCCAAGGGCAGCCTGTTGTCATCCTAGATGCTCCACTGCTCTTTGAATCGAGAGCGAATCTCCTTTGCAAGGAAGTCATCTGTGTATATTGCGAAGAGGATGTACAGATCTCAAGGTGGTCCTGTTGAATGTTGAGAAGAGACTCTGACCTCGGAGCGGACCGATCAGATTGTCCAAGAGAGATTCAGTGACCATGGACGACTGTCGGAAGGCTGTTAGTGTACCGATGGATTGGTGGCTTGACAATGACGAACGTTCTTGCGCGTTGTTGCAGATCTCGTCGCAGATGCCTGTCGCAAAGAAGAAGGCAATGAGCGACATCTGCATCGACAACGGAGGGACGCTTGAGGACCTTAACCGGTGAGCAAGCTTATCTTGCTGCTGCTCAGTCTTGAGGCGTTGGCAACACAAGGCAAGTCGACGAGGTCGGGAGGATGCTCATGAAGAAGTCGCTTGCGCATCCCCTTCGAGCGTTGCGACTACAGACTGCATCATGATGGGAATTGATCCCGCCCCCCAATCTCGCCCTTCCCCAGCAGGAAGTGAAGACAGTGTATGTTACCAAAGTTTACAATCGTCTTTTACAAACTGTGTGCTCCCATCTTAAACTTTCTCACTTTGCCACAACATCGATGACACCAAGATCGTCATCATCTCCATCAGCGCCAACATCCAACGATCCAGTCGGGGTCTACAACATGGATCGGTCAACAAACTGTGAACGAAGATGAATGCAATAATACCTGTACAAGACATCTCTTGAGAGAAATTGATCCACTGCTGTTGATGGAGCCATCAACTATCAGGGTGCCCTAACAGCAAGTGAGTGCTATCGGACCTCAAATCTCATCATGTTAGCTCTACTCACAGAGCTGGATGTTCCTCGTACTGGCAAACGCAAAGCGATCTGCTTTGTTGACACTCCGTTGATGCTGGAGGAAGAGAAAGATTGACTGACAGGGGCGCCGACGGATATTTCCGATCCTAAAATGCGCGTAGCGCCAGCATTCATCCTTACCCTCCTTTCTGCAACCTCCACTACCCTGTCAACGTCGTCGGCAACTGCTTGCATCATATCCCCTGCCATGCCGGCAAAGCCCTTCATGATGCCGCCAAACATCTTGATAGGAAGCGGAGCATCTTGCATGGCCTTGTCAATCATGTTCTCAAGCTCGTTTTGTTTCTTCGGTGGCTTGATGATGTTTGCCAGCGGTTTGAATATGGCCTGGATTGCACCCAGTGGATCAGGAGCCTGTCCTTTCTGCATGTTTCTTCTGAGTTCTTCATTCTCTCTCTTGAGTCTCTGTATCTCATCATCTCTTCTGTCCATCCTCAACTCCATCACCCTCGCGTGTCTCCTCGACCTCAGAGTTCCGTAAGGAAAGTTGTAACCAAAAGTTTGCTCCAAGAAGCCGAGAACAACAAACACGATCAGAGCATACATCCTTGAAGCTCGTCGTGTGTAAGGAGCATAAGAGCGGTGATGTCTCCTCTCCTCCTCTCCTCCCTCCCTCCCTCGCTTCCCATGCCCCTCGTTCCACCTTAGTCTTTCTCCTGCCATGGCTGTTTCCTTGGCGCAATCCGGCGCAGAACACGAAAAGAATTTTCTACCGCAAGGCCAGGCCCGGCCGGGCCCGCCGGGCCGGGGGGCTCGGCCGGGCGGCGGCTCCGCATCGGCCCGATGACTCAGTGATCATTCACTCAGTCCCGGCGGACCGGGAGACCGCGGCCCGGGCTCACATAAGCCGGGGCGGCTGAGTCACAAGTTGCGGGTTCCGGGAGAAGGAGCCGCCGAGGGAGGACGCCGCTCGCCACTGGCCACTCGGACTGACGGCAGCGCCACAGCCCGGCCTCGGTGACACCGGGCGTGACCGTACCGTACCGTACTATCAGCCTACTAGGCTATCAGGAGTCGTCCGGCCGGGTCTCACAGGTGACAAGAGAAGGCCCGGGCAGCAAGTTTGAGTTTACTTGGCAGACTTTTCAGCAAGAAGTTTCGCGATGTGAGCGATGGGATCGTCAGGCTTGAGAGACAAGGTAGCAGCGATGGCCTCGTTGACGATCTCAGTGATCCTGCGAAGAAGATGAGGAGAAAAGCCTCGGAGCAGGAGGAGAGGACGGAAGGACGGGGCGAGGACTAGGGCGAGGGCGAGGATGGAGCAAAGCAGGGAGGAGGTTGAAGGAGAAAGTGATCATGAAAAACCAGAGAGAGAAGTTCGAGGTGGCGGGGGATGCGAAGGATGCGCAGCGAGAAGAAGGAAGGAAAAAGATGAGGAAGAAGGAGAGAGATTGAAGAGGATGAGCAGCAGAGGAGATGAAGAGAGCCGCGTATCAGACCGGTGCTTCTTGGCGTAGTCCTGCTCCACCTGGGTAGCAGGAGCCTTTCCTCCATCGCCGATCTTGTCTGAGGCATTTTGCTTCTGTAGCATGAAGATAAGAAACAAAGATGAATGCAAGGGGAGGTAAAGAGCGACAGCCAAAGGAGGGGGGAGGGAGGCAGGGAGGGAGGGAGTCAGGGAGGTAACAAGCTGTAAGGGCAAGAGAGGAAAGCATGATATCAACAAGACGAGGAGGGAGAGCAGGGGTAAATTTTGACCTGCTCGACATATCGCGCCTGAACGTCTTGCCAGCTCCATTGCAAAGACACAAACTGTAACTCCCGTCATCTCCTCTTCATACCGCCACACTTCCTCCTCCCCTCCATCCTCCGTCTCCGCCATCCTCTCACTACCACCACTTCCACCACCTCCTCCTACTGTTCCCTTCTCCCACTAGGAGACTCTACAGTCCGCCGAGTACTCCGCCGACCCGGCCCCGCTCACGG